TTCTTCTATTTCTATGAGAGTCTTCAGTGTCCCAAGTCTCCGCTTTACCAAAATCTCTGCTGCGCCACATGTTCTCACACGTTTCTCCCCCGACATCGTCAACTGGATCCACCCACTAAAGGTTGCTGAATCTGTGACCACTGTAATAGTCTCCAGACCCCACTTAATCCCTAGATTGACACCCTTTAACACGGCCTCCAGTTCCGCCACATTAATGTGGTGATAATCGTCATTCTTCCTCATCCAAGCCCCATCCTCAACAATGACACCATCAATTTCCACCACGACTCCCATGCCCAAGCTGCTGGCGTCACACCACACCACCCCTTCCTTCGCTGACCTAACTCCCCACCTCCCTCGCACTGGATCTTCCTTTCGAATGCAATCAACTACCTCTTCAATCATCAGCTGGGCTCTGTCGCCAATGTAATCATTCCACTTATCCCCTTCTGAATGCCGTTCGATGAAACTGCAGGCTATCCGCAGCCAGCCAGCCACCGGGTAGTGACCCACCAGTTTTCCACAGATTGAGAAAAGCTCCCTCTTACTTAATTTGCAGCCCACCACTGGAACGTCACTGTTTCGTCCGAATACCAGCATCCCATCTGCGCCTCGTGAGAGCTTCAGACCCAACGCTGCTCCCCCTTCTAGCTCCATGGCTGGCTTTGCCAGTAACCAGTATCTCGCCAAATGCAAAATTACTTCTCCTGCTCTCAGCTGCGACACGTCCACAAGAATGTCATCAATAAAAGAGCTAGTGGCTCTATCTATCCGAGGAGACTGTTCCAACACCGTCTTTAACACCTTTGTCATGATTCTTGGAGCGGAATTCAGGCCGAATCCTACCCTTGTCAAGCAATAAATTTTCCCCTTGTACTGCACCAACTGATGCTTCCAGAGATCTGGACTGACACAAAGTTGTAAGTATGCAGCGCTAAGGTCCACAATCTCTGGCTCCCCTTCAATCTTCCGCCACTCTCGCATCCTGTCTGCACAAACATCAATAAGTTCATCTCCTGTGTGGCACTCTACGTACTTGTTCAGCTCACGGAAGTCTAGGACTGGCCGGACTTTGTTTTTCGTAGGCTGCTCGACCGCCATCAACGGGATAATTCCGTCCACCTCCCCATCCCATGGCAGCAGTATTCCGTCCTCAATCCATTTTTCAACTTCTTTGTTGAAAAGCTCCCTCGTTGCTCCCTGCATTCCACTGTCATACATGGCAACCTTGTTCCTCAACTCTGGGGCACAAACGTACTTCCAAAAGTACCTAACTGTCCATACATTCCCATCGAAGGTTGCCTCAAAATCTTTGTCCTGGATGGTAAGTCCATCGGGCCTCTGCGTTACCTGTGCTGGAGACCCACCCACGACAGCGCACGCCACCTTCCCAAACTGTACAGTTTTGTCGCTAACATTCACCCCTCCAAGCTTCTCTATGACATCCATTCCAATCACTACGTCGATACTACCAACGATATCATCAACCACAGTGGCTTGGGCTTCAACACACTCTCCAGCGATCTCAAGTTCAACTGGAGCAGTTCCCTTACATTTAACTATCCTCCCGTCGACTGCTTTGGTGTACACCTCCCCTTTCCAGTCATTCACAAACCGGGACCTGATCATTGTATAAGAACACCCAGTGTCCACGAGCGCACAAAGCCGCCTGCCTTTGCTGTAGACCCTGATAATCGGTACACACCGCACACCGCCCTTGGATGTAGTAGTTGACTTGCCACTTGCACTGGCTGTCCCAGTCTCTGTACCATTGCCGCTCTTGGCACCCCCTCCCTGCTCTCTTGACTCGTTGACCTTGCACTGAGAGGTAATATGCCCCTCTTCGCCACATATGAAACAAACAAGTCGTCGTCTCCATTCTTGGCAATCCCGTAAAAAATGTGGCTCACCACACTGAAAACACTTGACCCTCGATTTCTTCCCTCTGGACGCCGGCTCCACAGATGGAGCTGCTACACCCATGGAATTCTGAGCCAAAACACAAGCCCTTCCAATAAGGTCGGTCACCCTCATACCCTCAACTCCAAAGATTTGCTGTAACTCCAATCCAACATTGTCCGGGAAACCCGTTGCCATTATAAATGCTAACTTCACCACCTGCTCTAAGCCATTTCCAGTAAACCCACACAGCCTTGCAAGCCTCTGCAATTCGTTAGCAAATACATCTACTGCTTCACCCGCCCATCTACACTCCCTTAACCTTGCATAGGCAGTAAATTGATTCTCTGCAAAGGCTTCCCGCAGACTCTTTTTAATGGCCACAATGTCAGTCTTCTGTTTCGCATCCATCTCCAGATAGACAGCTAAAGCTCCCCCCTCCAGATACAGTGGAATGAAGCTCGCGACATCATCAATGTTCGTCAACTTTGCCACTAACTCTACTTTAGTAAGCCATGCCTCGACATCCCCTTCCCCACTAAAGGTTTAAACCATATCAGGCCGAACAGCCGCCACCATCTTTGCCGCCATACTTAGCAACTTAATCTAGTCTAGACTCTAGATCTAGATGAATCCAGCCCCAGCTTAGAGATCTATATTTCTAGCCGAAATAGCTTGTTGTTACTTGGAACACAAAACAAAGATTTAACACTACTAACCTTCTGTCACAACAAGGAAATCTTATACTTCTAGTTGAATTCTTTTCTTAATAAAAACATCATCAAAGATTATGAAAAAAAGTACAAACAGATTAACAAACATGGTCGTACTCACACCCTCTTCCTCTCTCACATGATAAACACAATAATTGCCATGAAAAGCAGTTTTGTACATTTGATACACAATGAAACCAATACATAATAATGGTGGAACTGGAAGAGTTTTAACCGAAAAATATAGTACATTGGTGAAAAAGAAGTCAAATATTTAGAATAAAAGTATGTCGTCCAAAACCAAACCTTGTTGCAGGAAGCTACGTTGGTCAGGTTACAGCTGCAAGTAAGAGCACATTCCTGGCCATAAGTTCCTTCAGCACACTCTGTGAAGAAAACACATCAAGAAGAATTCTTCTTAGGAAAAGATAAAATCAAAAATTTTGTTTTACAAAACAAAACATCCTGGACTCTTCCAAAAACAGGAAAAAATCCTCTTTTGAGATAACATTTAATGGGGAGTGAACGGTAAGTTGTGGTACATTTTACTTTAACAAAAAAACCTTTTATCTTCCCTCTGTTACGAAAATATGCCTTGCAAGAAGTGATATACAGTATTATTCTGACTTGCATTAAAGCTGCTATTATAAAACATTGCAATGAAGTATTTCATTTGACAAAACAATGATATTTGAGAAATCGATTCTCTTGAATTTTTGAATTTTGTTCATACAATTTTGTCAAGGAGAGAGTGACTTTGTTTTTTTTAATAGGTTGATTATTCACAAAGAACATCCATTTTCAAAGCAACACGAAAGAACAAAAGAAAACAATGTTCGATCTGTTTCAAACAGCTATATAAAGAATCTTCACCAAGTGACATTTGTGAGTTTTTTCATGCTGTAACTGTAACTCATGAGGACACACAAAAATACTTTTCTTTTTAACAACTCCCCTACTTCAAGAGAAAATACAGTCTAAAAAAAGGCTATAAGGGCCACTGAGGAACTCTTTGTAAACATGATGTCAAACAGACAGACAGACAGATGGACAGAGGGATGGAGGGACAGATGAATGGACAGGCAGACAGACAGATAGACAGACAGATGTACAGACAGACAGACAATCTTACCATCACACAAGAAGGGATTCTGCAAGTTCTGCTTGTAGCCGGGATCACAGTAGCAGGTGTAGCTTCCCTCTGTGTTGTTACAGTTCTGCTGGCACTGATTGCTGGACCCTCTCTCACACTCGTTCAAGTCTAAAATAAGACACAGACAGTTTTATTGACAAAACTTAAATACAGAAAACACTGGACTATGAACTATAATCCACAGGGTAAAACAACGAAGGGAAGGCCATGTGAAACCTGAGAGAGTCAAGGAGAATGAGATACAGAAAAGGGGCAAGACAGTTTCATTGACAAAACTTAAATACAGAAAACACTGGACTATGAACTATAATCCATAGGGTAAAACAACGAAGGGAAGGCCATGTGAAACCTGAGAGAGTCAAGGAGAATGAGATACCGAAAAGGGGCAAGACAGGAAACAATGTTAAGAAGTTAGCACTGAAAAGTGGAAAGGGTTTGTCTATGGCCTATACCCTCATCCAGGATAAAAAAGGCTATGATAAGAAACTGCAGAGGAGCATGCAGACAACACATCTTTGTCAAAATCAAAAGAATAGAATTGACTTCTGTAATACTAATCCACCTTTAACACTTTGTGGTGAAAATTATCCGTTCCGGTCACCTGGTGCAGAATCACATTCAAACATAAATATTCAGATTAACAAAGAGTGTGACATTTATTGCATTAAAAAAAAACCTTATCAAGAACTCTTCACACACATTACAAAGCACTCTTCACATAAAAAGGAAACTGAAAAAAAGAAGACAAACTAGACACTCACATAGATGTTAACAGGCTCTGATAAGTTGTAAATCATTTCCACCATCACCAAAACAATTTAGACCATTTAAAATGCAAACTACTTTGACCCTGCATGTCTCTTAGTTTTAATTTAAGTAAGAATTGTACGGCACTTGCAGCACAAATAGATCATATAAGTGCGGAAGAATAGAGTTGTTACTAAAGAGTAACATCTTCCAAAGTCTAATCCAGACGTCTGCCCAAGAACCAGGGTTTCTTGTCCATGTTGTGGGAGAAGGTAACAGACAAAGTAGGGGATTGCTGGGGTTGGGTGAAGTATGATATGGGTTTGCTCAAGAGGTTGCTATTGCAGTAATGAAGGCACAAAATTTGCCATACTGAAGAAACTTTTGAAACAGTGCGAGCAACTCAAAGACATAAAAGGATTATGTAACATACCGCAAGACAAGACATGATGTAAAATGAATGGTAGGGCCTATAAACTGCCAAGAAAGATTGGTGGACCAAATATGGAGGACACCTGTCGAATATTTGAAAAGAGGCAATAATCTTAAGGGAAATCTATAAAAGTGTTAAGAGCATGCAAATAAAAGATAAAGAGTTCCAACCTACGCACATCATTAACAAAAAAAAGAAGGCAAATCAATTTCCTGTAAAGACAAAATAAAAGAAAGATGGGGAGAATGCTTTAAAAAGCAGCTCAACCAAAATCAAACAGCCAAACAACCTCAAACTTTACCCAGAAATACAAGGAAACTGAAGAGCCATCCATATTATCAGGTGATCTCTCTCTCTCTCTTGCCCTTTTTAACTCCCAGTGGAGCACAGGCCATCAACAGCATTACTCCAGTGAAGCCTGTCCTGAGCATCCTTTTCTATCTGTTTCCATGATGTCCCCCCTTTTTCAATTTCTGCTTGTACCGCTCGCCTCCATGTCATCTTTGGTCTTCCCTTTTTATGTTTTCCTTGTGGGTTCCAAGTTAAAGCCTGTCTGATGATGCTTGTCGGGGGTCTCCTCAGGGTGTGTCCAATCCATTTCCATTTCTTCACCTGTATGTCTTCCTTTACTGGCCTTTTGGCTCGTTCTTTACCACAGTTAAGCATTAATGACTCGATCGTACCACTTGATCCCCACTATCCTTCGTTGTTGTTGTTGTTGTTGTTGTTGTTGTTATCGATCCAGCAACATCTGGGCTCTCGCCCTTCTGTCCAATGCCATGTAGTGATAAGTGCAGGTTTGCTGCAGTTGCTGTAATGTTCCGTAGAGTGTGTTGTCGAAGTTAGGTCTCGGAGGGAGAAGGGTAGCTCTGATGTCATTAAGGGCTGTACAATGGAAAAGGTGATGTTCCACTGTCTCATATGCATAGTCACACAAAGGACACGTTGGGGGAAGTTCTGGTTTTATTCTGTTCAAGTGAAAGTTGAGCTGTATATGTTCTGTTCGTAGGCGGAAGATCGTGGTCTGTTTCTTTCTCTGTAGGTGGTTGATATTGTCATTTCGTTTTGTTGTAGTCATATGTTTGAAAACTGCTCTGCCTGTCTTTCCCAAGGCCCATCTGTTCATCCAATCTTGTTTGCTGTTGCTTTTAATGATTTGTGTTGCAGTGTTGTATGAAGTTGGAATGTTGGGTTGTTCCTGTCTAGATCCCCTTTTGGCGAGTGTGTCTGCTCTGTCATTTCCAGGTATGTTTGAGTGTCCGGGAATTCACTGCATCACCAGGTTGACGCCACAGAATGTTATCAGATGATGGGAGCCAAACAGTATATGTGTCAAGTCTTCGTTTAGATGGTGATAATTTTCTATTGCTTGCAAGACTGATAGTGAGTCAGTGAAGATCACTATACTCTGGGTTTTGTTTGGATGAGTGTCAAAAACTGTGCGGAGATGGTATAGTGCTGTTTCAATTGCTATCATTTCTGTGTCGCAGTTGTTGCATTTCTCTCCACAGGCTGCAGAGATCTCATTGGAACTTCCATCTGGGTATTGTATTAGTATTCCATATCCGGCTTTGGTTGTGCTTTTGAATGCTGAGCCGTCTGTATAGACGTGTATCCAGTCATCTGAATAGCTGTCGATTGTTTGATGTGATGCAAGCATCAACTTCACTGGGTCTGAAGATTTTGTGCTATTGTCTCTGAGAGAAGTTTTAATGATTGGTTTTTCCATAGAAATGTGGGGAGGGATGTTTTGGTTGACTCTTTTGGTTTCTCTTCTGTTTTGTGGTAGGTGGTGGCTGTCCATTAGTTCTGTGATGCGATGCATGACTGATTTTTGTTGAAGTCGTTTGTTTGGTTTCCATGTTTCTACTAATTTCCTGTTTGGGTGGTTGGGGCACATTCTTTTGGTTTTTTCATGAAGCTCCAAAACTGCTTTATCTCTGTGTATTCCCAGGGGTTCAACATTTGACAGAATTTCACATGCGGCAGTAGGTGTAGATCTCATGCCACTATTTATGAAACAAAGGGCATTATTTTGGACCTTGTCAAGGGTATTGCAAGTTGTTGCACTACACATAGTGAGTAGGCTATTGCTGTATTCCAGGGAAGATCGGACATAACCAAGGTATAGAGCTCTCAGAGTTTGTTTGTCTGATCCCCATGAACTGCTCGCGAGTTTCTTTAAAAGTTGGAGTCTTCTTTTCGCCTTGTTCTTTATGCTCTCCACTTGGCTTTTCATTGTTAGACTTTGGTCAAGTTTGACTCCTAGATACGTTGGTTGTTCTTCTTTGGGGAGATTTTCATTTCCTATCTTCAGTTGGAGTTTTTCTTCGGCTGTTTTATGGCTCTTTGTAAAGATGGTGTATACTGTTTTCGAGCAGTTTATTTTGAGCTTCCATTTCTGACAGTAATTGTGGAGCTTCTTGAGGTCTTCATTTAATTTTCCTGCTCCTACTACCGTGCTGTGATGTGTCTGTCAGAGAGCAAGATCATCAGCGTAGAGTCTTTTCTGATTTCAGCACGTTCGTTACATCATTAATGAAGATCAGGAACAAAGTGCAACTCAGACAGGAACCTTGGGGTAGTAGGCCCTCCTCGAGTACTTCTCTTGACGAGTGGGCATTGTTCACCTTTGTTTCGATGTTTCGATCCGCTAGGAAAAACTTGATCCATTTATAAAGTTTCCCGTGTATCCCGAGGTCCATCATTTTCATGAGTAGGCCTTTTCTCCACACTCTGTCATACGCCTGTTGGAGATCTACAAAGTGGCAACAGTGTGTTTAGTCTCCTGGAAACCATCCTGGATGTCTTGACTTAGTTTGAAAAGTTAGTCTTCTGTGTTGCTGCCTTTTCTAAAGCCTGCTTGGTGTGGGTTCAAGGTGTTGGAGTTTTCCAGGTACCAGTAAAGGCGGTTGTTCACCCTTCTTTCGGCAAGCTTACCGATACATGATGTTAGTGATATAGGTCGGTAGCTCTTCGCTTCTCCAGGTGGTTTCCCCTTCTTTAGGAGTAGTATGATCTGGGCGATCCTCCATGCATTGGTATTCCACTCGTTCTCCATGTGGTATTTACTAAGCGGCGTATGACATCTTTTCCTTTATCACCAAGGTTGCACAGCATTTCGTTGTGTATTTTGTCTGGTCCTAGGGCTTTCTTTTACTTTAATTTTTTGAGGGCCTGTCCAAGTTCCATCATGCTGAAATCCTCCTCAAAAAGGGTGTTGTTCACGGTAGGGGCTTTTTCTTCATGCTTAGCCTTGTTTATGAAGAGTCTATTGGCCTCAGTTAGACTACTTGCCCTGTTTATCCTTTGTAGGCATCCATTTACGAAGCTCTGCAGTTTCCTTGCTGCTGGTACTGTGAGCCTCCATGTCTCTGAACCATACAGTAAAACAGTCTTCACGTTTGTTTTGAAGATCCTCAGCTTGGTGTTCAATCCCAGTTCCTTAGACATCCATGTATTCCTGAGAATGATGAAGGCTGCTCTTGCCTTTTGGATTCTGACCTTGATGTCTTCTTCTGTTCCCTCTGCCTTGTTGATGACACTTCCCAGGTAGGTGAAGGATTCAACATCCGCCAATGGTGCCCCTTGCAGTGTGATAGGAGCGTTGGCTGCATTCATTCATAGAACTTTCGTTTTATCCATGTGAATATGGAGTCCAACACTACGGGAGAAGGTCCTGAGGTGATCTGTTTTCTGTTGCATCTGGGCTCGACTGTGAGAAAGAAGTGCCAAGTCATCTGCAAAGTCCAAGTCTTCCAACTGACTGGAAAGGGTCCACTGTATGCCACCGCGTTGTCCTCTCATTATCCAATCCACTACTAATAAAAAGAGAAAAGGCAATCGCAGGCATCCCTGTCTCCCTCCTGTATTCACTTCAAACGAGTTTGTCCACTGTCCTCCAAGTAAGACACATTCCCTCATACATCTTCTTGATCAATCTCACGAACTTGTCAGGTATTCCGTGGTGGTGCATGAGCTTCCATACGGAGTCCCTATCTAGGCTGTCAAAAGCTTTCTCGTAGTCAACAAAGTTAACGTACAGGGAAGAGTTCCACTCTTTGGACTGCTCAACTATTATCCTCAAAGTTGCAATCTGATCTGTACATGATCTCTTTTTACGAAATCTTGCCTGCTTCTCTCTTAGTTTTGTATACACGGCTTCCTTCAGTCTTTCCAGTATAGTACGACTTAAAATCTTCCCAGGAATGGACAGGAGCATGATTCCTCTGTAGTTTTTACACTCATGCAGGTATCCTTTCTTGGGTAGTTTCATGAGCAATCCCTCTCTCCAATCCTGTGTAAATTCTTCGCTGTCCCATATCTTGCCAATAATTCCATGAAGAATCCCTGCCGCAGTGTCAATATCCGCCTCGAGAACTTCTGGGGGAATTCCATCTGGGCTGGCTGCCTGGCCTGCTTTCTGGTGTCTTATCGCCTTCTTGATCTCTTCTAAACTAGGCTTTTCTTCACTCACCCCCACGTCAATCTCTGCTGGTGGAATGTCAAACTATTTTTCTGGCCTCAGTCTGTTCAGTAGCTCTTTGAAATGCTCCTTCCAGCATTCTTTCTGATCGTCTGGATTTGTGAGAAGCTTTCCCTCTTTATCCTTATTTATCCTTCACTGGCACATCTATCAGGTGATCAGACAACAGAAAAAAGAGACCCCCCCAAAAAAAAACACCAAACAAAAAAACCCAAACCCAAACAACAAATCACCAGGGATTGTTGAAATGACCACAGAGGTCTGCCAAAATGCTGCCATCACATAGACAATCAGGGGAAACGCCCTACTTAGTCATACTGAGAAGATAGGCTACACGCAAAGATATTAGAATAAAGGAAAAGACCTCCGCTTGAAATTCAGTTTGGCAGAGAACAAATTGTATTCAGGAAAGGGAACAGTTGCACAGATGCAATATTCACACAAAAACAACAGATTATGATCAAGAACTAAACACTGTCATTGTGGACAAATAAAAGGCCTTCAATAGAGTTGTCCGAAACAAATTATGGATAGCGCTGGAAGAATACATAATCAAAGGACAGCTGTAAAACATATGGCATTATATAAAAACAGCAAAACAATAGTAATTTGTGTCCGGTGTTCATCAATTTTTGGGCATATGGAGTCACTGGTATCATCTTGAAGCTTATTTGTTTCTTTCAATGAAAAAAACTACCCATCTATCTTGAATAAAAGTCAAGATATTTGCGATTGAAGGAGAAGGGGTCCCATGGTTTCGGTGGTAAAATTAGCAAGAAACTGGGTGCCAAAGTTCTACATTTCAATAGCTTGAGAGTCCTTGAAAATGATAAAATTAAATATTTTATGCATTTAATCAACGTGTTTCTGTGAATTTCACATGGAAATGTGTTTTTATTTGTGGACACATGAAAAGTTCATAAAAATTGCCAAACAGGTGGAAACGTTCCTGTTTCTTCAATTTCATTATTTTGATGAGCGCCTGATGTCATGATGCATGATACCTCACATTTGGTAATAAAACCTATCACAAAGATGGAGACACTTTGAAATAGAACTTCTTCTGAATGAAAAAATAGAACTCATTTATTTTGTAACAAGACAAAGATCTCAAACTTTACACTCCAGATGACAATGAACTGTGCTATGAAATCTGAACTGTTCTTCATGAGAAAAAATAAAGTAATCCCTTTCAACCTTCCCCACCAACATGACATACAAAACCCCAACTAAAGTAACCAAGATAAACAACACACAGTTTTACTTTAAGATGAGACAGGATAATATTTCATAGATCTCCACCCAAAGAAATTTGCTGTGACATGATAAATACAAACATGCACATGCACACATACATAAAAACACAAAGACACACCCACACCCCCACACCCCCACACAGACAGACACAGACAGATAAACACACACACACACATACATGAATACAAAAACAAACCATGACTGAGTTGCCACAAGAGAAGCACCCAACCAAGTGAACTGTCTTTTATTGTTTTCATTTTCTCCTTCTCTCAACAACTCCACTCTACACATGAAGCTTAAAAGAAATTACAAATGTTTCGTTTTTTATTTTGCTTTTGAATTACAGTTACTTGGAAACATAAAGAATGGGGAGGAACACATTCATAAAAAAATCCCAGTTTCTTGAAGAAAAAACCCAGCCAACAGCAAACCACTAAACCTGAACCAATGTAGCAAACACCAACGTCAGCTCTCCATCAGGGAAGTCTCGTTGTGCCCTCAAGGGAGAAGAAATGAGAAGTCATCTCCTCAAATAATAACATTCATAATGTTATATTTCTGTGATTCCTACAGAGTAGAAATTTTTTATAACACCTAAACCTATGTGCCACCTACCATTGCAAACGTTGCTCGCATCAATGAAGCCAGACTCACACTCACAGTGAAAGGAACCAGGATCATTGACACATATCTGTGGAAACAAAAAAGGACTTTAAAAAAGAGGCAATAGAAGGTTATCTTTACCTGGCAAAAATTCCATGTCTTGTAAGATTGTAAGCACAAATAAAAAGATTATGGAAAAATACAAATATCACAGATTAAAATCTAAACTTAAAGCTGGAATACTAAGTCAAAGGGAGAAAATCTGAAATGTGCTGTACTTTCAGAATTTCTGGAATTATAGAAAAGGTGGCATCCCTACTGTCGACATAAAATTTTACAGGTTATTTTGTAACAACTTAGGAAATAATACTTTCTGTTTTTCTGCCTCACAATTGCTGGACTGCAAACCTCGTTTGTCCTTCTGTCTGCACAATTTAATTCGAGTCAACATAATGAAGGAAGAGATCAATGTACAACATTATATAGTTTTCAATATGAGCCACTGAACCAGAAATCAGCAGACTCTGATTAAACTTAAATAAAATTCATAAATGTATATCGTCTGAAAGCTGTTGAACTGTTCTAAGTCTATAAAAAAAGTAAATTTTTAAAGACAAAAAAACACAAAACGGTTTCATTTTTTAAAGATTGTACATTTTCTTACTTTTTCTAACAGTTTTTTTTTGCGGAGGGGAGGGGGGGGGGGGGGGGGGTTCGTGTTCGAGAGGTTACGATGTTTGCCTCTCCTTCAATAGGTTCAAGGTTCGAATTTGGACAGCAACGGAACATTTTCTTCTCTAAAATTTCCTCCTTTCACCTTCTTTTCTGCTTTCACCTTCTTTCCTGCTCTCTAACAATGTTATGTCAAATGCTTTCGTCTCCACTGTCTGCCCCTCTCCCCCTCGATCCCTCCTCTGGGCTCCTGACTCTTGCTGCAGCCTTTCTACATCTACTCCTTGGCTCCTTCTTACTGCTGTCTTATGGTAGGCAAGATGCAACACCTAGCCATCTTGGATGAGAATGAAAAATCTCAGAGTTCTCAAGTGCAAGTTGCCCAAGTTAAACATCCCTTGATGGTTCAAAATTGATAAGAGTAGGCATCGGCCGCCACCTGTGCAAAATTCAAAACTTCTTGCCAACTGAAAATGTTTAATGTGTCCCGCATGCTCATATGACCGTAAGCAATTGTGAGCGCCATAAAACACTTACCCCCTAAAAACAACAACAACCCCCCCCCCCCAACAAAGACATTGGGTTTACTCACTTAGAGAAGACACTTGATTAGAGGAGTACTGAGTACCAACCTCAAAGTGAATAATATCATCTCATTCTTTAAATACACATATGTCACTAAGAAAATTCTTTGTATCCTGATGGTCAAACATCAAACTAAATTCTTAGTGACCCAGGTGTAGAGGGTTACATTCTAAATCATTCACAAATAATACTTGCTTCTGAAGTGTCATCAAATCAAGATGTCCCAAGCCGGAAACAGGATAATATGAATTTGTTACAACCTTTTTGACCGTTTGACATGGGGGCTAAAATCTTTTCTTCTTACTTAACTCTTCAGTACACCTCTCTTTCATGCTAATCTAGTGACTGACGGTCCAGTGTAGCAAAACATATACTACAGACACTCACCATGGGAGATCCAAAACTAAAAAAATGTTTGTGCTTAATAGGATGAGTGACTCTTCTAAAAACTAATTTTTTTTAGAAGACTGCAATATATTAGAGATCAGGCCTTTGAGTGTATCTCAACATAATCTTGAACTAGAAAAAAAATGTCTCTAAATAAAGGAAATATTTGATTTGTTATTGATTATAATTCCTTCTCTTTCATCCCTGTAAGATTATGAGATTATCTTGAGTGTGCCCCCACTGAACTGAAACAAACCACCTCACCCATTGTGTCCTGTTAGCAGCAGCGCACTGGTCATCTGGCGTCCCACACTCATTTATGTCCACATGACAAGAGAGACCTTCCCAGCCCTTCTTGCAGGAACAGATGCCAAATTGTGGGTCACAGGACAAGGTATTGTCCCCAGAACAGTTGCACTGATGTCTACATTCTTGTCCGTAAGTGCCGGGACTGCAAACTGAGACAACAGGAACATACACAACAGAGTCAGTGTTTTTCTCCCCCCTGAATGCAAGAAAAAGAAATTACAGTCAAAACTGTCCAAGACAGCCACCCATTGTCGAGAAGAAAAGCGGTTGTCTTAGACAAGTGGATGTCCAGGACAGTGTTATTATAATGCAGCAAAAATGTCAGGAAGGAAGTTGGAAATGGTCTTCATACAATTTGATCGTTTTGGACAGGCGGCTGTTAGAGCAGGTTGGACTGCATATCATTTGTGTGGATTTTTTATTTCAAGTCACATTAGTCATCACTCAAGGTGTTACTTTTTGCATCATGCTATGCCTTTTCCTTGAGGTGACTCATTAAAACTCTGCCACTTCCCTGCTTGGAGACATTGGGACCAGCAGGGGCATTAAATTACTTAATCGGTGAGGTAGTAGTTATTACATACACAGTTTTGCCAACATTTCAAACAATATTGCTTCCTGTCTGTTTCAAGGAACAAGCCACTAAAAGTAGGTTCTCAAAGTTCCTAGATTTCTTCTGCACTGGCATGGTGATTTTGCAATTCTTAATTTTCACTTAACGCAAATGTTTGAATGGTGCCCAATCAATAGTAATATTTATGAGAGAGAAGAAAAGAGAAAGAGGGGGGAGAGGGAGAGGGAGAGGGAGATGGAGAGGGAGAGGGAGAGAGAGAGAGAGAGAGAGAGAGAGAGAGAGAGAGAGAGAGAGATTTTATTTGTTCATTAATCACATGCCTCCAGAAGTTAAAGGGTAGAATGACAAGAGATGATGTTAAATAAATGTAAATTTATAATTAGTGAGAAGAGTTAGGTGAAGATAAACTTCTTGTTTGTTTAACAGACATTAAAAAAACGGCATCTATAATATCCATTCTCAATCTCCACATATGAACACAGATGTGCACTTTAAAATGCACAGAAATAAAACAGGGATGGATCTTTGCTGGTGGTTGGAGAACCAAAGAAAAATCTTGCAGACTCCGAGGTCTGTTTGGAGAGGAGCAGACTTATTCAAGCTTTTGTGTTTGTAAACACAGACTAGGACACAAGATTGAGCAAATTGAAGACATAAATGTTTGAGGAAAGAGAAAATAAACTGCCTAGTCCATATACAGTTTGATGATGATGACAATAGCATTCTTTTCACCATCACAGTGACATAAACATTTACGTAAGACAAAATAAAAGACCCTCTAGTGACACTGAAGGCGACACTCCAAGAATTTTATGCAAACCACTAAATGAAAAGAATAGAATGTTTGTCCTCACACATTTGAATCTTTCCAGTATGCCACAAGGCCCCTTTAAGCATGACCATCTCCTTTACTTAAAATATTATGATTTATATATTTTGTCTCTTCATGGCACTCCATGTCTTTTAGTGTAATGAGCAGGGCTACTCTCAGGCACACATTTGAACAATCTTCTTCAACTGATTGAAATGCATAAGTGTGGCGGCCCAACAAAATGTGCCACTTTTTGCTAGGGGTGTTTCTGAGATATATATGAGATTCAAGTCAATAAAGAGTCATCTGTGACAGATCAGGTCTTGTGTATCATTTCCAATTAAAAACATAAGTGAAATCTGTGTACAAAGATGCTTGTTTTATATTTTTAAAACTCGTTCGCTACATATTATTTTGGGCTTATGGACGAATTTTTTTCTGGAGGGCAAAATGAAACGATGACTAATGTGCAGTTCAAAGGTCTTTGGTGGCACATAAATTCAAATAAATATCAACATATTATACACCAAAATGTTCAGTATTATTTGTAGAATACATCTGTAATTTTTATATGTGCATTTTTCAACTTCGGTTCCTGTAAACGGCGATTATGCAACACAATTTTGCTTGGAAGCGGATATAATTTCAAAATAAAAAATTAACCCTTAAGATTCTGGTCCCTGATAAATGTTTGCCCGATAAGCGCAATCCTGCGCGGCGCTCCACAGCTGGTCCCTGATCAGTCGTCGTCCCGCGCGGGCAACGCATTTCGTTTAGGGCGGGGTCTGCATCTGTGTGCTAAAATGTGTGTGCGTCAATCTGCTTGTGCCTGTGTGTCCATCTGGAACTTACTGCATTGTTTTGCAACGCCAGGCGTTGGTAGAGATAACAGAGCGTCGGTTGAGACGTTCATCCAATGAAATATGAGCATTTTGACCCAATTGACACTTGAGGAGCTCGAAAGGATATTCAGGAAATAGGACTTTCATCTTTCAATGCAAACACCTTTCCTCACTTTTAAAATGATGTAATTCTTACACCAAACGTTGTTTCCTGATGTAAATAATCATATTTGGTGGTTTTTGAACCATTGTCCTACCAGAGGGAGAAATTTGAGAGCAACTGAATAAAAAAAATCTTCGGAAACTATCCCATTTTTTTCCTCTTTCGAACGATAGCTGATAAGCAGTTGTTCGCAAGTTCATTCATAATAGGTGTGAAATCTGGAAAACTCTGGAAAAGTTATTCGATTTGGTGTAAATTCCAATCTCAGCGTCTCTGATCAACCGACTAGGAGATAATGGGATTATTCGTGTGATCGTAACACTTATTCATTGATCGTATCAGTTTGCAATAAAAGATGAGGTGTTTCCCTGACCAGCCGCGGCACGCTCGCGTGACCAGTGTCTGACCCCGGTGCCCCGCGGCACAAGCCCGCAGGCGACGTAAGTGGGTCATCGATCGATAAGAGCCCTCTTCCGGTTAACCCCGCAGGACTAGAGTTAATCATCTTTCGTGCAACTCAATAAAATTTGTTTGCCCCTATAGTCAAATGATACATCAAAATAACCATATAAATGAACATAGAACAGGAAAATATTGAAAAATTTGCAGTTATTTACATACATTCCAAAAAGTTTGAACATTTGGATCATAACATCTGAATTGAAAAAAATGTCTTTTTTTATATCACTCGTATCTTATATGGAATTATTCAGAATTGCATTTGGAAAAAACCTACTCAGGTCTTGAATAGTGCTCTTCGTGTAATTTCTTAGAAAAACAGTGATTTTCGGAAGGAAAAATTATTTTGACAATTTAGATCTAGATCTAGATCTAGCACTGAAAAATGTATTGATTTTTCAATAACAGAACAACGGCAATTTGAGTCCAAGAGTATCAATATTCTAAATAAGAGTCTTACAATTTTTTAGTAAGCAAAATAATGATACATTTAGCTGCGTAAAGGTACTAAGACTGGTGTCTGGGCTATAATTTAGGCATTGCGATAAAACAAAGTCGCATAAACTTCGAAATCACGTTTCTAAACTGAATCAAAACTTCCGATTTTCGGTGGAAACGCTTGACCCAGAAGTCAACGTTATAACCTTTATTTTCACATAGATATGTCAATTGGAATAAAATCTAAGCTAAAATTATAGGTCGGGGGCGGCTTGTCGTACAGAAGTCACTTTAGCCATGCTGCTGCTACACGGCTTGGCGTAAAGAATGAGTTAACCATACCCTAAATCCAACAGATGACCATCTTTGACTTAAAATGTCATTCTTTCCCATGTATTCTGTCACTGCACTTTGTCGTTCAAAAGCTCATAACTTTTGAACCCTGAGGTGTTGGCATGAAAACAAAAAAGGCAAATTACCTAGAAATATGGCCTAAAACAGAATATGTGCATATCTCAGTGTGCACATTTTGTCCAATGTGAAGGATTTTCTTGTGCTGCTACACACAGAACCATGTATGGGAAACAAAACTGTAACATTTCAGAGCATCAATATAAAAGACAAAGAGCAATATGTCTTCCCCTTACCAGTGCAGGAATTGTTGTTAGATTTTGAGTAGCCTGGGTTACAGGAGCAAACGAAGCTGCCTGGTGTGTTCTGGCACGTTGCATTGTCTGGGCATGGGTCTGAATCACACTCATCCTCATCTACATCACAAGTAGCTCCTGTCCAGCCCTGTTTACAGCTGCATGAGCCATTCACCTGGAGGAAAGGACAGAACAGTCACACTGCATGAGATAGGTAAGGATAACATTTGCTCTTCACACAGGCACTAACGTGTTTATAATATTCACCCCAACAAACAAAAAGTTGTGTTTGTGGAAGCTGTTATTTTGTAGATTTTCCTAGCAAGAAAACCCAAGCAACACACATAAAATCGTATCAATTTTAAAGTCCAGATGAGATAATTTAACTACTTTCTATCATGTTTGCTTTTCTAACTTCACGGAAACACACAGACTTTTAAAAAATCACATTTTCGAACATAATAAAAATAGTTTTTGATTTAAAAAATTGCATGCTGTTTGCAAGTATAAAAAAAAGGTTTTGATAATATACCCCAAGTTATCTACAAACCTTATTGCAGTCATCTGCATTCAGCAAGCTGCAGTTACAGGACTCAGCACAGTTCAAACCATAAGTGCCCCTCACACATTCTGTAAGGATTCAAAGAAGAAAGTACAGGCAGATCAGACTTTGCCATAAAAGATGCATACTTCTGACATAGCATAAGTTCAATTCAATCAGTATAAAAGGCACACTAACTTATAAAAAGTGTATACATTTAATGAGGTAACAACGTACAAGATACAAAGTAGGTCATTCAAAGGAGCAGAACTTGATTCCCTCCATCATTAAATCAGGGGAAGGGAAAATATCACAGTAACTGCCAGAAAAAACTGGACCCCTTTCAAATTAAAAACCAAACTCTGTCACTTTGGTTAAGGTCATAAACCTTTAAAAAAATTAATATTTTAAGAACTTTTACTTCTTTTCTCCCAAAGTCTAATTATTGAAGAGAGGTGAAAGCTGGCAAAAGAAATAAAACTTTAATGCAAATTTATCTCTACAAGAAAAAAACATGAAATCAACAATGATGCTTTCAAATTTTGAGCACATTACATCTTCATCATGTATAAAAAAACCTCATGCAAATATCTGTTCATGCCATTCAGGCAGATTACCTAAAGACACAACAATTAATCATGAACTTTTTATCTCCAGCAAGCCGCTCCCAGCAGCTCAAGATTGGAACCGGTCACATTCCTTTGCGACAACTTCGACAACAAATTACTTTTCAACAATTACCGAAAACAAGTCTCTTTTATCGGGAGTTCATTCATTAGATGAAGAACTATCAAAATAGGTTGACTTGTTTTGATTTAATGATCCATTTAGTGACATTTTTTTAGATTTAGTACCAAAACAAGGCCATGGCGTAGTGGAGTTTATAAAGAGTTAAGAGTAACATTAAATAAAATTGGAATTAATAGTTTTATCAATGCTTGTTCAGTAGAGTCAAGTTTCCATTAAAGGTCATCATGTCTTTCATGCGTTGATTACAAAAAACAATTCCTGGAGATGATGAGTTGTCATATCAATCGTGGTAGACAATCAACCAAAGAGACTAGCTCGTTGGATGATGCTCCCCTCCCCAAACACAAACATGAACTTATCATGTCCATAAAAAAAATTTGAGGAATCTACACAAAAGGAAAGAAATGAAAGAGGGAACTTGAAATGCTGGCAATAATGCATGAAAGAGAGAACAAATCTGAGTGCCCTCTTTTCTTGTAACATATAAAAAATACTTGACTTCAGGAAAGTTCACTTGAACTCCATTTTCAATAAAAGCCAAGTCACACTACAGTTTACTGATATATGTGATGTCAGTCCCCATAAGAAGCGAAATGGAAGAAGAAAGGTAAAAAGGTGGGGAAAATAATGATCGAGAATAGATTGTAAAAATTGGGAATGTTAGCAAAGTAAAGCTTGGAGCAGAGACACATGGAGGAGGTGGTGGTGACCAGCATAATATTGCCTACAAGATGTTTGATTGTTCTATGCCTAAAAAGTAAAATTTATCAGGTAAGAGGATCATTCCTCAAAAAATTGTACCTTCATTATGCATATTTTCTTGATTTCAAAACATTTAGAATATAAATTTCGACACAACTTTACTTTAGCACATGAAACTAATACCATAGGTAAATAAACTTCAGTAAAAAATTTTTTCACAGTTTTGCACTCAGTATCTCGGAATGGCTGCCTGATGATATTGTGGTTGCCCCAACAAGGTCAGAACTGAAAAGAAAGATGACATGTATAGGTACAGATACTAACACTAACCTTCACAACTGATTTCATCAGAAGCTAGTTTGCTTCCAGGTGGACACAAGCAAATATAATTTTTCCCATCTGCAGTCTCATTACATGTATCTGAGCAGGGATCTCCGGCACACAAGTCAACATCTGTAAGAAGTAAAAAAGTCAAGAAAATGAAAATGCTTTTCTAAAGTTTTAATTAAAAATTTTGTTTTACTTCTGTTAAGAAGAACAGCAAATTCTTAAACATTTGTGTGTCATTTTTTTTCCACAGGAAGTTATAATTCATTTACTGTGCCCTGCTTCAATCTAGAATATCAAAATGATGTCAAGGGCATATCATCATGTGCTAGCAAAATAGCTGTGCCCAAATGCAACAAGCTTTTTATTTTGTTTGGTGATACCATATCTATCTTTTGGTAAAGGAAAACAAAAATGTGCCCGAAGTTATAAAAGAAACATTAGAAGTTTTAGGCCTACCGTTATTAGATAATAAATAGTATAGTTAAACAGTTTTTCCATTGATCTCAAAAGCAGCAATAATGAGATATGTAATTCAGCTAGCGCAGTGAAATTATGAAAAAAAACCCCAACAACACTGAGCTATTTTTCTATACATCTTTCTCCTCCTATCTTAAGAGAAAGTAGTTATATATTCCCTACGATGAAAACTTTGCCCTGAGCCTACCAATACAAGTGGTGTTGTCAGTGGTGTTGAGAGTTTTCCCACGTGGGCATGAGCAGACAGTCTGGGAGTTCACCAGTCGACATTTGTCCTTCTCCTCACAGGGGTTTGAGCTTGGGTCACAGGCTTCGGCCGCTGGAGAAACACAGATTTCACTTGACCAGTCAGTTTGTTAGTGTTTGAGTGCTTAATCAGCTGCTTGCACTGTATGCTTCTTGGGAAGCTGAAAATGTTTCTTAGTGTCCCAGTGTCTGCTGGAGTAATAACATTGAATGCAAAATGCATAGAGCTTGCTTTTCTCTGGTCAGTCAAGTTTGGCTATATTATTTTCTCTCACATTCTCCATACCTTGAGATTCTAAACCGAGTGCTGAAGGTGACAATCTTTCAGTGAAAAAAGTTAATTATCAACAAGGGAATCTGAGGAATCAAACTTGCCAAACACTTTCAATTACTTTTTTGAAAAATGATTAAATTTTGGAACAACAACTCAGTGGGAGAATGACATAGGAAAAAGTTCAGAATTTAAATCTACGACCCATTAAAAAAAAACCCAAAACGCTGAATCAAGAAATTATTCTGCATTCTTTATCTACCATTGTTATCTTATCTTTTCATAAATACACTTATAAAGTATTGATGGCAAACAGTGGCGCTCAGTCGGAACTGCTGTCCCGGTGAACCGTGGCTCAGGCACATTCCGTTACAACGACTTCGACATCAAATTACTTTTCGGATATTGCCAAAAACTGGTCTCTTTTATCGGAATTTCATTCATTAGATGAAGAATTATCAAAATAGGTTCACTGGTTTTGATTTATTGACCAAATAAGTAACTCTTTCGTCATTTTTAGATTTAGTACCAAAAAAGGGTCCCGGCAGAAAGGGTTTACTTACCTCCCTCAGAGACAAAGAGTTAATAGACTGAAAAGGTAAATCACAAAAAGTGGAACTAAAAGGATATTTATCTTGATTTCAGACAGCAAAAGAACCTTGCCTACAATTCATTCTGTGAAGAAATAAATAAGAGCAAGCTTCAAACTATTCTTAAAATGAAGATGTTGAATAACCTCACCTACAGACACTCCGATGAAAAATTAAAGAAGATTGGTGACCCTGGTAAGTCTACCAATAACAGTGGTCTCCAGATAATTGTAAACTCTATTAGGAAAATAACCTGTCGAAAAACAATCAATCCTCTGATGATTTTAATTTTGCTTAAAACTAAGTGATAAATCTAGAACAGAATAAAAAATTCTACAATGGCCATATCATACCTCTGCAGGAAACACCATCTGCATTGAGTTTGAGTCCCTCACGACAAGTGCAGCGGTAGCCTCCCTCAGTGTCCTGACAGTCCCCCTCACAGCGAAACGAGCCCAACTCACACTCGTTGATATCTGTCAGAGAAACAAACAGGACCAGAATAAAGGTGACATGAGACAAAAGTGTCAATTCAACTTTTCTCCCCCCCCCCTCCCCTATGAAATTTCCTGAGATAAAAGTTTAATCCCATGAATGCAAGAGTACATCCTGGTTACATATTATACTGATTATTGTTTTGGTAGGTGTTTTACAGCACTTGAAACTGCATAAGGTCATATGAGCTTGCATGTTATACACTAGAAAATGAAATGTACTAACTGGGAAACAATTTGGCCACCATACTCTCCATTATAGAGCAAGAGTCTTCCCCTTTTCTGGAGCCAAGATACAAGAGACACTTTAATCCTTTACTGGCTTCAACAAACATGAAAATACTAGCTACCAAACGGCATGATGAAAATGCATTAGCTCTTCCAGATGCAAAAGACAGTAAAACAGTTTACTTGTACAAGTGTTTTCGCTGGCATTGAAGCTGTATCCTGAGAAACAACTGCACTGGTAACCGCCAACAAAGTTCTCGCACTTTTGGGCACAATTGTTGTCCTTGTTAGAAGCACACTCTTCAAAGTCTGAAAAACACAAACACAGGCATTTTATTGTATAATGGGTTGTAAATGTGTGTGTGTGTGTGTGTGTGTGTGTGTGTGTGTGTGTGTGTGATATGTGACATTTCAGGATTGCCGATAGCTCAGTTGGTATCTCATCTCAAATCCCATCCACAGCAGGAAAATGTAGAACTTATGTAATTTGGGGAGTTTTCAGGACTATCCCTACACTGGGGGTTGGTCTTTTAGAGGGTGGATGGACATTTTGTCTCATGAATGACTTAACAGCCTTCCAGCGTTGAAAGAGACAATAAACCCACACTGTATCTTCCATATTTCGTAAAGTTAATTTAAAGTGATTTTTTAGCCCCCCAGCCCCTCCCCCCCCCAAAAAAACAACCCCTCAACAAACCCCCCCCCCCCAAAACCCCCCCCACAGAAGATGAAGGTCCCAACTTGACAGGCTAAAAGATAATATATATGACAAGAAAAAGCTCAATATTTCCCACAAATTGGTAAGATTAAGCTATGAATATTAAAACAAATACAGATTAACAAAAACCCCAACATTTCAGTGGCTTTTGCAACAATAAAAAATTTCATTCTCTGAACAAACCTAAAGAACGTGCATATATTCCTAATTTTTAACAAAAGCAAATATCAGTACAAATAAGTCATATATAGCAGTAAGTCATATTTCTTAACCCTTTGAGCCCTTGCCACTGGTATACCAGTGGAGCGTAAAATTGCCCATACGCCTTGCCACTGGTAGACCGGTGAGCGAAACCCTATCCCCAAACCGGCCCGCCTGGGACAATACATGCATGGAAAAAAATGTTTACTACACAGGACGTTATTGATTGTTTTGAAAATCTTTCTGAATTAAATGCTCGTAATGACAAGGACTACCCTGAATGGGATATGGAATGTGGTTCTAACAATGATATCAATGAAGGTATGAATCACTCAGGAGCTCAGGCAGAGGGGCATGGTAGCCTCAGGACATCAGGGCTCAAGGGATTTATTACCACAATACCTCATGTTTCTATGTCAATGTTCAAACTTGTCTCACATGAACACATTTATATGGGAGTAAAATGAGCGTGTAAACAACAAAAAATCCTTATAATTGTTACTTCTCTTTGTTTTTGCATCACTACAAAAAATCCTCCCTCTCTGCAAATCTGAAGGATGAATACATTCTTATACCTTCCAGTAAAGTAAATGGGAATGATTTCCTCAGCATCTCAAGTCTCAATCTGTCAGAAAGGAGGACAAATAATGTGCAGGACTATTACAAGCTCTCTCCAATTCACCTTCACACTGTCCAGCATTTCGTCGCAGTCCGTCCTCACAGTCACATCTAGAACTGCCCACAGTGTTCACACATTTCTCTTTGTCTGGACAAGTGCGCAAACCTGTGGCACACTCATCAATGTCCTCCCTACATTGGGTTCCTAGGGAGGAGAAGTTCAGTACTCAAGAACGAGCAGTCAAAATTGTTCAAAATGGCCAACCATCATAGAGAAAAAAAGTGGTGGTCTTAGAAGACAGGTGGACATATTGCTCATTATAAGCCCAAAAAAAAAAGGATTGATCTACATTTCCAGTGAAACTATTTTTGCTAAATATTCTCACAATACATAAAAGAACAACATTTTTACTCATAAATCATTTACAACTAAAATCTAGTTGCAAAATTCATTACAATTGCCAGCCCAATTTTTTAAAAGGGCTTCTAGAAAAGATGCAGTGAGTTACAACAAACTATTTTCAATATACACTTAAAAATGCAAATTTTCATCTACAGCTCAGAGACAGAATGGGAAAAAAAATTAGGAGCACATGGAAAATCTCATTACCTTTGAAACCATCTTTGCATACACATCCTTGTACAGGATCACAAGAAGAGGCACCGTCACCGCAGCCACAGTTCTTGGAACAGTTCTCTCCCCATCGACCTCCAGAACAGACTGAAACCACAAATGGGGTGATTACAGGTTTGTTGTTTTTTTAAAAGCCATATCTTCATCCAATAAAATCTGCTTCAGTTGTTTGATGAAGGCATAATATTACGTTGTACCCATGATATTCACAGAAAAATTGAAAGAAAACTGAGAAAATCTAATATAGAGAAAATGTTACGACGATTCTCTAGGATTACCCTTCCTCGCACCAAATGCATCTCAAAATGTGTGGTGGTGTAAAGTGGGCATGAGCCCTGGAGGTTCAAGGAAACAAGGGCTCAAAGGATTAAAATAGATAAGATTTCATTTTATTGACCTCCACAAAGAGAAATTTTCAGTATGGTAAATACATACACATCAACACACTTACTAGCACAATCATGCTTACACACACAGATGCACACATGTAAATAGTCATTGGATGGACAAACAAAATTATGTTATTCACACACACTGAAAATGACCGAATAACTCATATTGATACTGGTATAAATTAATTTTCATACCTGTTGGTTCTTGTTTTTTTCAAAAAATAAAATATTTACTTCTAACAGTAGTTTGATATTCTGAATTTAATCACTGTTTGGTCGCAGCAGTGACTTCTTTGCTGTTTTCACAATAATGATATATTAAAGCTCAGTGAAAGAGAGGAGTGGACTATTAATAATTTTTGCCCTTTCCCAAACTGCTCTGTCCAAATGATATAGCTGTTGTTTAGAAACATTATCACCATAACATTAAATACTCAAAGTAATTAAGCTTTCAACTGTTACAGATGAATCTTATCCAGAACAAAAGGAACTGAGACTTTATCGCAGCCTATAAGTCTGAAGATACTGACCCACACAAGACCTGCCATCATTGTCTAAGAAGCTGCCAGTAGGACAGGAACAATTGAAACCTCCCTCAGTGTTGACACATCCTGCCTTGTACTCACACAGGTTGAGATGTGGGAACTTTGCATCACATTCATTGATATCTGGGGGGAAAGAACAGAGGAAGAATGTCTTTATGCATGTGCATTCCTCTTTGAGTGTTGTTGTTCCAACACCCTGCTGGACACAATGCACAGCTGCCAAATTTTCAAAACTAAAAATATACAAAATCTAACCACATGGTGGGTCAAGAGGGCATTGGCCAAGTAACTCCCCGTCTAAACCCCTCACCCATATTTTTATGTATTCAATAATTTCAAGCTCAAAAGTTAAGTCTGGTAAGGGAAGCAACTATGACTGGTCTAGCTTAACTCGCATTATTATTTGCAAACACAGTCTTGAAAGTTCATAAGTTTTTTTTTTATTGGCATGTCCGTGACGAGCAGAACTACAAAGAGAATTTAAAAAAAAAAGTATTTTTCAGCACAAAAGCAGACTTCCACACTCAGACCCTCAGAAACGCATCAAATATATTGTTGACATGCTGGTTGGCAGCTGTGACAATGTTACTCGGAGCTGTCAGTTACCATACCACCACATCATGCTGAGAGGTAACAAAACATTCCAGGAAGAAAGAAGAGAAAAACAATTTGAGTCCCATTCAGATTTTAACCTTCAACCTCTGCGTGGTACTTTATGTTAATAATCTAATATGCCTGAGGGATTGGTTCTCTGAGAGAGCATGTGTACATCTGCATAACATTAAGGACTGAAGCATTCACAGGACAAAAGTGAGAATAGACAGACGACAGGAGAGAGTAATAGTTTCAATACTTGATTAAATATCAGAATTTCACAGAAAGCTAAGATGTGACAACACTCTTTAAAATTGTGTATGAACATATCAATGAGAATAGCTTCGAGGATCAGGAGTTTGAAACCAGGATCTATGGTGTAAAGAATAGGTGTTTTGCTTTTGCATGTAGATGATGAATGGGTGGCTGGAGGGCGCCACTGGTAGGTCCTTCTTCTTTACTTTCACTCGGTTGTTCTGTCTTACTGTTTTCCTGCACTAAATTACCATTATTGTGCTATGTGCTTCTCTTTATGGACACAAACAAAAACAAATGCAGATGAGTTCAAAGAAATGAAATTGTTTTATGAATTATCTCTGTCTGTCTTTTGGGATATTGATCCTGCTCAGTCAATGTTTTCCCTGACGGAGAGGGTTTTAAGGTTGCCTCAACATTTACAATTGTTATAATCAAAAGTTTATATAAGACGCTCTCCACGCTAAAGCACATTCAGCAAGCAGGTGGAGCTGAGTGACTAGAAGTACACAGTTTTAGTTTCAGCAAAAGATTTACCGCATTTGCAATACAAATAGGTCATATAAGTGCTGAAGATTTGAGAGCAGAATACAAGGGAAAGACGACAGAGAGATAAGAATGGCAAATGTCGGAAAGGAAAGAAGGAGCAAACCACACCAGATCATCCACCAACTACCCACTATAGAACCCAGACTCCATTGTTGTTACAAACTGGTGGGAGAAAAAAATATGGATGACAGATAATGCCCATATAAGAAGTCTATCTAAGACAAGCCTCACTAGCAGATAGATGATGCACACATAAAATTTCTGTATAAGAAAAGCCTCACCAACACAAGTTTCATTCCCAACTAGGTCAAAGCCAGTATTACACAAACAGTAGGCTTGGTTGCTCTTTCTGTCCACAGTGCAAAGTTGAGTACAGTTGAGGTCAGTAACTCCTTCACACAGATTCTCCGCTAGTGAAAAAAGGACAAAAACAAATACACTAATAATAATAATAATAATAATAATATAGCATTTGCATAGCGCATATCCCTTTACTTTTGAGACAAAATAAGGTATGCTTACCAACATAAATTTAATACAACATTCCTAATTTTGATGAAACAAGTTTTGTCTCAATTGAGAAAATATGGTTGCAATATAGTTAAACAGTTGTAATATAGTTGTAATTTTGCTGCAAAACAAATACAAATGCTGCTATAAAGTTGTAATTGTTGCTTAAATCTCAGGAGGGGGTTTTCCCATTATGCCTGGGCCCTCCTTAGGTACAAAACCTTAAAGTGACTATACATCACTAACGTGATCATTTAATCAAAACAATTGAACCTATATTGATATGTTCTTCATCCGACGAAAGAATTCCCAGTAAAAGAGACCTGTTTTCAGCAATTAACAAAAACTAACATAATGCTGAGGTTGTAAATGGATGTGACCGAGCTGCTGCCAGCGATAAACCAGCACGAGCCACCAGGAATGGCTTGCGAGAGATATAGAGTTAAATATGCAAGCATTTTATTATTTAATAGTATTCTTTTCCAAGATGAAGTAGTTCAACTTCTAACACCAACTTCTTGAATTAAGACTTCAGTTTTCCCTGTTATCTAAGAAAATATTACCAACTTCATTTACACTATTTGCTGTTTTAATGACTTGAAATAATTCATTATGTAAAACTGACATCTTAATTTGATTTTGTAATTATTTTGAAGTGACATAGACAAAAATGAAGTAGACAAGTATTCCTAAATGCAGAGATGCCAACCACAGAAAACCGAAATGAGTATTGGGAAATATGAAAATGTGTATTTTCAGGGGAAAATGTGTATTCCCCATGATCGACCGACCAACCAGTAGGCTAAAACAGCACCTGGACATGGATGGTTGGTGCCTCTATAAATAAATCATTGATGGTCGACCAACCAGAAATAGTAAAATGTTCGGGTGTCCAGCAAAAAAAATTACTAGCTCGCCAGCTCGAAAAAGGGAGCACACACGTATACAATATACATGTATCCAGTCAACAACATGTCAGTGTTCAATGTTGTACTGGGGTCTTGTTCGACTTAAGTATTTCAGTCTATTATATAATATTTTCCTCTCATTATTATATAAAAAATAAATCCTGCTTTGAGAGTTCGGAAGGGCTTATTCGACTATCAAGAACCAGTCTGGGTGTCATGATTCATATTATGAATTGACAGACTCAAATTATTGCTCAAACTCAGAGAAAAGCAATAACTTGAATGGCTCAAGTAGACCCATGCACTGTGAGAATTGTAACAACTGTGGTAGGGCAAGATGCAGTGACACTGAAAATCTGCCAGTCTTGAACAGAAAGCTACAACATACACTGTAGGTATAATTTACTATCACCAATCCAAGTAGGTATAATTTACTATCACCCATCCAATGAAACGCGAACACTTTATTTCAATAACACAGACTTGCAAAGTATGAGGGGTCCCGATTCCGCACACGGCCTGCACCAACGCGCGCTTTGCAGAAAGCTCTAATCAAAATTCTGAAAAGTGCTTCCAAGTTTTTGTCCTCTGGTGTTGCCTTAAACCCCCGATAGTATCTTAAACCCCCCCCAAAATCAATAATCTCCTCCCCTATTCCGTAGTCCTATACTTCGCAACGCCGTTACTCCCACCAAAGACAGTGTTTACTCACTAAGATGCCGCATTTATTTATGACGCGAATGCGCACAGGGTCAGTGACCGGTCACGATGGCGAGCCAGACAATCTAAAATTCGGACGACGCTTGTATTTTCTTTCCTTTTTCTTTTCCACAAGTGACAGCACAGCGACGAGTCAGAGTATTTATTACATTTTATTTGAACGGCGACATTGTGTTTATACTGCACAACCTGCATGCCACAAATGTTGCGCTATCAGACAACTGCTGGCAAACTTCTCGGTGGTAACGAAAGCGAAAGTAGATCTTGATTTTCCCGATCAAGCCTCGGTGTCGCATACGCTTCCGCCTACCGCCACAGCTGCCTTGTCACGTGAAAGTGAAACGTACTCTCCAGACGGGGAAAAGATGAACGAATATAATATCACGATCGCGACCGGCAAAAATGAACTTACTGACCACATCGGACTTGGTTTTCAAATATTCCAGTTCTGCGATACTGATACTATTTTGACAAAAGATGGGACCTGAGATAATTAAGTTTACTCGCCCAAGCTGAATCTTGTAGTTTTCGCATTCCAGGATGCGTATTTTTTCTTGAAAAGTCGTATTCGCGTATTTTCGGCCAAAAATCGTACTAAAATACGTAAAATCGTACTGGTTGGCATCTCTGTAAATGTATGGAACCATAAGAAGGTTTAACCTCGAAACAATATGTTTAGGAAGATAAGCACGCCACTTCAGGAAAGGGAAACGTGCTACTTTCTGAGGTGAATTTTGTCATTTCAGATGATTAAAATTAAAAGCTGCTTTCTTTTTTTTGTTCCTTTATTTCTTTCTCCATTTAAGGTCTATACCCTTTCTTCCTCTGTGGATGTTGAAGGCAATCAGTTCATGATGGGGTAACTATTTTCATTACTAATGTAAAAAGATTAAGTCCAGAAATGGAAAATACAGTTCCCCTCCCTTCCCCCCCCCCCTCCCATTGCATCTCCTATCAGTGTACTCACACAGCAAACAGCTACTTCGATCTTTGTCAAGACGGTATCCCAGCAGGCACTTGCAGTTGTGCGAGCCCTCAGTGTTTTCACATTTGTGCTCACAGCGATGACTTTTAGTGGCACACTCATCAATGTCTGTGGAGTCAAGTACAACAAAAGTTTTATCACTCAAACTCTTTTTGCACTAGGACAAGTAGAGAGTACAACAAAGCGTTGTCACTTAACCTCTTTTTGCACTGAAACAAGTACAACAAAAATTTTGTCACTCAAACTCTTTTTGCACTTGGACAAGTGCAAGACAAGTGCAAACTACATCAAAAATTTTGTCACTTTACCTCTTTTTTGCACTGAGACTAGTACAGCAAAAGCCTTGACACCCAAACTCTTTTTGCACGATATTTAATCACAGATAGTCACTCTTGTTGCATACATAGTGGCAATGCACTGGTACAAGGCACAGACATGGTACAGACAATTACAGAGCAAAAATCACTTTACTCACTTTCAAAATTAGAAAAATACTAAGCATTATCTTATAGATAAATCTTTTTGCTCACATCTGTTGATCTCATTTCATAGAAATATTAACAGTAAATAGCACAAGAGAATAGCCATGTGCCTTAAGTTTAATGAATTGTAAAGAACCACATTAAAAAAAATTCAAGTTCTTTCCTCTTCAAGAGATAAAAATTCAAATCTAACCAAAATTAAGCAAAAGACTGAGAATGATCACATCTGTTTGGGGGGGGGGGGGGGGGGGGGGGAGAGGGGGAGGTGAGAGGAGGAGAGCATGTGTACTGCATAAAGGCTATTGACATTCTGTAACACAAAGCCTTTGCTTCAAATAGGTGAGAAACAAAGTTACGGAGGTAGGGGTAGGGGTAAAAAGGACATTTACAGTACCAAGAATATAAGAGCATACCAAATAGAATTTCAAGACAAAGACTCGGAGGTGAAAACCACCAGAAGCACATTTTTTGGCGGTAAGGACATTTGCCACAATTTTACCCAATTTTGTAAAAGCACTGCTCTCAATTCTTTATTTCAATTGACAGATATGGAAAAGCAAAAAGAAAAGAGCAGGAAGTTAGATAAGAGGTTATAGGATAAGAACACTACGAGGGAAAGCTGAGACTATGAAAGGAAAATAAAACAGAAAAGAAAGAAGAGTACACTGTAAGTGAAAGTGGGTAAGTTGGTGGCTTTGTTGGTTTTGGGGTAGGGGGGTAGGGGGGGAGCTGGGAGACAAACAGTATGTCCAAAACATAAACAAACTGGTTTAAGCAAACATGTGGACAGACCGACAAAATAGATAGACTGGAAGACTAGCTATCACCTTCACAAGTGCCATTCTCGCCACGAGCGTATCCTTTCCTACAAACACAGTCAAAGCTTCCCACAGTGTTCACACATTCCTCTATTTTGAGGCTGCATGAGTGGTCTATTACGTCAAGGCACTCATTGATATCTAAGGAGAGATGAGATGAGATGAGATGAGATAAGCTTTGACTCAATGTGTAACCAAGACTGTTACATTTATCACTGACGTGAGACAGCATTTTAACTGTTAAGTGCAAGACTCCATCATACATCATTTTTCAAATTGGCATTTAGCGGAGACTTACATTAAGCAGTCGTTTTGATCAAAGGAGATGATTAAGAACAAGACATTAAACCAAATGAGATAAGACAGAGCAGAGTGTGAAGTCATGAAATAATATGAAACGATAAAAATGATGTCAGATAAAATGATACAACCCAAGCAGAGATTACAAAGGAGAAGACATGATACAATGCACATATGTACACTGTGGCACCAGGAGAAAGACAAAAAAAGAGATAAAAATAAAGTGAGATGAAATGAGACGGTATTAAGAAAAATGAGATCATATATTTAGGAAATATTCTGCAAAACGAACCAAATCCTTAATTGAATATTTTCATAACAATGTTAATAAAACCATGAACTCCTTAAGTCACAGACAAAAAACCATAGCTATCCTTTGTCACATTAAATCTAGATGGAGTCAGTTTACAGAAATAGCAAAAACAAATAGATATTGAGAAAGCATGACAACTAAATTAGGGGTTGCATAAACTGAGTCTTTGATTAATTCTTTACGTTTCATAATTCCAGAAATTTTTCAGAAAATTAAGAATTCTAAAACCAGACTTCAGTTATTGCACCACTTACCAAGACAGGTCCCATTGACTGTGGCAAACCCTTCGTCACAGCTACATGTGTAGCTACCCACTGTGTTTGAGCACACCTGGTTGTCAGGACATGGCTGCTCCTTCTCCGCACACTCGTTCACATCCTGGCTGCAACTTTCGCCTTTCCAACCATCTGAGCAGATGCAGCCCCGCACAGAGTCACATGTCCCATGGCCGTTACAGTCACATATGCTTTTGCAATCTTCTCCATAGTAAGGGTGCTGGCACGCTGTTTGATGCAGAGATAATCATAGATGAGTAGAATGTCCGTGAATAGATATACATTTTTAGTTTCTTCTTTAAAAGTAGTTTTTACGCTCACATCGATACAATTTAGGTCATTTTAGTGGAGGGCTTTGACCCTGTCCGTCAGTGCCATGTCAGTGCCAACCTGTGCTGAAAGGGATACAACATCCCAGCAGAAAGACTGAAATATTTGATAAAGTCACAACATGGGAACAGAACTTGGGTCTCCTGCAAGCGATGGTAGAGTGTCTAACTACTACACAACAGATGCTGGTAGAAATGATTTATAATGTGTTCATTTTTCTGTGACCATGCATCCCTAATTGAATGGCTTGGTTTAATCTCTTCACGTGGGTTATTTATGCCATATCATAGTGTAGTTACCTGAACTATTCTTGCAAGGGGAAAAAAATCTTCACTGGTGATAATTCACAAAAGGAATAAGTAGTTTCTGAAAGTTATTGTGATTCCTGAAAAGAGCATGAATTTCTCGAAAACTTCCATAATAGATACACTTTCATCTTCAGTTAAAAAAAAACAACCCTAAAAACCCAACTCCTCGGACAATATAGCCATCTTAACTAACTAGAAAAAGACAGTTCCAATTGAGATTCCATCATAAGGCAGTGTTTATTAACTGATTCAGACCGCAGCACCGCTCACAGCGAATGACTTCTCCCGTGTTTTGACGCATTGCTACCTTTCTTCACATCATTTTCCTTTCCTATTTTTTTCTTTCCATTTGCATTTCAACCTTTATTTCTGGTGTCATTGAATACTGTTTTTTGTTCAGAACATTTCTATATACCACACATAGAGGTTTGATCAAATTTAGACATTTTATAATTAACTTTTTTTGAGACCACCCCTGAGGTCATGAAGCAGTCACAAATTATTCGCATCTAGAGTCAAAATTATCTGTGGGCTGAATCAGTTAAAGTTTGATTCCCCTTTTACCCTCAGTAAACAAAGGCTTCAAAAGTTTCATTTTGGTTGCAGAAAAGATTTGTCAAACATTAACCCTTAAGATTCTGGTCCCTGATAAATGTTTGCCCGATAAGCGCAATCCCGCGCGGCGCTCCTTAGCTGGTCCCTGATCAGTCGTTGTCCCGCGCAGGCAACGCACTTAGTTTACGGCGGGGTCTGCATCTGTGTGCTAAAATGTGTGTGCGTCAATCTGCTTGTGCCTGAGTGTCCCTCTGAAACTTACTGCATTGTTTTGCAACGCAAGGCGTTGGTAGAGATAACAGAGCGTCGGTTGAGACGTTCATCCAATGAAATATGAGCATTTTGACCCAGTTAGACACTTGAGGGACTCGAAAGGATATTCAGGAAATAGGACTTTCATCTTTCAATGCAAACACCTTTCCTCACTTTTCAAACGATCTAATTCTTACACCAAACGTTGTTTCCTGATGTAAATAATCATATTTGGTGGTTTTTGAACCATTGTCCTACCAGAGGGAGACATTTGAGAGCAACTGAATAAAAAAAATATTAGGAAATTATCAAATTTTTTTCCCCTTTCGAACGATAGCTGATAAGCAGCTGTTCGCAAGTTCATTCATAATAGGTGTGAAATCTGGAAAACTCTGGAAAAGTTATTCGATTTGGTGTAACTTCCAATCTCAGCGTCTCTGATCTACCGACGAGGGGATAATGGGATTATTCGTGTGACCGTAACACTTATTCATTGATCGTATCAGTTTGCTATAAAAGATGAGGTGTTTTCCTGACCTGCCGCGGCACGCTCGCGTGACCAGTGCCTGACCCCCGCGCCCCGCGGCACAAGCCCGCAGGCGACGTAAGTGGGTCATCGATCGATAAGAGCCCTCTTCCGGTTAACCCCGCAGGACTAGAGTTTAAGTGTAGCTGTAGAATCAGGTGGATAAGTATTTTTGTTTCATGTACTAAATTTCACCTGTGTGCTGCAGATCATAGTGAAAGCTGCTGACCATTTGTAGCCGATGTGGTCTCAATAAGAGTAATCTGATTTCTTTTTTTCTGACTGATGAACCATTCATATAAATTTTAATTGATAAACCATTTATACAGTTTTAACTGATGAAGCATTCAAATAAGTTTGAATAATGAAATATTCACACAGCACTAACTGATGAACAATTCATAATATTAATATAGTTTTAACAGACAAACCATTCATAGTCCTTACTGATGAATCATCCATCACATAGTCTTGACTGATGAACTATTCAAACAGTTTTTTAAACTAATCAACCATTCATATAGACAAACAAACTATCCATATAGATCTAGTCTTGACTGAAGAACTGTTCACATGGTTTTGACCGAAGAATCATTCAAATGGTCTGACAGATGAGCAATTCGTAAAGTTTGGACTGGTGAACTTTTCATATAGGTTTGACTGATGAACCATCAGCTCTTACAAGTCTTAAACATATTCCCTATTTTGTTAATTGAAAATAGGCACACGTTCCCATTTTCATTGTGAAAAGATAAGTATCAAGCTACAAGCTTGTATTTCATTCAAAAAAATGAAGATATGATATCGTGAAAATACATTAAATTTTTCAACACAGGAAAGCAGATATTCATAAGGAATGGGGAAAACAAGAAAAAACCCTGAATGTGGCATCTAATCAGTAGACGTATCAACTTCTAAGAGTTAATATACACTTGACTATATAGAGTCACTCACCAGAACAAGAAGTCTGATCAGCCTGCAGTTTGTAACCAGTGTAGCAGGAACAGGAAAATCCACCATCTGAATTGGCACACTTCTGCTTACAGAACTTGTTCTCTGTGTTGCACTCATCAATGTCTGGAAAGAGATGTATAGCAGTGTAGACAGTGGTTAAAAGGTATATGTGGAAAGCAAGCAAGTCTCAAGTTTGTTCTGTAGCCCTTTAGAGGGACAGAAAGTTCATGAAAACTCGCTCATATAAGCCTACCCACACAGTGTGCCCTTTTGGGCATACTAGTGTGTGTGAGTTGTGCCTCTCTGTACATATAGCAGTGTGCATGAATGTATTGAGTGCATTCTACGTTGATGCTGAATCTTTGTATGTGTTGAATGGGAACTAGATTTGGTTTGACTTGCCATGAAGAGGGAACAAAATTTAGCAGACAACGGCCAAACAGCTGATCGGTTGGGAAGGGGAAGTAGTGAGAGTAATCTCCCCTGCTTTATTGGAATTTACAAAACAATCCACAGCTAATTACCGAAACATAACAATAACATGAATGATCATAAGATCACAAGTTCAACAGTATGTCAATATTCTTCACTGTCTACAGCCAGGTACCTATTCCCATCTGGGTGAAGTGAGGAAAATTCATGTGAAGTGCCTTTTCAAGACAGCACAATGTCGGGCCCTTGACAGTTTACTTTCACAGCATAATATCCTATTTTCCTGAGTTGTACTGTTAAAATATAACATTTAAAAGCTGAAGAAACATGAGGTTAAGATTGATTGGGCTCAGCCACTGCACTATCAACAGTTGAAACTATGATTTTTCATAGATTTACAATATAATTTAACATGACCGCTTTATCTGAAGAATGCAGCACATGAAATTTCAAATGATATCATAACACAGTTTATTCAGTGGTACGTGCACCTAAAAAGAACATGGGAAATTCCACACGAGAGCAAACCATTGTGATTGCTTTCACAGAAATTTGAATAATTTGTGCTCTATGATCACAAAGTGTGGGCTGGTTATGCCACTACAAAAGACAAACCAAAACCTGTGGTTCTGGTATGGTAGCCATGATCTTAACTAAAAAACCCAGAAAAAAATTATTTTAAAATTAAAAATGCAAGTTGACACATTTCTTTGACACAGAGCATTTGAAAAGGATTCTCCTTCATGAACACAAGGGATAATGACATTAATATTAATTAACATCATCAGTGGACAGGGGTGGAGGTGAAAAATGAAATGGTAAAGGTTTAACACAATTAAGTCATTTAAGAAGTGGGACCTCCGAGTTTAATGTCCATCTTCGAAAGGACTGTGGGGGTGGAGGAAAAGTGGAGGAGAATCTTTTAAATCCAAAGTAACAGCGCCATTTTTATTCCTACACATTACCCAGACATAATCTTTTCCGTCATGTTGATGAAAATGAGCAGACTTTTAAGGTGAATGGTTGGCAGGTGCTCTGGTGTGGTTGCTCCCTCTTTTCTATCAAACAACTTTCATACTCATCTCCCCTCCTTCTTTTTTATGAGTGCATGACATGACCTTATTGTGTTGCAAATACCGTAAAACTCTCACAAGCACTAAACTAAAGACTGTTACCAAAGGCTTGTGTTTCAAACTCCAAACCTCAACATCAAAGACAACAGGAAAGCTTGCATCCCTCAGAATAGATAGTTTCATCAGTGATGGTCACTTACCCACACAGTGTGTCTTGTTGGAGAGTTTATAACCTTTGGGGCAGCTGCACACAGCTTTCTGGTCCTCATCCAAAGTGCAGTCATCACTACAGCCTTGGGCATTGCATATGGCTTCTATTGAAGAATCTGGACAAAGGAGTACACAAGCAAAAAAAAATTGCATGATGCAGCCCTTTCCTTTTTATAGCTCACTACTCATGAAGTGCGATTTCCTGTCTAGACTACATTATCCCACCCCTCCTCCCCTGTCCCTCTTTATGAATCTATTCATCCTGCAAAGTCTACCCCCCAAAAAAGTAAGAAAGTAAGGCTCCACTTTCAATCAGTTTGCAGCAGCAATGATCTTTGTGCCAGTAATTTCATAGAATATAAATTGTGAGGCAGCATGGTGAAATCAGACGCTCGTCAAAATAATGTAATTGAAGAAACTGGCATTTTTCTGCCAAAAAATAATTATATATTTTGTTGTGTAAAAGTAGTAAGACTGGGGTCGGGGCTATAATTTGAGCACCGCAATAAAACATAGTCGCAGAAACTTCGAAATTGTGTTTCAAAACTTTCGATTTTTGGTGGAAACGCTCGACCCGGAAGTCAACATTATATTATGACCTTTATTTTAACATGGATATGTGGATTGGAATAGAATCTAAGCTAAAATTGAAGATTGGTTCTCGAGCCGGCGGGGACGGCTTAGCCTACTGACGGCACTTTAGCCGCCGCCGCCTCCCACAGCTCGGTGTAGCAAACGAGTTAAGCTTTTACCAATAACTCCATATGCCAAAAAATTCATGAGCATCTGATTCCACCATGTCGTGACACAATTTTTAGTTTGTACCCAGCACAGAAAGTAGTAAGATAATCAAACAATCATTTGTTGTGCGACAAACATTACTTTGTTTGCAAGTCCGTCCATCATCCTGTAGGATGTTCCCATTGAGACAAGAGCAGGAGAAAGAGCCATCAGTGTTATCACAGTCCTGCTGACAATCATGTGTCCCCTCAGCACATTCGTCAATATCTGCCAAGCAAAAAAGCAAATAGTTACTCAAGCAAAAGGAGAGAACCAGTGTAAGGGTATATTATGACTTACTCAACTTGCTGGGTTACAAATAAAACAAAATGTCTCCATTTTTTCCATAAAACATGAAATGATCTGTCACATTTCAAAGAAAATCAAGAAAACTTTGAGCATATTGGACATTTCTGACAAAATAGCATTAAATGCAGCACATTGGAAAAATTTAATCAAAGACACAAACATAAATTATTGACTCTTTCCGGACGTAGTTTTTTTTGGGTCTAGACATAATTAACTTGTGGCTCGATATGGTTATGCAGGTGGTGTACAAAATAACTTCATAGAAGCATAACCATCCACCAAAACGTAACATATGATATACTAAATTGAAGGAAATTGAATAAAGAATACATCCCAATATGAAACAAGGACTAATTTTGAACATAAGTATGCATTAGAAGGGTTAGAAAAGGCGATGGTGATGAGAAAATAAATTTTGACAGAAAAAATTAATTCACCAAACATGTTAAAGCAAATCAGCACAGCTATCTTATCATTTACAGGCTAAGAGCATAATCCATAAATTTCTGAATGCGCAGCTTTTTATTTGAAAGCAATATTCCAATTTTTGTTTGAGTTATGATATTTATACTGAGTCCGGTTACATCATTTTATTGATGCAAGACCGCAAGAACTAATTCACTCGTTTTTCCCCAAACCCACGCTTTGACAAAGTGAAACTAGATGTTTTCGTTTCCTAAATCCTTTTTGAGTTTTTCAATAGCAATAAAAAGGAATTATAAAGGACGGATCGTGTTAAAACGAAACAAAACTGAGGCACCCTATCAAAGCCGAAGTATCGGTGATACGTCCGCAAGGGGAGTAGACTCGCGCCGATATATCGGCGATACGTCCGGAAAGAGTTAAGTCATATGATGTACAAAGTTGAACAAAAAAGTTACATCACATAGAACCTATCACTGTACTTCTTGCTGTCTACTATTAGCACATGAGGCCAGCAACTGATGAGTAATATATCCAAGGAGTTACATACACAAGCATAGTCTCAAAGGAGGTGTGGACTAACCATTGAGTAAGGTGTGTGCATATATGTGTATACATAGGTATGACACACCACACAATACACACCCATTGTGTGAAAAATAATACTTCATGGAGATGATAATAGTCGCCACTGCAAAACCATTTGGTATTAAGATAAAGCGATCTTTGTCTACATTGGCTGACAACCTACATTAGAGGGAAAAAAGAAATATCTACAACCTCTAAGAGCAGAATAACATCCTCTCCTTCCCCTGGAATACAGTAATCAGGTTCATCTGTGTCTTAATGCAAGTATATTTACAGTTTCCTTTACTATTATTTCCTTCTGTCTCCTTTCGCGAGAAGGTTGCATCATAAAATGGTCAAAAGTTAGTCAGCCTTTAAAGTGTTAGGCTCTGATCTAACAGCCAGCCTTTGAAATACAATTATGAAACACCTAAAAATAGAAACTCACCATTGCACTTGAAGACAGCACCAATGTCCTTCCTGTAGCCTTTATCACAGCTACAGGAGAAGTTACCCACTGCGTTCGTACAGGTAGAGTGTTCTGGACATACAGGGTGGGTCAGGTTGGAGCACTCGTTGATATCTGAGGGACAGCAAATAAAGCAAACTCATACAAATTGAATATCATACAAGGCATTTAAGTAGGTCATTACGAAGGTAAGTCACTTCAAAACTTTGACAGTCTGGCAACAAACAGTTGCCTCAGTTTTATCCAGTTTTTAAGAATAAGAATTTTTTTACCGAAAACATTATTAGATGATAAACTACTCTGTTCATTCTCATGGACACAGTATTTAATCCTATCATAGTCTCTCTTCTAATGAGCAAAGTACTTCATTCTATCAAAGTGTTTCTTCTTATGGTCAGGGTTCTTCATCCTCCGATAGTCTATTTTATAATGAGCAGAAAAGATTCTCCTCTCATAGTCTCTCTTCTAATCAACTCTCTTCCGTAGTCCAGAGGAGTTTTATCTTCGCTGATTTTCTTCCTTCCTCTGTTCGGAACAATGTATCTCTTCCTTCTGTTACAAGAAGCCAAATGTGATATCTTCACTTGTCTTCCCGTGTTCAGAGCAGCATTTTTCTCCCTCTATACACTTGTGTTACAAGAAGCCAATCATGACATTTTCCATGTTCCCCCGTCCCGACAAGTCTGACTCACCAACACAGACAGCGTTGCTTGCCACATAGCCCTTAGGGCAAGCCCCACACTTGTAACGTCTCTCGTTGTCCGGGTCCTCATCTGGGTCAAGGTTGTCGCACGTTTGTCCTGAAGTGCATGGTTGACTGGCACATCCATACACTGGTGTGTCACAGTTGTCACCTGAGACAGATACACAAAGGTTTATATAATATATAGTCAGCACTTATGATCAGTTTTTCAAAGAAATCAACACCAGTCAACTCATTTATACTGTCTTGACTGATGAACCATTCGTAATGTGTCATGATGTGGTGAAATCAGGCACTTGTCAATAATCGCTTGGAGTAAAAGGCAAAATTTAATGAGAAAATGGCAGCCAAAGTTTTGTGAATTCCAAAGCTTATAATTGTCTTTTGAAACAGCAAATTTACATTTTTGTGCCTTTGGTCAATGTCTTCAGTAAAATCCACAAACAAATGTGTCTTTAAATGGATATAAAAGGTGTTGAGCCCCCCCCCTCCAAAAAACCCCCACAAAAAACAACCATAACAAAATCATTAAAAAATATCCCAAGAAGTGAAAAAATGTCGGTTTTTTTATTTCACTCTTTTGAAAAGTGACTGATTTCACAATGACGACACACTTAATATAGTTTTGACTGACTTTCTTAAGCCTTCAGCAGCTGCCAGTTTTTAGGACGAGTCTACTGAAGGTTCTCTAAGCCACAGTCCAACCGGCGTTTTTCCTTGCATGTTTACTTTACTACAGCAAAATAGTGTTGCTCATCATTCAGGGAATTGCATAACAGTTTGAGCATATATTTGGATAATTATCTATGCTGATAATAAGTGGCTGTAATTTTGGGAATGGACAAATTTTGAACACTGCTTCAGCTGCCAGACAGGGACAGAGTTTGGTAGTTGACGATGTTTCAGAGGAATTGTATGGAGATAACAGATGAGCAGGAAGTGTCTGGCAGAAGTGGGTATCCTGCTGTTTTCATCGTTGTCATTAGAATGGATTGGAGCCAGTGTGTGAGAAAATGTACTTAAAGATTTCTATTAAGTGAGGAGGTGTTCTCGGGACTATCGTTTAAAAAAAAATGATGGCAGTTCATCCTTATCCACAAAGATCAAGAACTAGAATACTTCAGCATCCGGGGAAATAAACATTCAGAAAAATCCTAAATTATCCATCTAATAAACCTGTATGAACCTAAGATAAAAAGCAGAAGAATATGAAAAAGACCAACCACTGTAAGCAGGCTTGCAGGCACAGGAGTTGATCAAGAATTTTCCACCAAGAAATTCTTCATCTCTTGTATCAGAACGATCACAGCTGCCATGACCACTACAGTTTGTGCATACCTCTAGAGTTACATACAGGACAACTGATCGACCACCCTTAGGATCTTGGGCTTGCACTCTACATAAGTAAAAAAGAAGAAAAAAAGTTAAATATTACAGAAACAAGTCTTGTAAGTCAAGGGGGCTTAACTTTCACTCAAAGTCAAATAAGAAGACACAAAATGAAATTCTTACTAAGTACAGGATATTTTTGAGGGCACAGCGACCAAAATAAACAATGCTTAGGCAAGACAAGTCCTCACAGTATTCACATAACACATAGTGCAAACACACAAAAGTGGTATTCACCTACACCTAACGATGCATGAGCCATACACCTATCTACACAAACACGCTGGATATCAGCACATTGCTGATGTTTTTGTTGTTGTTGTTGTTATCGATCCAGCAACAGCTGGGCTCTCGCCCTTCTGTCCAATGCCATGTAGTGATAAGTGCAGGTCTGCTGCAGTTGCTGTAATGTTCCATAGAGTGTTTTGTCAATGTTAGGTCTCGGAGGGAGAAGGGTAGCTCTGATGTCATTTAGGGCTGTACAGTGGAACAGGTGATGATCCACAGTCTCATATGCATAGTCACACAAGGGACACATTGGGGGAAGTTCCGGGTTTATTCTGTTCAGGTGGAAGTTGAGCTGTATATGTTCTGTTCGTAGGCGGAAGATCGTGGTCTGTTTCTTTCTCTGAAGGCGGTTGATATTGTCATTCCTTTTTGTTGTGGTCATATGTTTGAAAACTGCTCTGCATGTCTTTCCCAGGGCCCATCTGTTCATCCAATCTTGTTTGTTGTTGCTTTTGATGATTTGTTTTGCAGTGTTGTATGAAGTTGGAATGTTGGGTTGTTCCTGTCTAGATCCCCGTTTGGCGAGTGTGTCTGCTCTGTCATTTCCAGGTATGTCTGAGTGTCCAGGGACCCACTGCATTACTAGGTTGATGCCACAGAATGTTATCAGATGATGGGATCCAAACAGTATATGGGTCAAATCTTGGTTTAGGTGATGGTCATTTTCTATGGCTTGTAATACTGATAGTGAGTCAGAGAAAATCACAATACTCTGTGCTTTTCCAGGATGAGTGTCAAAAACTGCGGAGATGGTACAGTGCTGTTTCAATTGCCATCATTTCTGCATCGTAATTGCTGCATTTCTCTCCACAGGCTGCAGAGATCTCATTGGAACTTCCATCTGGGTACTGTATTGGTATTCCATATCCGGCTTTGGTTGTGCCTTTGAATGCTGAGCCGTCCGTATAGACGTGTATCCAGTCATCTGAATAGCTGTCGATTGTTTGATGTGATGCAAGCATCAGTGTCACTGGGTCTGAAGATTTTGTGCTCTTGTCTTTGAGAGATGTTGTAATGATTGGCTTTTCTAAAGAAAGGTGGGGAGGGATGTTTTGATTGACTCTTTTGGTTTCTTTTCTATTTTGTGGTAGATGGTGGCTCTCCATTAGTTCTGTGATGTGATGCATGATTGACTTTTGTTGAATTCGTTTCTTTAGTTTCCATGTTTCTACTAATTTCCTGTTTGGGTGGATGGGGCACATTCTTTTAGTTCTTTCATGTAGCTCCAAAACTGCTTTATCTCTGTGTATTCCCAGGGGTTCAACATTTGCAAGGATTTCGCACGCGGCGGTAGGTGTGGATCTCATGCCGCCATTTATAAAACGAAGGGCATTGTTTTGGACCTTGTCAAGGGTGTTGCAAGTAGTTGTACTGCACATAGTGAGTAGGCTATTGCTGTATTCCAGGGAAGATCGGACATAACCCAGGTATAGAGCTCTCAAAGTTTGTTTGTCTGACCCCCATGAACTGCTTGCGAGTTTCTTTAAAAGTTGGAGTCTTTTTTTTGCCTTGTTCCTTATGTTCTCCACTTGGCTTTTCATGGTTAGCTTATGGTCAAGTTTGACTCCTAGGTAAGTTGGATGTTCTTCTTTGGGGAGACTTTCATTTCCTATCTTTAGTTTGAGATTTTCTTTGGCTGCTTTATGGCTCTTCGTGAAGATGGTGTATACTGTTTTCGTGCAGTTTATTTTAAGTTTCCATTTCTGATAGTAATTATGGAGCCTCTTGAGGTCTTCATTTAATTTCCCTGCTCCTACTATCGTGCTGTGATGTGTCTGCCAGAGAGCAAGATCATCGGCATAAAGAGTCTTTTCTGATTTCAGCACGTTCGTTACATCATTAAAGAAGATCAGGAACAAAGTGCAACTCAGACAGCAACCTTGAGGTAGGCCTTCCTCGAGTACTTCTCTAGACGAGTGGGCATTGTTTACCTTGGTTTCAATGTTTCGATCCGACAGGAAGAACTTGATCCATTTGTAAAGTTTGCCATGTATCCCGAGGTCCATCAATTTCATGAGTAGGCCTTTTCTCCACACTCTGTCGTACGCCTGTTGGAGATCTACAAAGATGGCGACAATGTGTTTACTCTCCTGGAATCCATCCTGGATGTTTTGACTTAGTTTAAAAAGTTGGATATCAGCACATTGCTGATAAACTTCAAGCACTCTTTAACACGTTAATTCCCTCTCTAAAAGTATTTTATCACAAAAAATTAGCATAGCTACAACTACATTATTTTCAGTCACAGAAGCTGAATCTCTACATCCCACTCTCCATTCACTAACACTCACCCTATAGCCACTGGAAGTGAAACATTGGGAGTATAGACTAAATCTCCAGTGCTGGGATCTAGCTGGACACCAGACAAAGGTCCATCCACTAGAGTATAGTTGAGGCGGTCACCATCAGGGTCTGTGGCCTGGAAGGAAATGGTCACCTCAGAACCTTCAGTCACTTCCAAGTGGCCATCAGCGTTCAGTGTGTTCTGTACTGAGATACTGGGTGGGGAATTGGCTGAAACAAAACAAAACATGATATATAATTTAAGATAACATAAGATAAGATAAGATAAGACAAGTTAAGACAAGATAAAATGATATTGATCTCCACAAACATAGGGTCTGAAGAAAATGTGCTACACAAGCAGACAATCACAGTAAGGAGAATTCACTTTGAGAGCAAAACTCCATGCACTTTACTCACCACCTGCCCTGTACTGAAGGATAGAAGAGCTCATGAGGAAATTAGTATTTTTATTCATGGACAAAATTCCAAATCTGATATTTTGTACAGCAGACACAAGACTGCATCACATAACAGATATACATCAACAACTCGTTAATGTCTTATTTATTAAACCAGACCATTTGAGTGCCCAACCCTCAGCCAGACACAGATTATGAACACAGATACAGACAATATACACAGATACAGATCATGTACACAGATACAAATAATATACACAGACACTGATCATGTACAGACACAGACAATGTACACAGACACTGATCATGTACAGATACAGACAATGTACACATATACAGATAATGTACACAGATACAGATCATTTACAGACACAGATAAGGTACATAGATACAGATAATGTACAGACACAGATCATGTACACATATAATGTACACAGACACAGATCATGAACAGATACAGATAATATACACAGACACAGATAATGTGTACAGACATAGATTATGACAGGCACTGATAATGTACACAGATAATGTACACAGATACAGATAATGTACAGACACAGATAATGTACACATATCATGAACACAGACACAAACATGTACACAGATCATGTACATAGACACAGATCATTAACTCATATACAGATATGTACACAGGTACAGATAAAGTATATCAACACAGATAGCATACACAAGACAAGGAACAAATCCAAAGTTTCACAATGCACGTCCATTTTTTTTACAGCATCAGTTGGGTCAATGAGTAAAGGCTTATGAGCTGGTGAACAGATAACATCAACAATAGCAGCAACAACAGTATATTTTCAGCATCATGTCATGATCATGAAAGTCATGTTTTGAAATTTTGAGATAACTAAAGAAAAGAGTGCCCTATACATAACCATGACTTGATCACTCGTTATTTTTTCATAAAAAACCAGTGCGGAAATAAGAAACAAAACTATGTTACTGTAAGATGCCCTTTAGTGTCTCTATTCTAATAATCAGTTAATCTGGAAACCTCCCAGACATTGATTTGGGTGATTGTGGAATAATGCTGATGAAATAAAGATAATATACCTACCCTGACTGTTTTGTATTGAGTTCGCCTCAGAGTTGGTAGCTTGTGAGTACTTGGCAAAGCTCTCATCATCTGTTGCTATCAGATCAAAGACACAAGCATAATCTGATCCACAGACAGCCCTGCTGGTATTGAGCTTCTGGCTGTCAACTTCTTCTAAGAAGATTGGTTCAAATGTCTTGTTCTGATAATAATTTGTGTTCTTTTCCTCGTCATAGATGAACACAGAGTTACTTGTGGTGACTCGCCCTGGAGGAGAAATACAGTTGAAACTGTTCAAGACGGTCACCCATTGAGGAGAAAAGTGGTAATCTTGGACAGTGTCATTATAACATTTTAAAATAAATGGGTGGCGCAGGAGGGGGTGGGGGTTGAAATTGGAAGAGGGGGTGGGGGAGTGGGGAGTAAGAAGTGTACATCTTGGACCATGTCATTAAAATATTTTAAAATAAATGTTGGGGTGGGAAGAGGGGATGGGGCAGTGGGGATGGGAAGTAGCCATTTGTACAGGCGGCTGTTAGAGTAGGTTCAACTGTATTACAGAAACAGTGAGCCAAAGCAATATAGAACTGTTATATCACAGTTGAAACATCAAACAGAAATGCTTAAGTTATTATCTGCAAGCGTTTATGGGAAGGTAATAATAACAATAATCATAACAATAGTTCATCAATCCTGAACTAATGATGACCTTTAACATCCGTGGAAGAAAAAAAAAATAGATCTTGCCAGCTGCTGCAGGTAGCTAGCATGGTAAAAAGGGAAAAGTTACGAAAATAATAGCTATCAGCTTGTAATGGTCACAAATGTCACAACTCACCGCAGATAGCAGTGCCCTTTTCTATTCTAAAGTGGTGTGTTTATCTGCCTAAACATATGCTTAGTAAAGGGAAAGGTATTAACTCTTAGTGTCCGACTCGCCCCCTCACGTGGCGCACTAAACGTAGCCAACATGCTGGCATGCCACTTCATGTGGCTCTCTATGTCACCAATTATTCTATGGCTTTGTGTAAAAAACTACACCGTGTACGGAAATCTTCTTTCTTAGAGATCACTTTAGAATGGAAGTACGCTATTTTCGAAAGCAGTTTGTGGTGTTTGGAGTGAATTTTCCAGTGAATTTGTTTTGACTTTTTCAGTGCGAATTTGTCAACTCAAGTCAGCTCGTTCGGTTATTATGGCTACTGCCAATAATGGACTGCAAAAGCCGCCGTAGATTTGTTCCAAACTATGTGTGAGGATAAATCCGAGCTTGATTGTAGCGATAGTGACTCAGATGGGAACGAATTCAATGATGTCATTGGCAGAGACGAGTCTTCAAATGAGTCAGATCTTGATGATCCAGTCCGTCAAATTCAACTTGTGACTCTAGCAGAAGGGCGTGCCCTTCACAGGGTACAGGGAAGGGACCTGGTAAAAGAAAGGGAGCTGGTGCTGGGAGTACTGAGAGCAGAGAGAGGTCAAGATCTCCCCTTTTTAGGCCTAGTACTAGTACTGGAGATGGAAGAGGAGACGCAGAAGTGGGGAACAACTGGAGACAAGTGTATGAAGGGGCTACGGTGAATAGTTTTCGGTTTACGCCCCCGAGAACAGGAGTTGACTTGGAGCTTGTGCCACAAGGTTCTTCTCCTAACCGCTGCTTTTTGGCACTGTGTTCAACCACAATTCTCCATGGCCTGGTGACAACTATCAATGAGTACGCACAGCATAAATGTACATAGCTTCGAGAAACTGCAAGTGCAAGATCTGTTTTTCGAACAAGGACAGACATCTCAGTTGGTGAGCTGTACACGTTTTTTGGGGTCGTTATTTCGATGGGTATAGTACACAAGCCAAGCATTCACAGCTACTGGTCCAATGAGCCACATCAGTGCACACTGTGATTCAAGAAAAGGATCACATGAGACAGATTCCAAGCAATTTACCATATGATGATGTTACATGTTAACGAGGTTGGAGCTAAAGGAAAAACGAAGATTGAACCCTTTGTAAATTTTTTGTTACAACATTTTCAAGCTGCGCACTACCCAAAGAAGAATCTCTCCCTCGACAAAATGGTTATCGGTTGGAAGGCCAGGTGGGCACATAAAATGTTCAATGTGTCCAAACCAAAGAAATATCACATGAAGACTTTAGGTTTATGAGAGAGAAAGCGGATACGTCCTGAATTTGCTCATTTATTTTGGGGCTAACACCTCGTTTGATCCTCGCCATCATGATGCTCAACAGGCAGAAAAGCCTGTTAGCACTCAGCGGTCACCTCTATCACCTGGACACCACCTGTGTTGTAGACACGTACTACACCAGCTATCCCCTGCTGAAATATTTATCAAGCGAGAAATTTTATTATACCCGAACGGTAAATATAAATTGACGTGACTTCCCGCCTGAGCTGAAAACAAACAGGCTGGCTTTCAGAGAAACGAGGTGGTACAGGCAGGATACAAAGTACCTGTGTGTATCATTTCCGGACAAAAAAAGCAAACAAACCATGTGTCTTGGTATCTAGCGAGGCACAAGTACAAGCAACAGAGATGAAAGGGGTGGACAAGCCAGTTGTAATTCAAGATTACAATAAAAATATGAACAGCTAAGATAAAATTGATCAGATGGTCCAGACCTATGGTACCTTCAATAGTAGAACAAGAAAGTGGTGGAAGCAGATTTTTCTGTGGATCTTTGAGATCACACAGATCAACGCTTTTATACTTTATACCAAATCTCAGCCTGAAGGTGCCAAGAAGCTTCCGTTGCTGAAGTTCAAAATGAAGCTCATTGATGAGCTGTGCAACCTTGTGACACAACATCTGGCTGACATATAAGAGAACAATGACAACAGAGGTCATGTCCAGCCAGAAAGCCCCTTGAACAGGGTCTGCAACAGTTCACATGTCATTGTGAAGTTGAAACTGACCCGTGAATGCAGAGTGTGCAGCACGCACGAAAAGAGGGTGAAGACTTCATTCTTTTGCAACAGGTGTCAAGGCCAGCCATTTCTGGACCCAAATAAATGTTGTCAGCAATTTCATTCATCACTGTAACTGGGGTTGTGAACCTTTGAATTGAACTGTACACAGTGTAAATCTTTTTATAGAGTTCTTATCCTGTGGTGTGGCGTTAGTGCTTTTTTTTACGAGTATTTGAGTGACTTATTTCAAAGTGGCCAAAAACTTTTTTGTGCGCTTCAGAAACATAGAGACTAGGGGAAAACCAGACTAAGTTGTGAAACTTTAAACTTGAACTGGGAAATGGACATTTATTTGATATACAGTTTCAAGCATTCTGAATGGATTATTATCTGCCGTGAATACATGTAAGTTGAAAATATGTCGATTTTTTTCTTCTTTTTCATCAATTTCTTCGTCCTTCAAGCCACATATCTCTTCTCTCAGGCCTGACATATCTTTTTCTTTAAAAAGTTGAATTGTTTGTTCATTTCTGAAAATTTTGATGTGTCATACAAATACACATGTAAAAAAATAAGAAAGTTATTATACTTTTACCACGGCCCCCTAAAAATCACAAAAAATGGCTGCGTAAAAAGGTGGAATAGGCCCGCGTACACTAAGAGTTAATAGAGTAACACGACAACCATGCTAAGAAAAGTCACAGGCAGGTACTGACATGACAAGGTAGTGGCAAAGTCTTTAAAACACATGAAAAGGTCTTTTTCGGCCACTGTAGTCTATTTAGTATTTAGTCAGAGCGTATCTAATTTTAAAATTGAAAATTTTGAAGCTTGAATCCAAGAAGGGTTAAAATTTTTCTTATCATATTATTAGAAAGACAAATGAAGAAATGGTTTTATCCATAGCCAAGATTCGGGTAGAACAAGCTATAACCATGTAAACAAGTGTAAATAACTGAGACAGGCGTTCCGAGTTGACACGTCTGGTCTGACCTCTTTGCACAATGTAAGTAAAAAAACAACACACCTCGCATTGTTTTTGCATTGTAGAACCCACTCTTTCTGCCCGATAGTCTATATATAGATATGGCCTCATAACTAAAATGATAAACTTTCCAGGGATGTTACTCCCTTTATTCAAAACTTAGTTGAAGCTGAAATATCAACGAAACAATACACAGGATAGAGCAGCCGTACATGTACACAGTATGGGGCAGCAGATTATCGGTCCGTATGAGACACGTTTACACAGCAGTGAAGTGGATAATAAATTACACTTTTTGTGCACAGAAGGTTATTAGAATTAAAGGAAAATCAGCAACAAAAAGAGAAGCAAAAATATACAGCAAATCGAATGAAAACCAATGCATAATCATGGCAGTTCAGACTGGGATCACATTCCATATGTTTTGTCAAGTCAAGTGACCAGACCATCTGCAAGCAACATAAAGACTAGGGGAAAACCAGACTGAGTTGTGAAACAGTCATGTTCTTTGGTCATACTATTTTTCTCTTTCTGTATACTTATAGTAAATCAAAGTAGAGCCGCACTTACAGCAGATCAAATGAGAGCCACACTTATAGTAAATCAAAGGGGAGCCACTTACACAACTCGGCAAAATTCATCAGGATGTTCCTTTCACTGTCCACCATGGAATCAGGAAGCACAGTACCATTTGGATGAACAAAATCATTGGTCTTTATGCCATCAAAATTGCCAAGTAATCCTTTCACTTCTCCTTTGAGAGTTGTTGGTATATCGATGGAAAACTCCAAGTTCCTGATACCCACATAAACTGTGATTGAAATGGCTGGGAAAGAGAAAAATAGGTTAAGTGCAGGTTCCAAGTAAAATCTCTCCTCGGACATGTAAGTTATCAGCCAGTCTAAGAAAGTATGAAATTAAGACAAATATCTAATGCAGTCCGCAATTCAGTTGGCATCAAAGAATACAGTTAAAGAATACTCCACTCATTCTATAGCTAAAGATGATAAACCTCAGTTCAAAAGTTAAACAAAATTATCTTAAACAATTATTTACTCTGTTGGTCTATGTAATACAACTGTTGCGTTACAAGTAAGCAAGGCTTTTTGACCTCATTTGGAGGGTGTGAATTTGCATATGAAAACATTTGTATGGGTTGCTTTAAAAGAACAACTAATCAAATAGTCACCATAAACAAATTGTTGGCAAGCTGTTCAAATTATACTAAGACAAAAATTTTGAAATCTTTTTAAATTGCAGTTTCTACATCTGTGATATCGGTCTCATTGTTTTAAGAAATGTTTTGTTGAAATTCAAATTCTAAATGTTGAAAAAAGCAAGGAAAGAAACATAATTTAGGTGCAACTAAAAAAACAACAACAAAACCAGTCCCCCCCCACCCCTGGAAAAATTTTGCTTTCTGGACTTAGAACAGTTGACCAGCTTGTTGATGAAATGAAGAACAAAAATGAAGATGATCTCACAAGAGGGAAAAGTAGCTGTGACCGAAATACGTCCATCAGACTCCCTTGTTCTCCTTTGAACACCCAGGGTATCCTGAATTGACTCAGAGTAACTGTCCTCCCCATAGAACTTAGTGGTGATCTCATCTCCATTAGCATAGAGAATCATTCCTGAAAAAGAGCACATTTGATAATCAGTCATAAAAAAAACTTTTTTGAGACGTGTAGCCTATACTTTATGCCAGTAATAGTTTCGAGATGTTCTTGGCAGGCCTGTTTAAATCCAGATGTTATGCATTAAGAGAAACCAATTCTGATATCTGAAAAAGGAAATTGTGAAATTCTTAGAGATGGATTTTTAAAAAAAGTATTATTTTTGCCTTCATTTGAGAAAAATCAAGTAACCTGTAGGTTGTTATTTAATTCAGAACACAAAGAAAATTCTCAGCAGCAAAATCTTTTTATCGTTTTTTTTTTTGGTGCTACTTTTATCTTCAAGAAGGTTCTCTTTCTGATAGGCTGTTCTCTTGCTTTTCAGTAGAAGGAAATGACATTCCTGTTTTAGACCCTGGCTGCAAATATCAGAATTGTTATTTCTTTTCTTTATTAACTCTTTTCCTACCAGGCCAAAATCACCACTGGCCCATGGCTTTTCCCTGACCTATTTTTAGGCCCCTACCCCACCAAACAAAAATGTCAAAACATCCAACTAAATACACACAAACCATATCATATTTCTTTTTTTTTTTTAAGTAAGTGTTTTATGGCACTTGCAACACAATAAGGTCATATAAGTGCCGAAGATAAGAGGTGTTACAAGAGAGAAACAAACACAAAAAAGAAGGAGAGGAAATAAAGATGATAGATGTTTGACAGGAAAGAAGAAGTGAACCACACCAGAGCACCCGCCAACCACCCACCCATATCATACGGCCCATCAAACACAAGGTTAAAGAATAATCTATGAGATGGTGGTGCAATATTGAAGATTTATTTCAATTATATTAATTTGGGTTTTCTAAAAGTGATTATGCAATATTGAAGGCGGTTATATGAAATCAACAATTTTCCAGCTTTGAAAGGTCATATAACTAAAAAAGCACAGCAACAGCACAATTCAAACTTCCCAGGTAGGTTGCCTCAAGCAATGGAAAAAAAATGCGGAAAAAGTTGTACACGCATACCTGTTACAGAAGTGAAAATATGAGATGTATACTGAAGTCAGGAGAGCACTTTTCTTTTCAGTTTTACATTGCGAAGGGGACAGAAAAAAGCACTGAAATGACTAAAAATCGTCTGTCAGTGCTATATTATTATTTCCTTTCATATATCTGTTAACAGGAAGTCTATTCTATTATTTCCAAAATGTGGATCGGCTGAGAATTTCGTGTCTTTTCATTACTGGATTGGAAAAAATAGCGAGCCACTCGAGCCGTATTTTGCGGCTCTCGGTCTGGCGAGGCCACATCCAGTAAGGGAGGCTCTCGCCGTCCGCGAGCCGCATTTTGCGGCTTGCGGTAGGAAAAGTGCTAAAGAGATAGAATGAAAACAATAGTACTATAATCCTTTGCCCATAGACATCTGCTGTAAATGTCAATTGGTCACAACAAACAAAACAAAGAAATAAAATACTGGAACAAATGACATCAGTTACTGTAAATTTAACTAACATCAGATTAGACAACAAACAAAACATCAACACACCTTATACAAAAACATACAAGCTACATACAAAAACCAGAATCTGAAAGTATTTGTCATTACCGGACACTACATAGATGGGCAAAAATCCCAAAACAACCAAATTGATGTCCTTAATAACTTTTCTGCTGTAGTTTCTCGAAGAATCAAGAGTACATCTTGTTCCAATACCACACAAAAAGGGATTGTACACTTATCAAGTGGATATGGCCAATATCACTAAAATACACCAATCAAAATAAACGTAACCTACAACAACTTCCAATACCAAAACAAATGTTAAGGAACTTCTCAAAATATGCTCCTCACCGTCTAGATCATCGTTCAACTCTACTTGAAATAAAGCATCTGAGCCTTCTTTGACCACAAATGCCACAAACACTGTAGCCCGGGTCTTGTTTCCATCTTTGTTAATAGCTTGTGCTGTTCGGGCTTGGAGCATGAAATCCTCCGAAGCAACCTATGCATAAGACATGAACAGGAAGTTGATAAGTCTACATTGCCTGCCTCAGGTCCTTCAAAGTATTGCTAATGTCAAAAGGTGAAAGAGAAAAACATGCCGGAGTGTCACTCAACATTAAAAAACCCCTCACCTGAATGTGTAGTATGGTTAATGCTAAGGCTTGATATCCTACCGCAGGCCTACATACATAAAGTCAAACCATCTCAAAAGGTAATCTGTTCAACACGGTCCCCTGTACAAATGACCACTTTCCATTTTCCCCCTTACATCTGTCTAAAAATTCCCCTCTGTCTAAGACAACCACTTTTCTCCTCAACAATGGGAGACTGTCCAGGACAATTTTGACTGTATTTGCAATTCCCACCACTGGAGAAGTAAACAGTCTTTATTTTCCACAATCAGATTTTTTTAAAAGCTAAACAAGAAACATATCATTATCAACTTCACAATGATGGGATGAGGACTCTGAATGTCCTTGAAGAGCCAGAAAACGGTAAGAAATGCAACATGTATTAGATGGGTTGGAAGGGTAAAGACTTATTTGTTCTTTACAGGATTTTAAGATCAAATGCACCATAGCCTGCAGGTGAGTGAGTGGGTTGATGGATGGGTGAGTGAATGAAGGAGTACGCAGGTGAACGAGTGAGTGAGTGGGTGGGTGGATAGATGAGTGACTGAGAAAAGAGGCAGGGAGGGATGGATGAAGAGGAATAGCTAATACACAGATTAATAGGAGAATAGATGAAAAAACAAGTAGTCAACAATATAAAAGTCACATTTGTGGTGAAAATCACCATGGTTTTGAATGTTTGCATTGCAGAATATGGAAAAACATTAGTTCATTGGCAGCCTCAAGCAAAACATTTGTACTGTCAAGCAGATTAAACCTGGGGATATGTTTTACTGGTCAAAACATATCCAACCACAGCATGAAGTAAAAAGAAAAAAAAATCTGCTCCTGCTTGGTCTATGTTAACTGTTTATCATTAAAAAAAATTTTTTTGAGGGGTAAAATGCAGCACTCAAACACCTCCATTGACATAATTTAGATAATTGAGGAGGCAGTCTTTCAACCATGCCTGTCAAGGCCAACCTGGGTAGAGAGGGATACAACATCCCTGCAGAAACACTGACAGCTTGAAAACAATTTTTTACCCACTCAGGAACTTGCCTCTCCTGTGTGTGACAGCGAAGCACCTCCGCTTCTCCACAGACGCCTGTGACAATTTTTTGCAAGCCTATAAATTGAAACTGCCCTCCACTATAGACTGTGAATGAACTATTGAAAGACTGCTGGCAGCAGATGTCTAAAAGGTATTAATTGTCAATTGGTATGCATTTCGAACCAGAGCCAAGATGTATTCGCCGAGTCCATTCATGGTGTAATCTTGACCATCTACAGTCTTGATGTGAGGGTCACCCAGAGCACGACCTGATGAAAATACAAACAAACAAAGCAAATCATATCAATCTGGAGTATAAATACAAACAGTGAAATATCTTGGACCTCATGTATCTATATCTATTTATCTACCTACCTACCTACCTTTCTGTCTGTATATGCATTCATACAATACAAAGATGTAGTTATTTCACAGTCATAATTTCCTTTAATTATAAAAATATGAGCACCGCATACTTTCAATCATTTTACACACAGCAACTTCATATAGAAATGGAAACAAATTTCTGTCTTCATTATTACTCATCTCGTTTATACCCTTAACTCTTAGTGTCCGGCTCGCCACCTCACGTGGCGCACTAAACGTAGCCAAAACGCCGGCACGCCACTTCATGTGGCTCTCTATGTCACCTAATATTCTGGGGCTTTGTGTAAAAACTACACCGTGTACGGAAATCTTCATTCTTAGAGATCACTTTAGAACGGAAGTACGCAATTTTCGAACCCAGTTTGTGGTGTTTGGAGCGTATTTTCCAGTGAATTTGTTGTGACTTTTTCAGTGCGAATTTGTCAACTCAAGTCAGCTCGTTTGTTTATTATGGCTGCTGCCAACAATGGAAGACAGCAAAGGCTTTCTGCCCAAGCTGCCGTAGATTTGTTCCAAACTATGTGTGAGGATGAATCTGAGCTCGATTGTAGCGATAGTGACTCGGATGGGAACGATGTCATAGGCAGAGACGAGTCTTCGAGTGAGTCAGACCTTGATGAACCCGGTCCGTCAAATTCAACTTGTAAGTCGAGTAGAGGGGCGTGTCCTTCAAGGGGTAAAGGGAAGGGGCCTGGTAAAAGAAAGGGAGCTGGTGCTGGGAGTACTGAGAGCAGAGAGAGGTCTAGATCTCCCCTTCTTAGGCCTAGTACTAGTACTGGAGATCATGGAAGAGGAGACACAGAAGTGGGAAACAACTGGAGACAAGTGAATGAAGGGGCTACGGCAAATAGTTTTCGGTTTACGCCCCCGAGAACAGGAGTTGACTTGGAGCTTGTGCCACAAGGTTCTTCTCCTATCCACTGCTTTTTGGCACTGTTTACTACAACAATTCTCCGTGGCCTGGTGACAACGATCAATGAGTACGCACAGCATAAATGTGCAGAGCTTCGGGATACTGCGAGTGCAAGATCTGTCTTTCGAACATGGACAGACATCTCACTTGGTGAGCTGTACAAGTTTTTTGCCGTCCTTATTTCCGTGGGTATAGTGCACAAGCCAAGCATTCACAGCTACTGGTCAAATGAATCATATCAATGCACACCGTGGTTCAAGAAAATGTTCACACGCGACAGGTTCCAAGTAATTTACCACACGATGTTACACGTTTGCGAGGTTGGAGCTGAAGGAAAAGCGAAAATTGAACCGTTTGTAAATTGTTTGTTACAACAGTTTCAAGCCGCGTACTACCCAAAGAAAAATCTCTCCCTCGATGAAATGGTTATCGGCTGGAAGGGCAGGTGGGCACATAGAATGTTCAATGCATCAAAGCCGAAGAAATATCATGTGAAGACTTTCGGTTTATGCGAGAGTGAAAGCGGATACGTCCTGAATTTGCTAATTTATTTTGGGGCTAACACCTCGTTTGACCCTCGTCATCATGATGCTCAACAGGCAGAAAAGGTTTTTAGCACTCTGCTGTCACCTCTGTCACCTGGACACCACTTGTTTGCAGACAGGTACTACACCAGCTATCCCCTGCTGAAATATTTATCAAGCGAGAAATATTATTATACCGGGACGGTAAATATAAATCGACGTGACTTCCCGCCTGAGCTGAAAACAAACAGGCTGGCTTTCAGAGAAATGAGGTGGTACATGCAGGATACAAAGTACCTGTGTGTAACATTCCGAGACAAAAAAGCAAAGAAAGCGTGTGTCTTGGTATCTAGCGAGGCACAAGTACGTGCAACCGAGGTGAAAGGGGTGGACAAGCCGGTTGTAATCCAAGATTATAATAAAAACATGAACGGCTGTGATAAAATTGATCAAATGGTCCAGACCTATGGTACCTTCAATAGAAGAACAAGAAAGTGGTGGAAGAAGATTTTTCTGTGGATCTTTGAGATCACACAGATCAATGCTTTTATTCTTTACACCAAATCTCAGCCTGAAGGTGCCAAGAAGCTTCCGTTGCTGAAATTCAAAACGAAGCTCATTGATGAGCTGTGCAACCTTGCAACACGACATCTGGCTGAGATACAAGAGAATAATGACAACAGAGGTCATGCCCAGCCAGAAAACCCCTTGAACAGGGTCTGCAATAGCTCACATGTCATTATGAAGTCAAAACTGACCCGTGAATGTCGAGTGTGTAGCACACGCGAAAAGAGGGTGAGGACTTCATTCTTCTGTAATGGGTGTGACAGCCAGCCATTTCTGCACCCAAATAATTGTTTTCAGCAATTCCATTCATCAATGTAACTGGGATTGTGAACTGTACATAGTGTAAATCTTTTTTATAGTTTTTATCCAGTGGTGTGGTGTATGTGCTTTTTTACCTGTACAGTATTTGAGTGACCTATTTCAAAGTTACAAAAACTTTTTTGTGTGCATCAGAAACCCCTGAAACTTTCAACATGAACTGGAAAATGGACATACTTTCATTTGATATACTGTTTCAAGCATTCTGAATGGATTATTATCTGCCATGAATACATGTAAGTCGAAAATATGTTGATTTTTTCGCCTTTTTCATCAATTTCTTCCTCCATCAAGCCACATATCTCTTCTCTCATGCCTCACATATCTTTTTCTTTACCAAGGTTGAATTGCTTGTTCATTTCTGAAAATTTTGATGTGTCATACAATTACACAGGTAAAAAAATAAGAAAGTTATAATCATTTTACCACAGCCCCCTAAAAATCACAAAAAATGGCTGCGTAAAAAGGTGGAATAGGCCGGCGTACACTAAGAGTTAATAATATTGTACTACATGTACAGTCCATGCCGGCTTTAAGCACGGTCGTCGGGAGAAAGCTTAAGCGTGCTTAAAGCCGAAGCGTGCTTGAGTGCAAAGTAGACCTAATCCAGAGATTTTCATGTAGAAAATTGCGTGTGCTATTTCCCTTTGTTTGTAAGTAGGCCTATAGCGGTCCCGCAAAAGTCTGCACTGTTATTTAGACACCCGTCGTGGTAGTTTTTATTCGCTTGTTTGTTTTTGTTTTGTGATCGAATGGGAAATGAAAACTTAATTTAGACGGCCAGTCATGATACAGCACACTAGGCCTACACTCTGCCTGTGCGTACCATTGCCCGCTGTGCCACTCATACCACCGCCTTCATTCATCCCACCTCACGCGTGATACACAATCAGGATTAAGGATAGCGAGGGTCAAAGGTGAAATCGCAGCCAGCCCCCCTTTCTCGTCTCCCCGACTCTCTTTGTATTTTTTTTGGTTGTGTGTAGCTTTGCCCTAGGCCTAGGCTAGATCCTATGTCCGCAAGCGCGGCTGTGTGCATCTCCCTTCCTCTCCGCCTGTGTGAGTGTGTGTGTCCATCACTTGCATTCTTTGTGTTTCTCTTGACACACTCCACTGCTGCGGTGTAGACTGTGTTCGAACTTCGATGGGTCATCATGAAAATATTGACTGTCTTGTAAATAAAGCATGCTTGAAGCCGAAGTTACTGTGCTTAAAGGCGTGTAATTTATATAGCAAAAATTCAGTAAGAGCCGTTTAGCGTGCTTGAGTCCGAAACGTGCTTTAAGCCAGTGTGCTTAAAGCCTGCACGGACTGTATATGCATACCTGAGACAAATGTGGCGTTAGGATTGCACTGTTCCTGTGGCCGCACTTTGTTGAACATTGCACATGTCTTAGAAGGTTTGGAAGAATCTCTGCAGCACCACTTGTGAGGTAGCATGTCCTCTTGGCGAGAGGATCGAACTGAGTCTTGCCACCACCACGGGTCATACAACAAAACATGGCCAGCATCTGGGTCACTGAAACACAACAAAAACACTTTTGTTCAAAACTAATCAGTGCACGCGTGCAAAAACTGCAGCATAAATAATGACCTGACAAGAATGTATGGGAGACGCAAATGCTCATTGTAGTACAATTCAGCAGTTGACCATAGAGTAAGCTACAACATAACAGGACATTAGACCAGAGAGGACAACACAATATGACTTTAAACCTCAAGGTACAATACAACATGACACTAGAGAACAGTATGCAAAAAATGTGACTTGCCAAATAGAAGAAAGCCAAAAAACAACCAGATTGACAACACAAAACAAAATCAGAGTACCTGTTGTTTATTGATATTCTACATTTCATTCTCTCTTTTAAGAAAACAATCGTAAATTCTTTATCTCTATGAACTGCATCCTATATTATCCTCTAATTAAATAAATTCATTCAAAGTGCATGATACACACTAACTGTATTAAAAAAGCATGATATAAACCTCACTACATTCTCATATACAAAATTTACAGGCAGAGGATAGTTTTGAACAAACGAGTCTCAAGATTTTTCTTAAACTCTGCCTCTGATGTTATGCTATACGTTTCTTTTGGGAGAGAATTCCAGATTTTGGACGCATAGAAAGAAAAAAGCTCTCTGCCCAACAGGTTAAACTTTACTGTGGGCACTCTCACAAGATTCTCGTCCACAGATCTCAAATATCCTGATGGTACATGTGACGCAATAATATCTTTGAGATGTGGTGGTGCTTTGTTGTCTATGTGTTCCGCACTATTTACCGATTGGTGCAATCGTTTTAAAGATCGTATAATAGCGCAGCAATCCTAAGATTGCGCTGTGCGTTTTAACGATTGTATAATTGTGTCATTCTTGTGAGCTCTTCAGTTTCATATCTTAATTTTAATATTAATTTAAATATTCATATTTTTACACTTTTGAAAATGTATGTGAATATTCTGTGATGTGTGAATAAAAGAATAAAGAGGTAAGTGGATTTTTAAAAAATGAATAAAAAAAAAAAAATTAACACAATCTTCAGACTGCCACCCAGTTATATGATCATTCAAACACACGTCGCAATCTTAAGATTGCCGCGCAATTATATGATCGTTAAAATGCACAGCGCAATCTCGATCAGTAAATAGCGCTGAACATATGCACTTGTGATATAAAAGAGCAATTTGGTAATCAATTCTGTCTGTAACAGGTAGCCAATGTAACTTTATTTATAAAGGTGCGATGTGTTTATATTTAAAGTTTTTTTAAAAAGATTAATTGAGCAGCTCTATTTTGGAACTGCTGTAGTCTGTTAAATCATTTCCAAACTTAAAACTGGTAAGAGTAATCAAGTCTTGATAAAAGAAATGCTGTGATGAGAATCTTGAGAGAATGTTGATTCAATAGATGAGAAATTTAACCTATACTCCTTAATTCACAATACATTTGTTTGCCTAGGTGATTACTGACAAGAACCCCCCCTCCAATTATGAGCTTACTTGTATTGAATGAAGGAGCCTCTCTGATAGGCATCCCACCAAGCATCCCATAAACCTGTCCAGTCTACTGTTCCATTTTCAGACACAAAGTCTTCAGTCTTGGGAACTGAAACCTTGTAGCAACAAAGCTGTAAAGGAAAACAAAAATAATTTCAACTTGAATCATGAGAAATTAGTGCAAAGACCTCATAGACAAGACTTCTGGACACCTCAGAGGTCACTGCCCAGTATACTCATCTCCCACACAAGCTCCGTTCAGGACCATGAACAAGTAAATATGCAACAAAATGTTGTTTTTGAAAAAAAAACCTATCCGACTACTACAAAGATGGCACTGAACCACAGAGTACAACACAACAATGGACCACAGGGTACAAGACAACACTCGATGACAGAGTACAACACAATATAACATTTGACCACAGGGTACAATAAAGCACTAGATGACTGCGTACAACACAATATAACATTAGATCACAGGGTACAGCACAACACTGGATGACAGTACAGCACAACATGACATAAGCCCGCAGGGTACAACAAACACAACACTGGACAACCAAGTGCCTTAGATGGGCTACAGTAGAAAATAGTTTTATAAAAGGCTGCAGCTAAAAGCAAATACAGTCTAAGATAGCCATTTATTTTTTAGGAGAAAAGTCCTCGTCTTTTACGAGTGGACATCTTGGACAGCGTCATTATAATATAAAAAAAGATGCAAGGTGGGAAGTGGTAATTTACACAGGTGATTATTTTGAACAGGTAGCGGATAAAACAGGCTTGACTGTATAAAAAAAATCATCTCTCCCCCTTTCTGTCAACATCACTCAAAGAGCAATTAGTCAGGTAAAGAATTATTAATCTTGACTATCAGTCTTCATGAAATGTCTAGTGTTGGGTGTAACCCACATACCCTGTTGAGTGTGTTTCCTTCCAGGCGTTCCAACCTTGACTTAGCCACAGGACTGAGGGCAGCACAGACTAAGAAAGTCCCAGGCTGGTCTGGTATCTCCTGCCACTCAAAGAACCACCATTGACGTCCCAGCCGCTCCATGGTACAGGGACAGTCAAACAAGCCTGAAGTAGAGGAAATTCATGACAATCCTAACCTCTTGATATGTAATAATAATAATAACAATTTATCCATCAATGTCTCATGGTGACCAATACATTTGCAGAGGAGACTTAAAAAAAATGGGAAATAGAAGAAATAAGAACTAAGATGATTTATGACTTCTTATGACTTCTGCTATGGCCAAAATGACCAATTCTGACAGTTAAGAGTAAGCCACATTCTCTCAAGGCTGAAGAATTTATTAATTTTGTGAAGCCACTTATGACTATAGAAATGGTCAAAAGACCCCATTGTTTTCTGTACTTCTTGACCCCCTGACATTTTGCAGAGCATTAGATCAATATCTCTTTTGCAGTACAAAAACTATTCCAATTATAATGAGATGAGTGGGGTAACTAGCATGCCATCATGAAATGAAGTGAATTGCAATATATTCAAACTTTAGCAGATGGCCAACTGCAGTGAAACAAGACTAACTGAAACTACAAACATTTTCAGCTCTTTTAAGTTTTCAGCAACTTAACTACCATACCTTAGACTTTAAAAACCTGCAAGTATGGTATTGTGAAAAAAGCAGAAATAAAACCACCTGGCAGCATTGCAGCCTATTAAGCACACTTTGCAGTTATTGGCAAGTTCCACCTTTTCTGACAAGCGTTGAGAGACAAAATGATCTGAAAGTTACCATCGATCATTTGGTCGTAAGTGTCGTTGTTCACCAGATGGCTGTTTTTGAGGTACCACTGCTCACAAAGGGCATCTGGATTGTCCATGAGTCCCACAAAATCAATCTCTGTTCCGTATCGTCCTGTACAAGCATAAAATCATTTATTTGTTTGATTCTTTCAGTGCAATGGAAGCGCACTGACATCATAATGGTCGATGAAAGCTATGAAAAAAACAAACATTTAACAACACAAATATCAGAGGAAAATAAAATGAAGAATATTTACCAGAAGGTGTCCGTTCCTTTACAAGGCTATCAATGTACTTTAAGAATATTCTTTCAAAAGTCAGGGATTTCCAGAAACGCTGAATTAATTGCTTTGATTGACAACATTCCAAGTGAAAAATACATAAAAGATCGAGAGAAAAAAGAAGTAGAAAAAGCAAGTTAAGACTGCAAAGGTCGTAATTATTTTTTTGAATTTCAAACTATTCCATTATGATGTTTATGTGAGTTTTAAAATAATGTACTGTATGAAACAAATCTACTTGAAACCACAGCCATTACTTTTTCTTCTCTAAACGTTATATCATTTGAAAAGAAGGAAAAGAGTTAAAGTTTTAATCAACACAACTTCTCTCTCATTTAATTTGAAATACTATTTACTTTTTTACTGGGACTGCCAAGTAACAAAGACATACCTGTATTTCCGATACGCTTATCTAACACCGTTGTGATTTCAGTGTTGTAGTAATCATTGATTTTGCGGAACTCAGGAGTAGGTGAGACAAAACCGACAGCTATCGATCTGTAAGCCTCAAATTGCCACTTCATTTGGCCGTACTTGTAAGTAGTCAAGACAAATGTCTGTAGTCCATCTGTGATCAGTACTGACTGGAAAGTGTTCCTTTCTCTTTCCTTCAAGAGTAGAAAGCAAATAAAATTTATTTCATAGAGAAACACACCCTCTGGGACATCAAAATGTATTTACTTATTCAATTATCATTAAAACATTCTGAAATGTGTTTTTCTTTTCAATCATTTAGTGAAGCACCATTTCCTTGTGTCTTTATAACTCTAAGCCTAAAGGACAGACCAAAGTGCACAAATGATATTGAGAAGTACAATAAAAACCCTAAACACTGCCCGTTTTAGTACAGCATTCAGAAGTGAGCATGCCTTAACCATATTCAAAGCATTCTGAAGAGACATCCAGCAGGTTTGAGATCACCACCAGGACAATATGCAATGGGGGCTGATCTGCCCAGATCATGAGCAAAATACCAAGAAGCTATAATGTACTATAACTGAGCTTGCCAAATAAGGTACAGAATGTGCTGTTTCTGAGCCAATGGCCTCTAAAACATCTCTCTCGCAAACACAAAGTAATTTATTTAGATTCTTTGAGTAATGAGAAGCACATTGACCCAATAATGGTAATTTTGTTCAGGGAAAAGCAAAGAAGACAAACAGAAACAACATAAGGAAGAAAAAGAAATAGGACCTTCCAGTGATGCCCTCCAACCACGTTGAATTACCACAATTCCATTTTCGTACAAATCAAACAAGAAAACAGGGAACATCTAAATGTTAGCAAAAAAGCTGATTTACTGCTAAGATCTAACAGCTTGTTAATTTCTGACATATGCAGCTGCTTTCAAGAGATCTAATTAGGGATATTTTAAAATATAGACACACCACGTGCCATATTATATCTGTAGATAAAACTCAGAGGAATTTTCTATGAAATATCACTGGGATGATCGAAAATCTAAACACCATACTGTAAGGTTAAAGATGAAAACCCTTTGATTGGCACTATAACTCTAGCAGCAAACAGTAATCAATAATAATAATAATGAAGATAAACACAGCTCTAGGCGCTTTACATAAATGAATGTACAAACAATATTCACGCACGCTACACACACACACAATACACACACTCATACACACACACACAAACACACATACATATACACATACACACACAAATACACACTCACGAACACATAACACACACATGTGCACACACATGTATGCCAAACACAGACACACAGACACACACACACACACACACACACACACACACACACACACACACACACACACGCACACACACACACACACACACACATCTACTTGCTTATCACACGCACACGCTTACACATCGTCACGAAATGAGCATAAAATAATATACACAAAGATATTCACAAAATACATAAATGGATACATAGTCATTCACATAACATTGTACCGAACATGAATCTACTGACATAAAAAGGATGTCATTAAATGTGTCTTTAAAGATTTCTTAAATTTAGACTCAGATGTTGTATGTCTCAAGGGTTGAGGAAGAGAGTTCCAAACTGACGAAGCAAGGTTGGCGAACGATCTTTCAGTTAATTTTTTACCCCCTTTTCTAGGAACTCTTAAAAGATACTGATCGCCTGATCTTAGTGATCTAGATGGAATATAAATCTGGATGAGATCACTAAGATATGAGGGAGTTTTGTTATTGACTCATTTATGACATAATATTGCAATTTTATATGACATTCTAGCTGACACGGGAAGCCAATGCAACGTTCTTAACATGGGCGTAATGTGGTCCCTCTTCTTTTTCTTTAGTACAAGCCTAGCAGCATGATTTTGAAAACGTTGTAACTTGTGAAGAGTGGTATTTGGTAAGTTAGCTAGTAAAGCATTGCAATAATCGATGCGCGAAAACAAGAAAGATGACACGAGCGTTTTCAACGAGTGTTCATTAAAAAACATAGACATATGACCAATTCTACGCAATTTACAAAATAAAATGGTACATAAATAATTGATATGATGTTCCATTGACAATTTTGAATCAAAATACATCCCCAGATTTTTTGCTTTATTAGTAAAATACAGTTTTTCATTTTCAGTACAAATATGATCAATGTCTACGGGGATATGGCTTTTCTTTGGGTTACATAAAAGAATTTCAGTTTTATTTTCATTAAGCTGGAGCTTACTATCAACCATCCACTTTTTGATGTCATCAATGCACAGACCCATGGTAGTAAGCAAGGTTTTAACATCTGATGGTGGAACAGATTTATATAATTGTGTATCGTCAGCGTACATGTGATAATTCATATTGTGCTTTCTAATCACAGCTCCAAGCGGCTGTGTATATAACGTATACAAGATTGGACCCAATACTGAACCTTGAGGCACTCCAAAGTCTAGCTTAAAAATTGACGAAAGAGAGTCGTGCACAACCACAGATTGTGTACGGCCAATCAGGTAGGACCCGAACCAGTCAAGAACCCTGCCAGACAGGCCAAACGTGTTGAACAATCGTTCAATAAGAATAGTGTGATCTATAGTGTCAAAGGCAGCACTAAGATCAAGAAGAGAAAGAATTGATATTTTGTTCTCATCCGCCTCACACAAGAGGTCGTTATATATTTTCAATAGCGCAGTTTCTGTGTTATGAAATTGCCGATAGGCAGATTGATATAATTCATATAAATTGTTTTCTTTTAAATGATTCTTCAATTGAACCAAAACAACTTTCTCCAAGATTTTTGACAAAAAAGGAAGGTTGGAGACAGGTCTGAAATTATTGAGCTCCTCAGGGGAAAGATTTGTTTTTTTGAGAAGGGGAATAACTAAAGCATGCTTAAAGAGTGATGGTACTACTCCAGACTGAAGAGACTCATTAATGATAGAAGTTATAAATCCAATGACACTATCAAGATGTGTGATGTGCAGTTGTGTTGGAATGGGATCAAGACTACATGTTTTATGGGGTGATGACATTATGATTGATCTTACATTTTCTTGTGTTACACATACAAATTCATTAAAGATTACCCCAGAAAATGTTTCAAAACATGGTAGTTTATAGGTAGTCGTGTCAATTTTTTTCCTGATCGTGGATATCTTGTCTCTAAAGTATTGACCAAAAACATCAGGAAGGTCCCTTTTAGGTACATTCATGGGAAACTTGTTGCTGGCCGGATCTTTCTTACCAGACAACTGATTTGTTATACAAAATAAAGTTTTAGAGGTGGTACATTCATTAATTTTTCCGTTATAATACATAAATTTGGCAGATGTTATTAACGATTTCACTATGTTGTTACAGTGTCTATAAATGTCCTCATGAATTTTCAGCTTTGTTGATCTCCAGTGTCTTTCAGCTCGTCTGCGTTCCATTTTAGATTGTTTAATTTCCAAAGTCATCCACGGGGCAGAAGGTCGATCAGTCACTGTTCTGGATTTGACCGGTGTATGTTTGTTTAGTAGTTCACACATCTTGGTGTTGAAAATGTCTACCTTCTCGGAGGTTGAACCGTGTATCAATTTTAGAAGCTGGCGAATGTCCGCTCCAAACATTTCATTATCAATGTCCATTTTCCGGGTTGTAATTTTGCGGTGTCTCAGTTTGGGCTTCCCTATACGAGTTATTTCAAAGGACACCACGTAGTGATCAGAAATGCATTTGTTCTTACTTGAATTTCACCGATTTTATTGACATTGTCCGTAATCACCCAATCTAATGTGTGTTTTTTAATGTGAGTGGGGACATCAATGTGTTGATAGAGACCACGAGTCTCTAGAATAGATTTGATAAATTTAACATTTGTGTCTAAGGTATCTTCAAAATGTAAATTAAAGTCTCCTAAAATTATAGGCTGTGTCTTCTTGGTGGTATGCAGGTCTAGTAAATCCTGGAATTCAGAAATGAAATCTTTAATTTTCAGTTTGTTTTTCCTGCTTGGTGGTGGTCGATAGACACAGACAAAAATGACGGGACACCCTTTGATATGTAGACTGATCTCACAACATTCGAACGTTTTAAAGGAGGGCATTTTCTGTGGAGTGATGTTTAGAGATCCTTTATAAATTATGCATATCCCTCCCCCACGACCATTTCTTGGGACGGAGATGGACTTGTATCCCGGTGGAGTTAGGCCGGCTATAATGATTTCATCTCCGACGTTCCGCAACCATGACTCCGTAAAAAATGCGATATCGGAGTTAGACTCAAGTATTAAATCATTGAATAAAATGGTATTTTTTTAGGTTGACTGTGTGTACAGTAGTATAATTTTAAGATTACTTGACAATTCAGTTACGGTGTTTTTTGTGTCAACGGCAATTAAGTTCATGGGAGTAATGACGCTTCGATTGACTGGCATAACAAGTTCAGGAACAAGCAGCTGATTGACATAATAAAACACATGAAAGCAAAATTACTGCATGCGAAATTAAATGTCTATGTAAAATGCTAAACATCACAACAAGAGACAGGCAGAGAAATGAAAATACAAGAGCTGCTGTTCACATACAGTCCTGCCTGCATTTTTTGAAAAAAAAACCCAAAGAATAAATGTTTGGCCATCTGCTACAAATGTCGTCATGTCAACCAGCCTCGAGAGCCTATTGCACCAAGTACTAAGACTACAAAGAAAGAGGTAGACCAAGAAAAAAATTAATTGAGGCAGTCAAACGATCCCTGAAAAACTACAACAACTCAATTGAAAGAGCTGCAAAATTGGCCCACCATAGACAACGAAATCTCCCCTCAATGGTCAATGACAACAGAGAATGAAAAAGTAAAAATAAAGTAACAGTTCTTACAGTGTTATTGCAATAGGCCCTGACTTCATCATAGTAGTCGTCATCAAAGTAGTTGTTCTCATCACTGCCCTCCTCCAGTTCATCACAGTAATAGCTCTTCCAGGTAAATGGTTCAACATCTTCCCATGTAGCCACCAGCACTGATGTTGCTGAGAAACGTTTTTGGCTGATAGATGTGTTCATGGTATCAAGATACTCTTCCACCTAATTTTGGAAAAAAAGCAGTAGATAAGAGATGCCACCAGGCCAATCAAAAATTGCATTGGAAACCTGCAGAGGCAGGTTCCGCCTAAAACAAACATTTATACACTCACAACTTATACAAATAAAAATGTAATCCTTAAACATCAAAAACAGTTAACAACATCCTTATCTTGTTTTTTTAGCTTTATGGCAGTTATCGTTAGCATAATAATATAGATAAGTAAACTAAGGGATGCCATTTTTTTAGAACTTAAAAAAAATATATCAGTTTTGACCCTTGCCTTATCCCCTGTAAAATATTACCTCTCAATATCATTGTGTTATAGTATTCAGGTTAATGAAAAGGTTTTTTTTGGGTAAAAAAAAGTCATTATAGGCATCATTTTGATTCTAAGTCCTATTTGAAGATGCTGCCAGGCTTTGTTTCTGCTTTTCAAAGAGATAAAAACAGTTTAAGCTGTCTCATCCCAACACAGCTTACAAACATTTTGATCCATTTTTAACAACAATAGCAAGGCATCATGTCAGAAAGTCTAATTTTGATACAAAAGTGGGATAAATTAGAAAATAAATATAACTATTGAACAAGAAAATAAGACTGAATGATAGTACAATAACAATAACATTAGTTCGTCTGTCAGTGGCAGATGATGACGAATGCATCGGTAGAGAAGAATATTTCTTAAGTGAGGTGGAAGAAATAAGGGTAGACGTGTGGCTTCTGCTATGGCCAATGAGACCAATTCTGGTGTCACATATTGAGTATTTAAAAGCTGTCACCTTCCAGCTCGCACCCCTCCTATCTCATCCAAACATCTCCATGGACACAAAGAGATAGCCTATAACCTCAATATTCATATCAATATTATGCTACCAGTGCCAGACCTGGATATTAAGTAAAACCCATGAAAGCAAAATCCCTGCATATGAAATGAAATGTCTCCGCAAAACCTGTAGCATCACAAGACGAGACAGGTAGAGAAATTAAGAAGCAAGAGCAGCTATCGGCATTGAGCCCTGTCTGCATGACATAGAAAGACAGAGAATAAAATGGTTTGGCCACCTGTTATGTATGTCACCTGGCCAGTCAGCCTCAAGAGCCTACAACACCAAGCACTCAGGCTAATAAGGAAGAGGAAGGCCATGCAAAAGGTGGATCGAGGGTGTCAAGGAAACCCTGAGAAAACATAATATCACAACTGAAAGAGCTTCGGAGCTGGCCTACCATAGAAAACTGCATCTCCCCTCGTTGCTTAACGGCAACAGAGGATGAAAAAGTAAAAAGTAAAAGTAAGTAAAAGCTTCATTTTGCACTGATGGATGTGAAAAGCTTGCGCACGTCTCTTTTGGCTTCAACGATGTTTCACTTGTGCAAAGGTTTGTTTTAAAGTGAGAAAGAGAGGTCCAAACATCAGACTCATGGTCTACAATGTATCTGATGACGGCATGAGCAACTGTATGAACTCTTTATCTCCTGCAAGCTGCTCCCAGCAGCTTACAGTCGGAGCCACTGTGTTGGTGAGCTGCTGCCAATGGCTCGGGCGCATTCCTTAACAACGACTTTGACATTTAATTACTTTTTGGCAATTGCCAAAAACATGTCTCTTTTACCCGGAGGTAATTCATTACAAGAAAAACTATCAAAATAGGTTCATTTGTTTTGATTCAATGACCCATTCAATGACGTTTTTGTCATTTTTAGATTAAGTACCAAAAAAGAGCTCTAGTGTAGTGGGTTGACCCCCCCCCCCCCAGGAGATAAAGAGTTAAACAACCAGTTTTTCATGTCTCCCTCCACTGTAGGTTACCTCATCCGATGCTCGGTTCAAGACATGGTCTACCAGTGTACTGTTTTTGTTGGATCCTACTGTACTTGATCCTTGATACAGCTGGTAGAACACATTGCCAAGGCGTGGGTCCATATAACTCCAGAAAGGAGCTATGGTGTAGATGCCAAACTGGGCATTCCACTCAAGACTAGGCCACCATGTCCATTTCTCACGCCCAACTGTGATAACACCACTAGGTAAGACCTGCGATAAAAAATGAACAATTATATGTGTGTGTGTGTGTGTGTGTGTGTGTGTGTGTGTGTGTGTGTGTGTGTGTGTGTGAGAGTGTGTGTGTGTGCATGCGCATTTGTGCAAGTACGAGGTAAGGTGTAAGGTGTAAGTGGAGGTTCAAGAGTCTGCTCTTTTCTCAGGCGAGTGATTCCAGTTTTAGGAAGTATGTTGCTACGAGCGTTCATGTTGACATGAATGTAGGTCTATATGTATTTTTGTGAGTGTATGTACATGCTGGTAAGTGTGTGTGTGTGTGTATGCATTTTTGTGTGTGCGTGTGTGTGCGTGCGTGCGTGCGTGCAAGAGCGTACACATGTGAGTACAGGTTTTTCAATCCAAAAAGCTGGTGATGATACATAATCATAGGCTCATCTATTGTCTAATTCAAGTGCCATTCAGGCAGCCTTATGCCATTTTTTGAACCAATAAGTGTTAATTGTTACCACACTGTGATTTTGTTCTCTTTTTCGGATTCTCAAATTTCAAATTATCGCCACCTTTTCTTCTTCCAATTAAAGTTCTGTAAAGAATATTTACCAAGCACATCATTCCTACCTTGGCTGAAACTAGTACATAGTGGGTGTGAAACATTTGGGTCCCTTCCGGTCAATATCAGTCATATGAAGGAAATTTCAAAACTGAGTAAACGTTAAGTTAAAAAACTATCACCTTTTCCCTGCAATTTAAAACTAGAATGAAATAAATATGAAAATATTTGACGAAAATACAGAACTTTTAATTGTGCAAGATGAGGAAACACGAAAAGGAGAAAATGGCCTCCGAAGTTGAGCAACATGTTTCCGTAGCAATGGGGGTCTTGAATTGAGATAGAGACTTGAAATTTAGCAGTTATCTTGGCTATGCCACTACAAGGTAAAATATGAAAGTAGAAAACTATTCATTCACGGAGAAAAAACTTATGGGCCAAACAAAATTTTTACGAGAATTTACTTCACGTCAAGTGCAACAGAATATTAGCAGGATACTAGGTACCAGACACTAAATTTTCAAAGTAGCTGTATGTCAAATTCATCTGTTTCATATGAAAGGCCTATGTCTCCTGAGAATTTTGGTACCATACTTTTACCTCCCAGTTAATGTTTAAGAGAATGGCAGCAGTTTCAATTTAACATATTAATAAAATATTGCTGAAATCGTTAACTGGCTGCAACCCCAGATTTGACAGATAGTAAAAGAGTACCAAGTGCACCAAACATCTCTACATTAAAAGAGTACAATCATTATAACATAAAAATGAAGCCTAATATTTTCAAGACTGTGAGATCATTACAAATCAGTATTTTATTGCCCCAAACACGATGATCTGTCGTTATGTAAATAAAAACACAGAGCGTTGTCTCCGCCGGCGCTGCACCAGTCTTCACGGCAAACTAGTGGGCTCAATACTGTAGTATACTGAGTGCTCCCGGTAGTTTCGTCGAAAGATTCATGCAAAATAATTCCAAGCCGATGATGTTATTCTGATAGAAAAAGAATTGTTCTTTCTATTGGTATCTTTTTTCAGCCGGTATTTTACACATTTCGTGTTAAAAATGATCTTTGAAAACTTAGACCCTTTTTTTCAAGATTTTCTATCTAAAACACCTAAGCCAAAAAATAATAACCATGGGAAACCACGCTCAAAGCTGTATAGTTCTCCGCCAATGAAAAGACGGTATTTAATCATCAATCTTTCAGCAAAGCATTCGAATGCATGGGGGTCAATTCTGAACCGGGGACCTCGCATTCTGACCGCAAGGGGCTTCCCTTTCCACGGCGATTCTCTAGCTCCAAATACCCGGATATACAAACAACTTACACTATTATAACGAAGAAAATTTGAATTTTTTTCAGTGTTCAGAATTTGGTGTTTTACAGCAAAAGAACAAAGAAACATAGATCTGAATTGCCCCCATTTCACCGAAACCACGTGCCAGGAAGGCCGCGAGTCGGCTTAGGTGCCGTGTTTACGCTACCTGATTATATGTTTGCAATAGCACCATAAACACACGAGAGCACACACACACACACACACACACACACACACACACACACACACACACACACACACACACACACACACGCACATACAAACAAACAAACACACATACACACACATGCACATAGACCACCTTGGTGGCCTCTTGGTTTGGAGTCCACTCTGAGAGATCTAGAGGAAGGTTAATTAATCTTTTAAAAGCTAGCAGGGCACACCCGCACAGTCAGCTGTTTACGTAAACAAGCATGAAGTGAGCTAGAATCAGAGTTGTTTATATTTCAGTCCATTCATGCTCGAAAAGGGGTCAAAATCTAAAAATAGTTACGAATGAAGAACGTTGGAGCAAAGATTTTCCACTAGTGGAGAATCTTTGGTTGAAGCAAAGGTGGCCATAAGGTAATGATTCTAAAAATAATCTCACAGCTACACACTAGCAAGGTCCAAATTCCTTTATCTCGTCACCCAAGCTCACAACAAACCACACACACCTCCAAAATAAATCAAAATGAAATATTTATAGTCGATTATAGTTGTTTGTTTTGATCCTAAAAGAAGCAGAAGACATCAAACTTTCAATATAATATCCAGAAAACAAAAACTTCATGGAAAGTCACTTTTTTGCCTTTTGAGCCTTTAGCGGTTAATAGTAAAGTGCATCTTAGGACTGATATTGAGCGGGGCAGACAGATTTGAGAAAAATACCTTGAGGTGGCCTCAATACTTACATGAACAAAAGTGAATTTCTCAGTACCAAAAGGAAATCCTCCCGTAATCTTGATAGGCTCACTGATGGCATCCCAATAATCCCACTCAAACAAGCCTTTAGCTGTGACACGTTTGTCCCCGTTGGCAGTACCATATGGGTAAAGGTCTGAGGAAGAAGGCAAAGAGAGAAAAGCCTTAACTAAATACTACCTTATCTACAGCAAAATGTTCTGAAAAGTTTGGTGTTTAGGATAATGGTTGTTATACTATATCAGGAGAACAGAGAGGGAGGAACAGGCGCTGAAATAAAGTCCCACATTGGAAAGGCACAGACGGCATTTTTATCTTTGAATAGGATTAGGAGGACCAGGGATATCTCATTAAGAACAAAGCTGAGGATTTTTAACTCAAATGTGAAGTCAGTCTTGTTGCATAGATGTGAGACATGGAACGCGTCTCAGATTTGCATAAAGAGGATCCAGGTTTTCTTGAACAAGTGTCTACTGAGGATCAGATGGACAGACAGGGTCACCAATGAGGAAGTATTAAGAAGAATGAGACAGAGTCCAGTCAGAGATGAGGAGGGAAGAAGGCGTTGGCGATGGACTGGACACACTTTCAGGAAGTTAAGCAGCTGCTTGACATGAAAAGTGTTAGATTGGAACCCACAGGATAAAAGATCAAGAGGAATACCACGTGGAACCTGGAAAAGTGGATGTGCAGAAAAGTGGGAAGACATGGAGTGACATCAAGTGACTAGCAAGAAACACATGCTTCATATTGACTGACGGAAATTACATTCCGTTCAAAAGAGTTTTAAAAATTCAGAAACAAAGTTTTAGTTTGTTCTAGTAGAGGTTTTATAGCGCTCGCAACTGCATAAGGTCATATGAGCACCAGAAGATTAGAGGAGTTACAAGAGAGTAACAAACATGAAATAGAAGGAGGGGAGATAAGGACGATAGATGTTTGATAGTAAAGAAAGAGCAAGCTACACCAGAGTACCCGCCAACCACCCAGAAACAAAGGGTTGACCAGTGAACCCAAGAGACAAAATTAATATTGTTTAGGTAATATTTAATGATAACAAACAATGTGGCTGGAGAGTGTGAAAAAGTTATCAGATCGTAAAAATAATAATCAAACTCAAAATCAATATATACGACAATTAAAACTGATTCATGTGTAAAAGCTCTACTAACCTCTTTGTCCCACAATGGTAGCTGTAGAACATTGCCACAGAGAAATCAGGTTGTATGAAATGAAATGCATCAAATCATCTTTAGAACATATTGATTTATAAAACCACTTCAAAAGGCCTAATGTCATTTTAAACACTTTGACTAAAGTAGAATATTAAAACTCTAACTGAAATATAATAATAATTTTATAATGATAATAGCAACAACATTAATAGAAATTAATTATAGTGCTTAATCTGTAGGAGGCTCAGAGCATGGTACAATGCAAAGTTATTAATGAACTGGCAAATCATAAGACAGAAAGTACACATTGTAAAACCATTTAACAAAATACACACACACACATACACACACACACACACACACACACACACACACACACACACACACACACACAACTCCCAGAACCACACACATTCTCACATAAAAAACTTACTAGCAGAGGATGGTAGTGTTGAATACAATATATGACTTTAAATTTTTCTTAAACTCTCTCAGATGATATAATATGCATTTCTTTTGACACACTGCATTTTTTTTCGGCACTTGACAAAACATTATATTTTTTGTACCAGGAGTGCCAAAAGGACATCCTTTTGAGAAAAAGGTTCTAGATTTTTTAACCTAGGCACAATACAAATCTGAGGAGATACTTAATTATTTCTGGGCCACAACAGATAATAACATTGCTCATAAACAAGCATATCAATGGTAGTTGTTGAAAAAAATGTACGTCCAAAAGTACTACTTTCAAGGGAAGTAGCCTGCAAATATCAAGCATATAGTAAAAAACACATATATAGGTTTTGCATCAAAGTCATGCTTTTCAATTTTCACTAGAAGGTTTCCAAGCAATCTTTGAAACAAAAAAAGAACTGACTTAATTTTGGACTTTCACAGTTTGTGACTGTTATAGTTATTACTGGGGCTTTATCCATAATATATTTTCTTTTCTAACAAAACTGCACCATAACGTAACTAGCAAAAAATCCATATGGTATATTATTTTAAGCTTGCCACGATGTTATTCATAAAATAGATATCTCATATTCTTGCACAAAAAAAAGGTGAAAAGCTTTGTAAAAGAATTACTTTTACTCCCCCAAAATAAGACATTTTGGTTTCCATCCAGAAATGTCATCAGCAGGGCGAAATTTGGGGGAATACAAAACTGATCCCATGTCACAAATTAAAATTAACTTTACTCCTAATATTATTACAAAATATGCTTACAGCTTAGTTACTGAAACAGTTTACTGCAAGCACAACTCTGAATGGCGGGAGTAAAATGAAAACACTTACGGTCTGGAGTTACCAACTCTGCAAAAGAAAATAAAAGAAATGGATAACTTGAAAGTGAGGTATAGATCAAGATCAAGCATATCACAGAAAACACAAAGAAGAAAAAACAGTTAAGTCTTTGGTTCCATATGGTTGTGAGATGATCACAGCGAGCTGTGCAGATGATTTTATGAGTGTTGATGAACTGAACATGCCACGCAGTTCTGTCTTTAGTGCAGTACTTTTTAGAGTCTTTTGGAGCAATGTTACAGAACTTTAGGTGCTCCTTGTTACTATTGTACCTCTTTTTTTGGGCTGACCCAAATCAATGAGTAGTGTCATGAAAAAAAAAAAATTCTGAAGATGCACAGGACAATTTTGAGTTATGGACAAATTAAGTTTTATTTAACTAAAATGTCAATTAAAATGCACTTTCTAAAGCTATGATCAAATTCAAACAATATAAAAAAAGGCTTGTCTGTTTTAGTAAGAGTTTTACGGCGTTTACAACTACATAAGGTCATATGAGCGTGTGAAATAAGTTGGTTTTATTTGCAATAGTTCACCACACGGCCTGAATTTGGTCAATATATTTCTAATGAAAAGGTTAAAGCACTAAAAATTTGAGGTAAATGAATTCTTAATTTACAATAACTTTTTAAATAACATATAAAAACTTAATGTTTTTCATAATTTTCCATTTGGCCTTTATAAAATAAAGGATTCTGTTGGGATCAACGACAGAAAATAGATCTTGCAATTTTTTAAAATTTTCAATATTTACTTCCGGTCTCTCCAAATTCTAGACATTCAGTTAAAATGTGTTCAATTGTAAAATCGGTGTCGCATCCGACAAAAAACGGCTTCTCATCTGCCTGAAGGGGGTATTTATGTGTCAGGGATGTGTGTTTGATGCGTAATCGAGTAAAAATGACATTGTCTCTTCTGCAAAGACCTGAAAGATTTCGCGGCATTAATTTGGGCTTAATGTTGTGTAGTTTGTTGTTGGTTTGATTCTTTCAATGAGTCTCTCACAGACTGGAGGTGAAGTTTTTAACTTTATTTTTAAAGTCAGTCTGTAGGAGAGTGTTTGTCGTTGATCCCAACAGAAGGGACAAGGATTCCTTCACCAGGAGATCCACCTGCTCATTTTCTTGGATGCCCACATGGCTAGGTAGCCATGCGAAAATGATACTTTTCCCAGTTTCAGTCAAAGCGGGTATTTTTTGTTGTAACCTAACTATTTTTGGGTGAAAGAGTGTGTAGATTGTAAGTGAGGTTATGCATGACAGAGAATCAGATAGGGTAAGGAAAGATTTGTTGGGGGAATTTTCTATGGAGTGGCAGTGGCCTTCACAGAGAAAATGGAGGCTTTGGGATGGAGTCTCCTCTGGTGTGTACTATTTGAGGATAGGGCAGTGGCGCCCAGAGCAGAGACTGATTTAGAGCTATCTGTGAAGATAAGCTCTGCACTGGGGTATTTTTCTATAAAATTTTTTTGTATTCTCCTTTAAATATTTTGTTGTTTGTGCTTGCTTTGTTGTGTGTGGTGAGCTGTAAGTCTACTTTTGCCTTGGTGAGGTGCCATGGAGGGAAGTCGGGGAAGAGAAATTGTTTGATGGGTTTGGAAAAGTGTATGTTTTTGGAGTCCAGGACTCTGAGGCCAAAAGGCTTGAATTTTTCGTTGTTTTCTAATTTGTTTATGGTGTCTGGTTTGCTCTGAAAATACAGTCGTGTACTGGGTTCTCATGTGTTGAGCTCTGTTTTATGGCATATTGCAGTGAGAGTTGTGTGCGTCTGAGTGTGAGTGATGGTATGTTTGCCTCAGCCTGGAAGCTCTCCACTTGAGAAGTGTGGAAAGCCCCCAGGGCGAGGCGGAGTCCTTGGTTTTGCACTGGGTCTAGTATTTTTAGGAAAAGAAGTTTTGCTGATCCATAGACCTGACAACCCTAGTCAAGCCTGGATTGGACAAGGGAAATGTATAGGCGGAGAAGGTGTTTTGAGTCCCCGAGTTTAATGTTTTCAGGCACCTCACATGAAGGTCTTTTATGTGTGGTATGAAAGTGACTTTTTGTCAAATATACATGTAATGCCAAGGAAATAAGCTTGGTCCTGGATGGAAATCCTTTCCCACTTTCCAGAAGTGCACAGCAACCATCTTTGACAGGGAAAACTAGACACCGTTATTATTTGCCCACTTTTCAAGTTTATGCTGCTTTCCATAGATATTAGTCCAGGATTTTTGGAACGGCAGCAAATCAGGAAGTCGTCAATGTATAACGAGCTATCTATGCTATTTCTGAGGGTCTTAACGATGGAATCTATTTTAATTTCAAATAGAAGGGGAGAAAGAATGCTTCCCTGGGGAACACCTTCCTCCTGCTGGTAGGGGTCTGAAAGGGAGGATCCAACACAGACCTGGAAGGAACAGTTTTTCGGGAAATTGCCAATGAAGGCAGGGAGGGGACCGCATTGTGCCGAGAGCATGCAGGTATCTAAGAATGCCGTACTTCCAGGTTGTGTCGAAGGCTTTTTCTAGGTAAAAAATGATGGCGATCAAGTGGCCTCCTTCAGCAAACATCTCACATATAAAGGTCTCCAGGCGGACCAGGTGATCCAGAGAGGATCGAGTTTTCCTGAATCCGCACTGGAGACCGCTCTTCGAGCCGGTTGTCTCCAGAAACCACAGGAGTTGCCTGAGAATCCTTTTTTCTATAAGTTTGCACAGAGTTTTCTATAAGTTAGTGCTATTGGTGTGTAATTTGAAGGGGGTGTGTGGTCTTTGTTAGGTTTGGGTATTGGAACCACAGTGGCGAGACCCCAAGAATCCGGAAAGGAGTGTGACCGCCATATGTCGTTGTATATGTCTAGCAGGAGAGTAAAAGTTTCTGTGGGTAAATGTCTAATGATCTCCGAGGTTGTGGATGTCATCCGGGGCTGTATTGCCCAGGTCCAAGATGCATGATCCATCCAGCCTCTGAACATGCCGGATGGTGTCTGTGCGTCTACCCAAGAACTTTAGAGCTATTTTGAAAACTTGGTTGAGTGGTGTCTGACAGCTGATTTTGGAGATGTATTTTCAGAAGGATTGTCCTTTGCTCTCCCTGAGGCACGTAGCCTCAGCTCAAGCTTTTCAGTAATTAATTTTGTTTTCCTTGGTAGTGCTATCGACGGCTCTCCAATATGCTGCCTTCTTTTTCTTTACTACATCATCACACTCCCCAGAGAACCAGATCTTGTTCTTCCGGGGTTTTGGAGATGTTTTTGGTATGTATTTGTGACATATTTCTAAAAGTGTTTCATGGAATTTGTTGTAGTTGAGGTAGAAAGCGATGTTCAAAATCTGGGAACATTCAATGGCAAACCCGCCCCAGTATGCTTTTTGAAATTGAAGCATTCTGGGATCTGATTGTTTTGGAGGCTATTGTTTTTTAAATGAATTGGGAAATGGCCAGTAAGGTCATCCAGCACAGACCACTCAAGATCTGGGACTAGGTCAAGTGTACAAAAGGTGAGGTCAAGGGATGAAGTGCCAAAAGTGGATCTGTTTCTGTAAGTGGGGGATCTATAATTTAAGAGGCAGATGTTATTATGAAATACAAAATCTTCCATTATTTTTCTTTTCTGGTCTGTGCTTTTGTCTCCCCAAATGGGGCTGTTGGCATTTAAGTCATCTAGCAAAATAAAGGGCTTTGGGAGCTGGAGCTTTAAATCATTCAATCGAGTTATTTTGAGGGGGTAATTTGGTGGGGGTATAGACAGAGCAGATCGTGATTGGTCTGTGCAGGGTGAACCGTATGGCAATAGCCCGGAAGGTTGTCCTAAGATGCACTAGTCTGTGAAAAGCGTTGTTGTCGGTTTGTAGATGGTGGTTCCACCGGGAGCAATCTGGTTCTCTGTGTGAATATGATGGAGTGGGTATTTTCATATTCCCCTGACCCACGGGGGGTAAAAAAGGCTTGGAAAAAGTAGCAGAGACATCATGAGTAATCAAATCAAAAGAAAATAAGAAGTACGGTGAAATAATGGACTTTCACAACACCATCCCCCCCCCCCACCATCCCCAACAAATGTACAAAGTAAATACCAGTGTTGAGAGTGCAGTTGTATGAAGTCCCTGACCCACTGGTGCACAGCTCATCGGAGGCACACAGGTAGCTGGAAACTTGACAGACATCCAGATCTGTACCGGGAGAAAAGCACATTGAGAAATATTGAAACATGATGGCAATGCAGAGCTGACGGTTTTGGTTAGATTTTCTCATACTCTCTGTAAGACATAGATAATGTCTAAGGCAGTGCCTATGGCCCTGAGCTAAGAAAAAAAAATGAAACAAATAAAAAGTAAGTGTTTTGATACGATATAGAAATAACAGAAAAATTAGAATAAACAAACAGAACAAAACCAACCTCATAAACTCTCTTAGTATTAGTAAGGTTTTACGGTTCTCACAACGGCGTATGGTCATATGAGCGCCAAGGTGTGGATGTCAACAGAGAAGTCCAAATGGGGAATCAGGCTTACTCTGCTCAACTCTCTAGCCTCAGCAGCACAAAGCCTGCTTTGACTACCAAGGCACCCCGGAAATAGCAGTTCACAAGAGAGTGACAAACATATAAAAGAAGTACAGGTAAAATGACGATAGTTAGGATAAGGAAAGAAAAAGCAGCAGTTCCCTCTATGTTGTTCCGGCACAGTATGAGCATGACATTGATTAATCAGCCCATTTACAATTCTACTGTGCATAAGAACATGAATCTTTGGGAAACTACCCGAGGGGGGGGGGGAGACTCATAAGCTCTGGGGGAACAAACTACTCTCATTCTTACAGGATATTAATCAATAGTAAGCGTCAATTCCCACTTACCTTTTTTTAGAAGACAAACATGTCGTCAAAACATGATGTGTACCATCACAGAAATATGTTTGCCATCAATAATACATTACATTTGTTTTCATCAGGCAAGTGCTCAGAGTGCTTTATAACAGTACAAAGAGCATAGTTCCAATATTGATCCTTTCCTTCCTTGTCTGTCTGTCTGTCTGTCTGTCTGTCTATCTCTTTTTTCTAACTCCCTCTCTCTACAGTTCTTCTAATATTACATTTCTCAGAAAACTGTTGTATGCCTCAGCAAAAAGGTATGATTTTAACGGTTTATTAAACATTGCCAGGGGACTCGAGTCTTTAATTTATCTGGGAAAGACATTCCATATATTAGAAGGCCATTATAATAAGAAAAGGAGCTCTGTCCATAAATTTGTAGTTTACTAATGGTTTGAGTAAAATTATTTTATATCTATACGACCTGAGAGTTCTTGCTGGTACATACATTTGACAAGCATTTGCAAGAGACAGGCTCGTGCAATATTATCTTTAAAAATCTATAACATTATTGTTCTTTTAGGATAGGGCAGTAAACATTTTTTTCTCCTTCTGAAAAATATGTCTAGCTGCATTTCTTGGAGATTGATTCACTCAAAAGCCAACAAGAAGGGAATTGCAATTATTACAGAATTACAATTTGAAAGAATAGTGATGGTACAAAGGTTTTTATTACACTTTCTGACTGGTAATCTCTGATATGGCTAATTTCTCTCATTTAATGTACAAATTTTTACAAAGTGAGCTTGTATGAGACGACTTGGACAGATCATTATCAAAATTCACAACTAAGTTTTTAACTTTACTACTGGGCTCAGTTTCAACACCATTGACACTGATTTTGACACTTGAAATATTTTATATCATACTAGTGTGTACGATGAGCATGATCTCAGACTTATTCACATAAAGTTGGCAGTTGCGTCCACCAAATTGGGAATATTTAATCACTAACAGAAACTTCGTGATGCCCTATTTGAGCAACCACACCCCCAACACACCCTCCTAACTGCCACCACAGACTATCATTCCTACTCATCTGAACTGACCTGAGGACTGATTTATAATGTTGAAAAGGGGGTGGAGTTAAAAACTATTACTGTAATAACCTCCTTCATCATAAATCATATTGGAAACAAATAGCTCAAGTGATCATACTTTTGTTCATATAAAATATAGGATGGATGAATTACCTTCTCACTACTGCTACGAGCTTAACCATTTTCAAATGTTTAGATATCATTATGATGAAGGTTTCAATAATGTCCTATGTTATTCTCAAACAAAAGACATCAAACTCAAACTGTCTCTTGTTTCTTTTCTATTTCATTATATCCAGCATTGAGACTCAAATGTGAAAATGTATACAAATGAGGCCTTCTCACTCCAGCCAAAATGCAGGCAAAGATAGAAAAGTAGCTTAAACTCTAAGCAGACTCCAAAAGTTAACTAGACCCCCCCCCCCCAATACATTCTGTGGGATGGAGTAAAAACCCATATGAAATAAAAAGTTAACAAGACATTTGATAAGGAACTTTAAAAGTTTAAAGAGACAACTTTAAAGATAAAATGCAAAAATAAAATCCACAAATGACAACCCACTAGCTGTCATAACATTAACCTTTCATCCAGTTCTTTGATATCTTAAAAAAACTTTGCCTGTACCAATGGTAGCAGCACATATCAAAGCAATTATCAACATAAACTTGATGCATCAATCAGTCTCAACTCTCTCTGCATCACTCATCAAATTTTGACTCGACTGCTTCCAATGTCACAAATCTGTAATTAAAGTGAGCAGCTTGTACAAGTTAAAATAAATAATTTAAGCGCATAGAGCCTACATTTGACTAGGAGTAGGCGCTTAGCAAATGGAATTTAACATTTTCATTATTATCATTGTCCTTAATATTAATAATAATATTATCATTATCATTATAACTTACCTAATGGGTTAATGTTGCTTACAGCATAAAGTATATGGCCATCAAACACATTGTGCTCAACAACATATGATCCGTCAAGACTAATTAGTGGGTTCACCATGACAAAGTCAACATATATCTCTTTGAAAGCTGGTGCATCAGACCTATCCGGCAGAAAGACAGTCAGGATGAACGTAGTTCCTTCAAATGTACCAGTGACTGTAGATCTAGAAAAATACCACCAAAAATATATAACGTTTTTAAAGCGTACATAATTGCGTTTAAGTATGAAATACTTCACTATAGGGCAAGGCAATGAGTCGCTTTAGCAAAATCCGGATAATATGTTAGTGCACCTCTTCGGCAAAAATATGTTATGAACCGCTTTGGCAAATGGGTTAGAAACAATTCGACAAACGGGATAGCATCACATCAACAAATGGGTGCACCCACTTCGGCAAACGGGTCGGGAAAGAGAGTTAAAAGTCTGAATTCGGATAATGTTTCATTGAGAATTATCAGGTTAACTGTATAATTTATCTGGATTTTGCCCACCTCTACTTCACTAGGCAAACAAATCACAGCCCACAACCAGGCTGCAAGGTCCATTCTGAAGCAATCACTCCCACCACTTGGAGAAAAGATGTCCGAGTTTTCAGAAAAGAGAAGACAAACTTTACTTGTTCCCAACAAAAGCTTTGGCATGAATAAAGGACTTTAAAAATGCTGTGTTTACCATTGTTTAGTTAATAACAATGCACCCTGCGTAGTCTTTGTCAGAAAAACACCCTAATGAGAGGCCCTGACTGTGTAAAAGCTTAACACATGGTAATCAAACATATTATCTTGCAAATAAAAATGGGCAAGATTTTTAGGTTTACTTCATAATGTTTTAATGTCAGCTGGCTCTCATACCTTAATCAAAAACACAACAACAAAAAATTGGAGAAGGTTCTACTAGAGACGCTCCAATTGTTTGTGTAAGACACATACTTGGACTCTCCAGTATACAAGTAAGACACAAATTAGCTCAGGCTAAGATGTACCTGAATGTTATAGAAATGGAAGGCCACCCACTGTGTGTGGGTTACATGATATAAATGATGGCAGTGAGTGGATTCAAGTTGCACCAGAGGCTGCACCCGATTTGACAAGAGTCATCATAGGTGTAAAGAAGGGAGATGGCACTGGAGGTGGCAGGAACAGCAGAATTGGAAGTAAGACAGATTGTCAAGGAAAACTCCAGGCCCTTGGATCCAGCTATATACACTGATCGTTCTATGAAACGTGGGGTGAAAAGTGGTTGGGGCTTTGTTATACATAAAGATGGCTGCATAATTTTAAAATCATCTGGTGCATGCAGCAAGATGACTTCAAGCACAAGAATAGAGGTAGAGGCAGTGACAAAAGCATCTGAATAGCAAAAAGAGAGCTTGTGTTCTGTCAGACATGCTGTCATTGTCACCAACTCTCAAACATATTGCAGTGAGTAAAAAAGTGGATGCTGAGAAGTGAGCGGCTGCAAAGCATAGAAAAAAGCAGACTGAGAAAAATAACATGTATCTATGCTCCAAGCCATACGGGTGTGGTGGGAAATGAAGAAGCAGACAAACTGGCAAGCAAATCACCTGTCAATACGACATTAAAATGGACAAAAATTATGTCATGAATGCCCTTGCCACCACACTTGAAGATGAGGAGATTGATCGTGACTATGCACCAATCTTACAACTTGAAGAACTGAGTGTCTTCAGAGGAAGTGGCAGAACCAGCATGGTCCAAGCAGGTGGACTCTGAGGTGGATATTGGAGTGGAGAGCGGAGCATGTATGGCAATGTTTGGAGTGCTAGGATGTTGCTCCCAGGGTCAAGTAATCAAGTATAAAAGTGTAAGTATGGTTAATAATCATTCCGTTATTTTTTGGGATATGTATAGGAGAGAGAGAGAGAGAGAGAGAGAGAGAGAGAGAGAGAGAGAGAGAGAGAGAAAATTGCTGGCAATTTGGCTGCATTGTAGTTGTGTGTAATCATGCTATTTGCCAGCATAAAATAACCATTACTAAGCTATTAATTTAAAAGCTTCTCATGCTTTAAATGAAAATATCAAAATTTTGTAATTAACACTTTTATCTGTATTCATGTTTTCAAATTCAGAGAGCCAAACATTTAAAATTTAAAGACACAATTGTACTTCACGCATGAATAAAAAAGAGAAAAATAAAACCACAGAGTAAGCTAGAACTTACTTTGCCATAAGTCCTGCTATACCATAGGGAAAGCCTCCTTTACTAAAAGCCAAGGCCGCCTGTTGGAAAATAAAAAAAGAAACTTTAACTAACAAACTGTATCGACTGATTATTTAAAATGGCTACAGTAAAACAAACTTTTGAAAACAGTATTTGCTCCGCCTGAGAAGTCAAGGACTCCAAATGACCTGGGCCAGAGGGAAGTTAGGGCTAAAAATAGCCTGGTGTTTTAAGGGTTAACTCGTTCGCTACGTACTATTTTCGGCTTCTGGACAAATTGTGTTCCGGAGGGCGAAAAGAGATGATGACTACTGAGCAGTTCAAAGGTCTTTGGGGCCACAAATTCAAATAAATAACATATTATATACAACAATTTTCAGTATGGTTTGTCGCATACATCTGTTATGTTTATTTGTGTTTTCGCCAACTTTGGTTCCTGTAAGAGGCGATTATGCAACACAATTTTGATTTGATGCGGATAAAATTTGAAAATAAAAAAATAATAATCTTTGCTGAAACTCAAAACATATGTTTGCACCTTGTCAAATGATACATCAAAATAAACAAAAAAGAATATAGAACTGGAAAATATTGAAAAATTTGCAGTTATTTACATACATTCCATAATATTTGTACATTTGGATCATAACATCCGATATTTAAAAAAAAATTAAAAAATTTTAATATTGAAAAAAAGGATCATAAACAGAAAAAAAACTCTTGTATCTTATATGGAATTATTCAGAATTGCAATTGGAATAAACCTATACATGTCTTGAGTGGTACTTTTGTGTAATTTCACCAAAAAAGTGATTTTGGGGAGAAAAAATAATTTTAACAATTTAGATTCTAAACTTGGATCTAGAACTAAAAAATATTGAATTCTCAATAACAGTGCATTGGCAATTTGAGTCCAATAGTATCAATATTATAAAGAAGAGACCTACATTTCTTTAGTGAGCCAAATAAGGATACATTTTGTGGTGTAAAAGTACTAAGACTGGTGTCTGGGCTATAATTTTGGCATTGCGATAAAACAAAGTCGCATAAACTACGAAATCGCGTTTCAAAACTGAATCTAAAATTCCAATTTTCGGTGGAAACGCTTGACCCGGAAGTCAATGTTATATTATAACCTTTATTTTAACATGGATACGTGGATTGGAATAAAATCTAAGCTAGAATTATAGGTCGGAGCTCGAGCCGTCCGGGGCAGCTTGGCGTACGGAAGACACTTTCGGCGCGCCGCTGCCTACGGCTCGGCGTAGCGAATGAGTTAAGGTATTGCCATTGTCAGCAACAATGATAATGTTTTATTGATCGCAAAGCAAGAAACCTATCTTGTATCTGGCATCATGCTAAAACAAAAAGATAACGCTACAAGCATTTAATAAAATATATGAAATCAAATAATATGAAAATGAGCATTGTTTCCATTGAACTCCGTAAAGCCTCTCTCTCTTGTCCTTTTTAACTCCCAGTGGAGCATAGACCATCAACAACATTTCTCCAGCAAAGCCAGTCATGTGCATCCTTTTCTAGCTGTTTCCATGTTGTCCCTGTCTTTTCCATTTCCGCTTGTACCGCTCGCCTCCACGTCATCTTCAGTCTTCCTTTCTTACGTTTTCCTTGTGGATTCCACATCAAAGCTTGTCTGATGATGCTTGTCAGGGGTCTCCTCAGGGCGAGCCCAATTCATTTCCATTTCTTCACCTGTATGTCTTCCTTTACTAGCCTTTGGCTTATTCTTTCCCACTGTTAAGCATTTGTGACTCGATCGTACCACTTGATCCCCTCTATCCTTCTTAGGCAGCCATTTATGCAGCTCTGCAGTTTCCTTGCAGCTGATGCTGTGAGCCTCCATGTCTCTGAACCACACAGTAGAACAGTCTTCACGTTTGTTTTGAAGATTCTCATCTTGGTGTTCAATCCCAATTTCTTAGACATCCACTCTTTCCTGAGGATGATGAAAGCTGCTCTTGCCTTTTGGATTCTGACCTTGATGTCTTCATCTGTTCCCCTTGCCTTGTTGATGACGCTTCCCAGGTAGGTGAAGAATTCAACATCCGCCAATGGTGCCCCTTGCAGTGTGATAGGAACGTCGGCTGCATTCATTCGAAGAACTTTCATTTTACCCGTGTGAATATGGAGTCCAACACTACGGGAGAAGGACCTGAGGCGATCTGTCTTCCGTTGCATCTGGGCTCGACTGTGAGAAAGAAGTGCCAAGTCGTCTGCAAAGTCCCAAGTCTTCCAACTGACTGAAAAGGGTCCACTGTATGCCACTACGTCTGTCTCATTACCCAATCCACTGTTAAGAAAAAGAGAAAAGGCGATAGCAGGCACCTCTGTCTCACTCCTGTTTTCACTTCAAGTGAGTTTGTCCACTGTCCTCCAAGTAAGACACTGCAGCTCATTCCTTCATACATCTTCTTGATCAATCTCATGAACTTGTCAAGTATTGCATAGTGGCGCATGAGCTTCCATACTGAGTCCCTATCTAGGCTGTCAAAAGCTTTCTCGTAGCCAACAAAGTTAACATACAGGGAAGAGTTCCACTCTGTGAACTGCTCCACTATTACCGTAAAGCCTTAGGCAGCCTATAAGTTGAATGCAAATTATGTGATTACACATGCATTTATTCAAATAGTTTCGAAGCTTCTACAGTCATCAAGGTTAACAAATGCCCATGTCACTCATATGTTCCATTCAAGATTATTTCTCCTTATGATAACACAGTTGAGACAGGGGAACTAAACAAGTTATACCAACACTTTATGGACTTTTGCCCCTTTAATCTTTATCAAAGCTCAAGCTGAATAAGGTATATATATCTTAAAATGATCCCAATTAGAGTTCAAATAGAAAATTTAAAAAAATAATAAAAGAAAAATTGTAGCCAAAAGTTTTTTTTCTCTTATAAATGTAAAAACAGAAAAAAGTAAAAAATGCTTTTAGATCATTAACATGACTATGATTAATAAAGTTGATGATGTCAACTTCTGTCTATGCTTTCTCTTTTCTTCTTTCTGTGGTGGGGGTGGAAGTTTCTTTTTTTGAGTAGTAACACGTCACACACAGCAAGAAAATAGTGATGAAAATAAGTACCACATTATTTCTAAAGCTAAACGAGAGGAAAAGGAGACAATGTCTGTATTTGATATAATGTATAATAGCTAAGACAGTGATTTATCTAAGATCAAAGACAAAGATACATTAGGCTTATTTCAACAAACCTGATCCCACAGTTTCCCGGTGTAATTCAAACTTTTGGAAGAGTATGGTATCTCAAAGTCAAAACGAAGATAATCTGTTAAAAGAGAACAAACGAGAGTGTCACAGCTGAGAAAAAAAATACAGCAACAAACAATTTGAGTATCAAAAATGCTTGGTCAAACATGGACATAGCAAAATGAGTGGGGTGCTGAAATCACTTTGTTACGTATGAAGTTTGCTGTGCATATGTTTTAAATATATATGTAAAAAAACTACACATGTATAACAAAAATATAATGACCTGAAAATCTATTCTCTATGTGCCTGTTTTGCTCTGTAAAAGCTAGACTGTATTTATGTAGACAGATCAAGAGTGCATTTGAGAAAGACGAAAAATTTAAAAATAATAAGGGTAGTGACTAAAGGTGTTTAACATATTCATTTCACACTGAGGAATTTGATTGCCTCATTTAAATCAATTCAACATGTTTACTCACTGATATTTTCTTTCTTCACCCCCCCCCCACCCCCACCCACCTCCCTCTTTCTATCTTACCATCTTTCTCTTCTCTGTCTCGCTGTGTCTTCATCTTTACTTCTCTTCACTCCCATCTTTACCACTACTAGCTATAAGTCAAGGAGGAAGCCCTCAAGACTTGAAACGCAAACACCCATCTCTCTCTCTCTCTCTTTCTCTCTCTCTCTCTCTCTGTCTCTCTCTGTCTCTCTCTGTCTCTGTCTCTCTCTCTCTCTATCTCTCATTTTGCATTATCCACTTCACAGGGAATCAGACAGCCACTTAAAGTATCAGTGCTGTCTTTTCAAGAATCAAAAAGTGGAACAATAAATTAATAACAACGGATAAAAGCAGAATAAAAAATAAAAACTCACACTGTGCATAGTCTGTAGGTCATCACATGGAAATGTAAAGAAACATAAACAGCCATATATGTAATGTTGTTACTGTACATCTTATCCGACATATTATGCAGAGACAACATCAATACATACAACTGAATGTCAACACATAAACACAATAACGAGTAAGAATAAAAAACATCATCACAGATAGAAATAAAACCAACACGACAGAAGCAAGAACAACATAGAAACAATAAACAATACTAACACAGAAACAATATTAACACTAAAACAATAAACAAGAGCAACACACAGAAGCAATTTTAACACTGTTTTTGTTTTAGTAGAGGTTTTACGGCACTTGCAACTGCACGGTCATATGAGCGCCAGAAGATTGGAGGTGCTACAAGAGAGTAACAAACATAAAAAAGAAGAAGGGGTGATAAGGATGATAGATGTTTGATAGGAAAGAAGGAGCAAACCACACCAGAGCACCCGCCAACCGCCCACATTAACACTGAAACAATAAAAATATCAAAACAGAAGCATGGTGCTACAAGAGAGTAACAAACATAAAAAAGAAGAAGGGGTGATAAGGATGATAGATGTTTGATAGGAAAGAAGGAGCAAACCACACCAGAGCACCCGCCAACCGCCCACATTAACACTGAAACAATAAAAATATCAAAACAGAAGCAATCTTAACACCGAAAAATATCAACACCAAAACAATGTTAACGGAGAAGCAATTATGTTATCACAAAAACAATTTCAATACATAAACAAATGTTATCACAGGAATAATGTTATCACAAAACAATTTCAATACAGAAACAATGTTACCATAGAAGTAATATCAACATAGAAACAACATCAGCACAGAAACAAAGTGAGCACAGAAACAATGTTAATACAGAAACAATATCTTTACAGAAACAATTACCACCCACAGACACAATCTCAACCCTGAAACAATATCAATACAGAAACAAATGTTAACACAGGTAAAATGTTAACACAGAAACAATATTAATACAAAAACAATGTTACCACAGAAGCATTATCAACACAGAAACAATATCAACACAGAAACAATATCAACACAGAAACTAATGTTACCACAGAAATAATGTCAACACAGAAACAATACAGCAGCAGGTTTTCACTAATTAGTTTTTCAAAAAGTTTAAGTGTTTAAATTCTAAGATTCTAAAAGTTTCTACAGAGCCAGTCTGGTGTAAACCCAAAGGAAAAATCTCATCTCGTTCGCCTGCATTATGTTTGGTATCATGACGTATGGGTGTAATGCTCCTTTCAACACTGTAAGGTTATTTAAGAGGTGGGACCTTTGAGTTAAATATGCAGACTCGACAAGACCTAGTCAAGAATAAGGTGGACAACTGTAAAAACTCAAACAAACAAAGTTTAAGAATGGCACTTTGGGGATTTGAATACAGCTAAACATGATACATTCTGCGCTATCATGGTGTCCCAAAATGCCAGTATCAACCACTATGTAAAAAAAAGTACTGAGGGAAGAAATGTTAACAGATTACTTTGGTGCTAACTAGTCTTTAGATAGAGTAAGTTTTACAGCCCTTGCAACAAAATAGGTCATATATGTCCAAAGATTAGAGGTATTACTAGATATTTAAGTAACATACAAAGATAAGACTGAAATGAGATGAGGATGATAAATATGTTTGCAAGGAAGAAAGGAGCAAGTCACACCATATCATCAGCTAACCATCCACTAACTATCTTTTAACCCAGAACCAAACCCAACAGGAATGAGAGGATCAAGTTACAGCAAGCCATCTACAAACAACAAGAAAGGACAGAAGCAAAATGACATGGCGGAACAGACACATTGTGACACACATGGATTCAAATGGTCTTAAGCACAAACAACTGAGTTTGAGTTTGTTACCTCTACAGAAAAGATGAGTAAGAGAAATCAGTGCCATTCTCTATCACTTTTACAAACATTGTGGAATGCAGCTAGCAGAAATCATTGCAATATTGATGTTAACAAACCTTCTGAAACTGACCACACAAAATATCCTCTTCAAATAAACTTCAACTTCATATTTGAGAGTCAGCTTATCTTAACCAGAAGCCATTGATTAAACTGTACTTCTCAATAAATAGTGTTCTCTGATACAAAATTATGTGACAACCAAAACAACTCACTGCCGCAAGAGAATGTAGAGCCCGGTCCATAGGTGCACTTCTCATCCCTACCACACAGAGGTACTGACATTAAACACACATACATGTCTGCAAGATTGAATGAGAAGAAAACGAATCTGTAATCAAATTATATTTTTGAAAAATGAGTACAACAGCAACAACAGCTATAATCACATACTATAAATTCATGCCAGACTATTCATTCTAAAAAAAAAATCGCAAGTAAAAAGTTTGCTTTGTTATTTTGACTAGCAATAATGTTCTCATGAACTTTTTACTTTTGATTTTTCAGGTTGTATTTAAAATGTTTAGCTCAATGATAAGAGCCACCCATTAAAAAACTGTTGTCACTGATAATGCTCATCATTCTTGGAGCTGATCACTGCTGGTCCAATGTAGTGTTTGCTATATTACATGAGAAGGTCTGGATATTAGAGCACTTTTGGCTTCAACTCTAATTAGTCTTAGCAATTCGAAGGTTATGATTTAGGAGCAGTGAGCCCACTTTTATATCATAGAGTAATGGACTTTTCAAATGAAAAAAGAGTGCATTTAAGGGTGTGTACTTTTACTGCGTGAGTGTAAAGGTAGAGACTGTAATCAATCTGTTAGATACAATGCACAAAAATCCATTATTCTTAACCTGTGTCACTACCAATTTACCTCAGACATCAGACTGGCAACAACAGATATGCCTGTTCTCTATGTTGAGGGGAATATAGCTTACCTACTGGACTGAAATAATTCAGAGCATTGTCATAATTTCCATCCTTTTGTACATTAAACAGATCTTTTCTGATTGCTCTATATGAAGTGCCCGAAGAGTCATTGGCAGACAGAGATTTCTGCACCATACTGGCCACAAGGACTTCATAAACAGCTCTTGTATCCTTCTCGTTCGGCAAGTGGATGGAGACAATCACTCCAGTTTCAGTGCCACTTGCCACGGGCCTGGTAATACACCATTCAAAATATTCACAGTTATTAAACGTTTTGGAAATAATTTTTGTTAAAGACAATCAATAAAGGAAGGGGTTAAAAATAAACTTTAAAAAAATTGTAATAAAAATAACTGATCATGTAACATTACATTTGTAGCAAATGAACAGATTTACTTGCAAGGACAACAAAGATTATTAGAGTACATGGACACATCATTCATCAAACAAAATTTTGCTTTGCAAAGTGACTATTGTTAAGTCCCTGACAGCATTTCCGATGAGGTTACATTGTTCAAATATGGTTACGCTATATCACATTATGGCTGACATTCACATGTCAGACAACTTGCCATGGACAGCAGGACGTTTTAGTAAATCTCTGCAACTTTTTAGATAAAATTCAAAGGCTGTCAAGTTGAATCCTCTTATAAAAATTAAAGACAGCCTTTTACTTTAACTTAACCCCGTCAGACGGCACACCGGGAATACTCAAAAACATTAACTATGCCAGATTACCCCATGACTGGTAATTGGGAGGCCGCGTCATAAAATCACGTCATATTTAAAAATAGCCAGCCAATCAGCACTAAACTCTGCATTAAGAGCGAGAACTGACCATTGCAAATGGTAAACTCCATCAGGTTGGATTGCAGTGTTGTTTGTATTCTAAATTTTGGACTTTTATGGTCATGAAGAGATGTGCTGATGAACCAAGCACTTCGACAAGAAAGAGGGCTAGGTCTCAACTGTTTACCACACAAGAAGTGCTTGAAGACCTATCCGATTATGAAGGAGATCTTGATAATGACTTCTAGAGCAGTGGTAGTAGTAGTGACAAAAGCATGGGCTTGGACGTTAGTGGTGATGATGAACCACATGTGTTTCTGCACGCTTTTGAACAGGAGGCCAGGTATAGGAGGAAGTTACGTTAAGGGGGTCAGGTCTGACAGGGTTAAGGGGAGGAGTGACCCTCAGTTTTGCGGATTTTGGTTCAAGTTATGTAAATTGTGATGCTGGCTGATTTTTAAAGGTCAACCAGTTCTTTGTCAAATAACAGCAAGGAGATAATGGAGAAAATCTTTATCTCGTCTTAAATTGCCTTTGAAAACATGAAGGTGGGTTAAATTGTAGTGAAATTTCACAATAATTATCGTTTTTCGCAAAACGTCATTTATTTTGCAGTTTTACTACTACTCCTTCCTTAGTTTTCATCCTTTTGACATTAAACTTTCAGGAAACACAGATGGCAAGGCTGCCATCAATGTAACAGAGAGATATTTATGAGAAAAAAAGCGCTGGCAAGCGATTACGCAGTTTAAATTTTGAAAAGGTTTTTATACGTTGGGAATATGCACATATTATTTTCCTTTTACACTTATTTAAAAATACTCTCTGTTATTTTGATAGGGACTGGTTCAGGTATACTCTCACCAAGTTTGGTCCTAAAATTAAAAAAGCCTTAGGTATTTGAAATTTATTGTTTATTTTCAACAAATGTAATAAAATGTAGTGGCTTGCCGGCACAGCAGTTCTGACCGTGAGCTGCTGGAAGCGGCTTGCCAGAGACAAAGAGTTAATTGATGTCTGTTGTACTTATTGTACAAATTATGAGGCAGAGGCCATCACCATTGAAACAGCAATCCTCCACCTGATCAACATTTTCATTTCTATATCCAGACAAAATCAAGGACACTGTAATCTTCACAGAAGGAAAATTTTTGGAAAACATGAATTTCGAAAGCCCAGCTTGCCTATCTGTGGCTCTAAAAATTATCACCTTCATGCTGACCCATGCCGTTGACCTGACTTTACAGTGGATACCTGGCCACATCCCAGGAAATGACAGAGCAGACACCTTTGCCATAACTTTAGAACCCATTATCACAACAGACAGTCAAGAACATCATCAAATGCAACACGAGGGAACAGTGGCTGAATGGATGGGCATTAGGCAAAACTGGAAGAGCTGTATTTGTACTCGATCATGACTGTTCCAAACTCAAAAGATGCACTAAATTCTCTGAGTAAAAGAGAACGAGTCACTTTCTTTCACTCAAGAGAACGAGTCACTTTCTTTCACCTGCGAGCAAAACATCCCACTGAATTCTTATCTACTAAATAGGATCGCTGTGTCCATAGTGTGACAGCTAGGATGAAACAGTATCCCACCACCACTTTACCTGCCTTGCACTTAGTGACCTGTGTTGCATCTACATACCCGCCTCCCCAGATATCGAAAATACTTTATACAGCAACAAAACAGCTGATAACAGGGATGCCACTTTTCCGCTTTTTTTCGGTATTTTGATCCTGATCCGCTATTCCGTTATTGAGATTGAGATAGAATCTATAGTTGGAACCCCCCCCCCAAACACACACACACACAACTTCCGCCAAATGATCAAATTACGGAAAAACGAAGACTTCCCCATAAGTTCAAATAACGGGGAGAAAAATATGTACACCCTTTGGATTTCAAATTGATATTCATATATGTTAGCGAGACCGTGGTACGTGGATTTTCAGCTATTTCAAAAAAGGTGAGTGGCATCCATGTGATAAAAACCTGAAATTTTTTTACCATGTTGACAAGACCCAGAAGACCCTGAATCAGAAAAGTAACGTCAAGTCCATTTGTCATGTTTTTTAACTCTTTATCTCCAAGGGGGGGCAAACCCACTATGTCGGGGCTCGTTTTGGTACTTAATCTAAAAATTATGAAATAGTCACTAAATTGGTCATTAAATCAAAACAAGTGGGTCTATTTGGATAGTTCTTCATCTAATGAAGTACATATACTAAAATTGGAACGATACTGAGAAGATTAGCATGGCCCCTGCGAAAGGATGACACGCAAATTCGTGAAGCGTTCCATATTTTTAATGGCTGGAAGGGTTGAGGGTGAAACCCCAGACGCTCTCTGGCAAGCCAACCTCAACCAAGTCAACTCCCCGTCCTTGTCGAGCAGCCTGGGGACCCCTGCTCTGTGCATAGGAGTAAGGGTTGCAGACAGAGCTCTGGCCAGGAGGTACCATAGCCCTGTGAGGTGTGAAGTGAGCAACGACCCTTCGGCTCGTAGAAGGGTTCGTACATATCCACCAATATAGTAGGTCTGGCGTCACAGCAGGCTAACCGGTTCATTCAGGAACTCACTGTCGACATCTTCTTCCCTCCCTCTCGTGGGAGCTCTACAGACGGGGCATGGTACCCACAGACTTCCAGATGACTCATTGTGAGATGTCTCTGCAGACCCAGAAGACCTTGTAGCTGTAAGGAATAGGCTGCCTGGAAACAGATGACGTCCCTACAGATATCCTGGCAAATGCTCGCCACCCATGACGTGATGATCCTCTGTCTGTGTAGATTTGGCCACCCATCGAATTATTCTACCCCATGAACGGAAATGTCAATAGCAGATAGCCAGGAGACAGCAAGTGGCAGGGATTGGGCAAACGCAAGCTACGCTTGGTGATGCAGACGACTCACTGTGGAAGGAACATGTTACCCCTTACTCAATGGGACTCCTTACTGGACTGCTCAGATGATCACTTGTCATTGGTTGCACTTTGTGGCTCCCATCTCTTAGAACTAGAGTGTGCCTACACCCCCTACGGTTGTCCACTGTCTAAGAAATCCCCGTGAAGGTTGATGGAAAACAGGATGACTACCACCTACCTGTGATCCTACAGGGATGCATACAAGCCTTCACAACCCCTTAACCAATAAAATGTCTCTACGACAAATGAAACTATACGAGCTCGGATGTCACCTCGGTTATCAATGTCAGCGCTCTCTACCTTCACCCGTGGGCGGGAGTAACAAGTCAGCTACTGGGACCCACACTGCAGGTATAGGGGCCACAAGCAACACACAGACACTACAGACCCCCCAACCTACAGAAACACAGACATTGAATAAACTCCAACTGAAAATCTCATCAATGCAGAACAAGAAAATGGAGCTTGCAAAGATGCTGTCAGACTTAAAAATTCATATAACCCTGCTACAGGAAACCCAACTACCCAAGTGGATAGAGTTCCATTTGACAGGCTACACAATGTACCACTGCAAGTGCACCAAATGTCAAGGTATCGCAACCCTCATTCGGAATGACATCACCGCTGAGGTTTCTCACCCAGAAACCGATGACGAGACTGACATGCAGGAAGTGAATGTGCAGCAGTCGGATGGAACAACCTGCACCTTCTACAATGTATACTGCCCACCGAGATCTACTCTCCAGCTCAACTTCCCGAATACAGACCATAAACATACCATTCTAGCGGGAGATTTTAATGGACACTCTCCACTGTGGGGTTACCGTGATACAAACTCGACTGGAACAGTTCTAGAAGAACTACTGAGATCAAGCAACCTCATTTCACTTCAGAACGACTAGACACCTCCCACCCTACTTCATAGAGCCAGCGGAACTCTCAGCACACCAGACCTGACCTTGGTCTCTGCTGACCTTCACGTGCACTGCTCCATGACTGTCCTAGATGACATAGGAAGTGACCACCGCCCAATCCTACTGCAAATATCCAGCAACAGGAAACGAGAACCGACCAACCCCATAAGACGCAGTTGGAACTACAAGAAAGCAAACTGGGAGCTCTACCAACAGAAATCCGAAAGTAGACTCCTGGATGTAAGCACGACCAACCCAAATGATGAGTGCTACAAAGACATCACCACAGCACTAAAGACATGTGCTAAGGAAGCGATTCCAAGAGGGAACCCTAAGAAGTTCCGCCCTTATTGGGACAAAAAACTGGAACAACTGACTAAGGCCAGAAAGAAAGCCAGATGGCGTGCTAAGAAGAACCCAACAGCCGAAAATAGAAAGCACTATAACTACCTGACTGCCAAGGTAAAGCTGAAGACCAAAAGTGCGAAAAGACAAACATGGAGAGAACACTGTGGAGAACTAGACCTGTGTAAGGACGGGAGGAAAGCCTGGAACCTGTTTACCAATCTCTCAGGTACAAAAAGAAGGAAAAACCCCGCCCCAATGAAACCAACTGAGAAAGGAGAAACATGCAGAGCTGAGGTTATGAATAAATACTGTGCTAGCATCAACAAGAAAGGAAACCAGAACAAACTGAGCCACACAATAAAGCAGCTAACAAAAAGGGCAGAACAGACCCCCAAGGCAAACCTGGAGGTGTTTGAGAAGGAGTTTACTCTGACAGAATTGAAGGCAGCCTTCCAAAAGTGTAAAAAGAGAAAGGCCCCATGACCAGACCACGTCACCAATGAGATGATCCTCAACCTGACAGACTCTTCCCTCTCCATACTCCTAGGCTTCTTCAACGGGACCTGGAATGAGGGACAGCTCCCAACAGAATGGAAGAAAGCAAACATCACACTGATATTAAAGAAGGACAAACCAGCAAGCCATCCTTCAAGCTACAGACCAATCTCTTTAACATCATGCCTAGGTAAGGTCGTCGAGAGAATGGTCAACGACAGACTGTACTGGTGGATGGAAAGCACCGGAACAATCAGCACATCACAGGCAGGATTCAGGAAAGGCAAAAAAACTATGGACCACCTCATCAGATTTGCCCAGAAAACCAGCGATGCCTTTCAAGATAAATACAATGTTGTGGCTATCTTCATCGACCTGAGGCAGGCGTATGACCATGTGTGGAGACAGGAACTGTTCTCCAAAATGCAAAAGCTTGGGATAGCAGGAAAGATGTACAGCTGGATCAAGAACTTTCTGTCTTGCAGAACTATCCAGACGTCATGTGACAGCAAGACTTCTTCACAGAGGACACTTGAGGAAGGCCTCCCACAGGGGTCAGCACTTAGCTGTACCCTCTTCCTGTTGTTCATGAACGACTTGCCAGATGTCATTTCCTGCCAGAAAGCACTCTACGCTGACGACTTACTCACAAGGAGCAAAGGAAGCAACATGAGAGCACTGAACCAAGCCATCAACGCAGACCTGACTACTATCTCGTCCTACTGCCAGCTATGGAAGATGGAGATCAACACAGACAAGACTGTTTTCGGACTCTTCAGCCTCAAAAACAAAGTTACAGCACGTCAGGTAAACCTTAAGCTCAATAGAACCACCATCAGACATGAGGACTATCCCAAGTACCTTGGTGTACAACTGAACCGAAAGCTGTCTCTCAAAGAGAACTTAAGGGAGCTGACCAAGAAAGCCACCTCCACACTAAACCTCCTGAAACACCTTTCATCACTCAACTGGGGAGCTGAGAAAGCAACCCTCCGACAACTTTATATAGGGTATGTCAGATCTGTGATTAACTACTCCCTACCACTACAATCCATAGCCAGCCAAATCTCCCTGGCACAGCTTGACAGAGTACAGAACCAAGCACTCAGATTTGTTTCTGGCGCAATGAAGACCACGCCTACAAGCACCTGCGAAATCCACACCAACATAGAACCACTGGGCTTCAGAAGAAAGAGTGCTACACTTGAAACCTATGAAAGATTTGTGTGGCTAGAAGACTCGAATGAAAACAGGAAAAAGGCAGATGAGTGGGAACCAAGAACACGCATCCAGAAGACCTCCTTTATGCCAGAAGCAACAAAACTACATGAGGAGTTTGACCCACCCAAGAACAGAGAACCAACCACCAACATCAGCAGCGAACCTCCATATTGGCAGACACCAGAAATCACAATAAGGACGAGACTTCTAGACCCTTCTTGTGACAAGACCACACCAGAAGAAATCCTCAGAACTAGCGCCCTGGAGACAGTGGACTCGTATGCTGAAACTCCAATCCATGCATACACAGATGGGTCAGCAACAAACGCTACACGGAATGCTGGATACGGATCTACCATCAAATATTGAAACAACCCTGGAGAGAAGAAGCAGTCCCAACTATTTGGCCCACGTGGAACATACAGCTCTAACTATGGCGCAGAGAGAATCGCCATAGTAAAGACCCTGGAACAGATCGCCCTTGACTTTTTTGAAGGCGCAGTAACACCAGGGGATGTTGTTGTCTTCTCTGACTCAATGTCAGTACTCCAAGCCATCGAAGGAGGAGGAGCCTATAAAGGTGACGGGAACATCTTCAGCCTTGTAAAACAGATGGGCACTTCCTATGGCGTCCGGGTCACACTGCAGTGGGTGCCTGGCCATTCTGGGGTACCAGGGAATGAGACTGCAGACCACATATCAAAGACTGGAGCGAGCCTGCCCCAGACAGACACAACCGCCTCTTTACAGACCTGCAGAGGGATCATCCAAGCCAAAAGCAGGGATGAGTGGCTAAACAGATGGGCCAATGCAGAAACAGGAAAATCTCTCTTCGGGTACATGGACAAACCCAACCCCAAAGACCTTTCGAATCTTTTATGTAGAGCCGATCAGACATTGATCTTTAGAGCCCACACAGGACACTTACACACCAACAACCACGAGGAGACCGTTGAACATCTTCTCCTTCACTGCCCAAACCTGGCAGTTCTTCAATGCAAGCTCCTACACACACCTACAGATTTACGAAGCCTGCTCTACTCTGGCGTTGACCAGATGACAAGGACATGTGGTTACTTGAGGGAGGCATTGCGATGCCAAGAGTGAAATGCTCGCAGCTAAAGGGATTTGAAAACAACAACAACAACAATGAATGAAATCCCGAATAAAAGAGACCTGTTCTCGGCAACTGACCGAAAAGTAATTTGATGTCAAAGTCGTCGTAAAGGAATGTGCCCGAGCCGCTGTCAGTGGCCCACTGGCACAGGGGTCGTGACAGCGAGCCACAGAGAGCAGCTGGCCGGGGATACAGAGTTAATGGGAAAAAACTCTCTATCTTGAGTGGAAGTCGAGACATTCACAGCTGAAGGAGATGGGGGGTCGCCTGGTGCCAGAGGAAAAAATAGAGAGAGAATGGCTGGCACGTTTGATGGCTTCCAAAGCTTGAGAGTCCACAAAAACTGCAAACTTATATTATCTGAGCCTTTGATCAACATTTTTTGGTAAAATCCAAACTGATAATGGGCAGAAAATGTCAGTTTCTCCATTTTCAATATTTTGACAAGCACCTGATTTCACCACAATGTCCCACATAAAGCCAACTTGAGAACAAACATTCCATATGACTGTTTCCTTTCAAAAAGTTCATGTTGCCACACCTGTCTCATATAACCAGAGTGCATTCTTTTTAGTTAACAAGAAAAAGCAAATGTCTTTTATTAATGAGCTAAAACTGATTAACATTGTCTAGCCCAGAGAAACCCCCAATGTTCTTGCTTTCAGACCACATCTGTGAAACAGTTCAACATGTGCTCTTCGAAAGTCCCAAATTACAGAATCTCCAACTGCAACTTCTTCCTCCCATCTTACCATGGACAATTCATTATACTGCAGCAAAGAACAAATGTCGGAGACCTCGACATTTTTTAAAGAAGACATTCAGTTAAAGGACACATGCTCAAAAGTTAGTGGATAAATGACAACAACAACAACAACAACAACAACTCACAATGTATCCAAAGCACCAAGGTCAACCACCAAAGACTCTGCTTTAAATAATGCAGATAGCTGGGGATGAGAAAAAAAGATAACAAAAGTCACTGCAACATGATGCAATTGAATTTCAATAATTTAAACTTTGTCAGAAGTCAATCATGGCTATTCATTTCCCTTTCAAGAATCCAATAAAAAAACACAATTATGATTATTTTATTGAAACAGCTTTCCACATCATTCAATATCGAGAGAAAGTCTCAAATTGGAGAAATTTGAGAGAATTAAAAGGCCTTGAAAAAATAATTTCACGATAATAATAAAAATATTTAAACATGATTTCTCTATATATAGAAAAATAGAACAGTTTCAGTAAGATTGAGTGAGACAAAGGTTTTATATATACCAGTGTATATATATGTGTGTGTGTGTATGAGTGTGTGCACAGGGATATGTATGGGGTTGAGAAATTTTGTAAATAGCAATATTGTAAACAGTGAACAACACCTCTAATTAGAGGGCATGAAGAGGTCCATGTAGAGCCTACTTTTAGTGAAGTAAAAACAGGTATTATATTTTACTTGAGCTTACCTATAAAACATAATGAAACAAAGATCTGATTTTGATTTAATAGAATATGGAGTATAATAACAACAGTCTAATAAATAATTTTGCCAAATTACCTTCGCCCCAAATTAGTTGTGATAAGGGAAATCATGACGGCAGACAAAAATGAAAATGAAAAATAGAGCTCTTGACAATGCCAAGTAATGAACAACGCAACTGAATACAAAGGTTAAATGTTGTTGTCATCTACTCAAGAGAGTAACAGGGAAAGTGAAAAGGGGAGAATAAGTTGGAAAATACTTCTTAGAGAATGATTATGTTTATATAGGATTGAACAATGATTTTGATTTTCAAACAGCCTACATCTTACAACCCTTACAAAACATAGGTAGCCAGTCTGCCCTAGCTGCAGCCACATCTTCATAGTCTGTCTATAAAGAAGGAGTTCTGTAACCCACAGACACCGGTAAATGAGTATAGTAGGATCCAAAACTTTCATATACCACAATAAGACAAGCACCCACCTGAGAGAACTCTATCAAGAAGGAATCCGTAACCAATACACACTGGCTAGTGCCATGAGTGCAGCAGACTCACATCTGAGAAGACTGAATTTCCTCATCCTTTCAGAAACCCAACTCCTCTAAGTTTAAAACGACCTACTCTGTGTCTTAGCATGTCATTACATCTTTAAAAAAACAACCCAAAAACACCTTCCAAAAAACCCCCAAACCCCCAAACAAAACAAAAAAACAAACAAACAAAAAACAACAACAAAAAACAAAAACAAAAAACAACAAACCACATAACAAAACCAATCAAGGAAGCTGCTCGTTTCCATTATCTCTTGACAATTGTCTCTGTGTCATACCTGAGACCTGGCATTCTCCAGCAGATTCCAAGACTCTTTCATATCAAAAGGACGAGGGAAATCTATACGGAGGTTATCTGAAACATGTGCAAAACAGTGTGTGTCTGAATATTCTTGTTTATAGTAGGAGAAATATGGCATATTCATCTCACAAACACATTCCCTAACAAAAAATTGATGTAATAACTCCATGCGGGTGGCCTGTGCGACAGAACACATTATTAACCAGACCAATTGAGGTTCGAATCAAAGCAAAAGTTAATTCTTTTCTGTTTTCCTCAGTAATTTATCTCAGTCCTGAGTGGTGTACCCAGTGCACCACCTGCATAGTGGCCAATTCTGTGTCTAGTAGGGAGGTAAACTTCATCATTAACATCATAAACACAGCATCTTGTATTGGACACATGCAAGTATCCTGGCAAACAAGCAAAACAGTAACAAGAGACTTCCAAATAATAGTGAAATTCCTTTTTTAGGGAGAAGCACACCTCGACTTGTTAATGGTTATTTAGTGCTGGGAAAAAAATTGACAAGAAAGACAGAAAAAAAGAGGGATATTTAAAAAGTAGGATCTACCACCAATTTTGTGTAAGTCATCATGACCTTCAGCTCCCCACAAAAACATAACTTGAAGATGTAGGCACATTACTGTCATCCCTACCAAAGATAGTACATAACAAGATGGGCCACTTCTCTCTTTGAGCCAATTAAAAAAGTGTCCTCAAAATTTGGTGGCGCCCTCTTCACAAAAGCGCACTCTTTGCGAACAGAGTTACCCTACTTGAGTTTTTAAAAATCAAAGTGAAACTAGCAAGTTTTGGGATAAATTTCGGAAGAACGCTTTTTTAAAATGGTTACGCTGACAAAAAACCTCTTCCGGAGGAAATGGTGATGGTTTTCTTTGTTTAATTTGACTTTAGAATGAAAGGCGAGAGGTCATTAAAATAAAAAAAACCCTAAAACTCCGCCTGAACGTACCCGAACTGCTGATGAACAGCAGTCGATCTGCGCACGCAACGAGGTGCTATTCCTATTCTTCTTCTGGAAAAACGAAAGAGAGCTTCAAAACAGACTGCAGCGCCATCTGAAGCAAAGAGCATACTTCCTGCGGACACTTTTTGGCTGAGTGGCCCATCTTGTTATTTACTATCTTTGTCCCTACTCAGCTTTTCCTCAGATGTAACTTGTTGCTAAAAAGGAGCTTCACAGCAAAAGAAAACTGAGATAAATACTTACATGTGACGTTCTGTGAGACTGTTGAGTGAAAATCAAAACAAAAACAAATTGAAATGTTTGAATAAAAAAAGATTCAAAATAGCAAAACAGTTGGATATTTCATGCAAAAAGATGGCACTGAAAGCAAAAATGGGTAAGATGGCATTCTGTGAAGCTAAAGGTTTTAGAAAAAATTGTTAAACTGTAAAAATATAATCCTCAGTAGCCAATGAGTTCAATTTATGAAGTCCATCTGAGAGATAATCACATAAACTAAAAGTGTTCCCATTTTTTAAATAAAATTTGATAATCATGAGTTTTTAAGGCACAATTTTCAATTACTGAAATTCAGTCAAAAATCACATTTTATTTTCTCTTCAGAAGTGTCCATCAATAAAAGTTGAATCACACGTTGCCCATCTGGAAAAACCCCCCGACTATGATCCACTGAAAGTAAGTTGTCCAGATGGCAGAATCAATTTTTGGTTTAAAACACGTGGAAGAAAACTGACAGGGTGATCCAAAAAAAAACTACAACTTTTTTGGTTAATATTCTCCTCCACACTGAAGTTTCACGTTTCAAATTTGTACACAAATGTTTCGAAGTTAAAAGGAATTTGTCTGATAGTCATTTTAGGTAAATCCACCGAATAGTTTTGCTCAACGTAGCATGTAAAAAAACAACCCATTTTCAGTGCATTGAGCCTACCACTAAAAATCCTAACGATTGCGCCATATTGCAAACTACAGCAGTGTAACAGGCCTACAGAAGTTTGCATATAGTTTTTTTCAAGTTTCCTTTGCCTGCTGAGATCACGATTAAGATCAGTAAAAAGCAAAGAGCTTTTTGTATAGATCATTTCCTCACCACCAATTCATTTCAAAAGTTTCACACAAGGTACAGAAATAATGTTAAAGTGCCTTCTTTGATGTCAATGGTTCTTCAGTTAGGACCTGTAGAGAATCAGAACTAAAAATTCCCAAAGCGACCATTTCAGGTCAAACACACACCATTTGCACCCCTTTATACGTCACCACCAAGGTGCAGAATTCAGTAAATGTGCCCCATGAGACGTCTCTCCGCAGACGATGCCTGCAGCAATGACTTTCCTACATCTCAATCGTGCGCATTCTCAAAGCATATCTTCATCTACAACTGTACCACTTTTCCGTTCGCGACGCTATCAGAATATAGCATTGTGTTCATGATTCCTCTTTCATTTGAAAAGAGTGAACATTCCCTCTATGACATTTGGTTCCTTAGCAAAGCCCATATTCACTTTTCAGGTTATATCAACTCCACAAATGCTGTCTACTTGGACAACCTCACCCCCCCCCCCTCCATTGTCTCTAGGAACAGCTCCACACTGTGTGGTGTACAGTGTGTGCAGCTTTGAGTACTCATGGTTGAGTGGATCCTTGTGTTTGGCCATCACTGGACATTACGAACGATGTGTTAACATGTGTCGAGTCCAAAGAAGGACATATAGAGCACTGGTTCTCGGAATTCCAGAATTAAAAAAAATATTTTTTAACTCTGTAGGAGAAAAGAAATATTGTTTAAAGTTTACAAGAATGGAAAGATGTATATTTTTAAAATAAAAGGAACGAAAAAAACCCCCAAACCAATCATTTCATGACTCTCCTTCAATTACAACATTTTTTAAAATGGTGCATTTTGCATTTATAGGTGGTGTTTATAAAAGCCATTTCCGTTTTCGAAAATAATGTTATTCTTTGTGAATTTTATGTCAAATTCCTTTTGAATGAATTATATCTGTTTCAAATAACAACATTCTAGTACTAATTTTGTGCGAGATATTTAGAAAAAAAGTGGTACAGTTTTTTTTTGGATCACCCTGTATAACAAGAAACATATGTGTGAGGTAGTGTGGTGAAATCAGGCGCTTGTTAAAATAATGAAATAGAAGAAAACAGCATTTTTCTTCCCATATGATAACTTTTGTTGAATTTTCATTTTTTGGCTTAACACCTTTTATGTCCATTTAAAATCAAGTTGCTGTGTGGCTTTTATTGAAAAAGGTTGATTAAAAGCACAAAAATGTACATTTACAGTTTCCAAAGACTCTCAAGCTTCGGAAGTCACCAAACTTTGGCGGCCATTTTCTCTCTTATTCTACCTCTGAAACCAGGTGACTCCTATCCTCCTTCAATCCAAAATATCTTGATTTCTATTCAAGATATATGGATAATTTTTTCATTTAAAGCGAGACAAATGAACAAGTTTTTAGATGATACAATAGCTCCTGTATGTCCAAAAATTGATGAGAGCCTAATTCTACTACGTCGTGACACATATATACAGAAAAAATGGCAAGAAAGCAAAAATATCCCTTTGCTATTGAATTAAATGGATTATACTATAAAAAGAAGGAAATATTTTTACCATATTTACCTCCCAAAAATAAAATAACTGGCTGAGCTGGCTGCTTTCCAGAATCACAAGAATGTGTAAGGCAGTATGGTGAAATGAGGGACTCATCAAAACTATGAAATTAAAGAAACCGGGATTTTTCTGGGCAGCGGGCAATTTTTTTCAATTTTTTTTTTTGGCTCAACACTTTTAATGTCCTTTTGAATACACATTTCTGTGTGGATGTAACCGAAAAACACTGATTAAAGGTACAAATTTTCTCGCTAATTTTACCTCTCCCCTTCCTCCTCATTCAATTGCAAATATCTCCACTTCTATTCAAAATAGAAGGGTATCTCTTTCACCAAATGCAAGACAAATGAACAAACTTGATGATGTCAATAACTGTATATGCCCCAAAACTGACGAACGCTTGATTTCTCCATGTTGCGACACATATGCAAAATATAGTGTATATTTGGCAAATGCTATTTTCATTTATTATGGGAATTACTATAAGATGAGTGACCCTTTCATTCATACAAGAACATATTAGATTTGTACCACAGTAAATGCTTTTACGCACTCATTAACATAATGTGGATAATCTATGAGGGAGGCTTCATTGATCCTAGGCAGTACAGGAGATATTCAAATAGAAAAACAGACAGGAACGTTCAATGAAATAACTTCCCCACTGTGAGATGGAAGCCTCACCTTGTGCGAGTAAGGCATAAATTGACCATTTTACCACAGATGCTAGTCTCTGACTCATGATCTGCTCACTATCAAAAGATGCCAAATAAACAGGGCTTTTTTTGTATATGCCGGCTACTTTTCTCTCAAGTACAGAGTTATAAACACTTTTCCACGCCTGAAAAGGATCAAGTTAGATAAACTACCACTGAGAGGACAGACAGACAAAATGCGTTTTTTCATCCCTTTGAATTTTTTTCACTATAGTGTGGTCAAAAATTCATGGTGCAACTTATTGTCAAATGTTTCCTTAACTATCGCACATAAAGTATCCAGCTTTTGCACAATGACTTGTATCAATTTGTCTTTAAAAAATCAATACTTTTGTAAACACCTGCTAGTTGTATTCTAGAAAATTCGTTGATAACTGCTTTTTAAAAATCCCTGAGGGTAGTTTCTTCAGATTTTAAAAGGTTCAGCCTTCGTGTCCATTTGGGACAGACATGACCCAATTTTTTGTTGGGAGGAGGAAAATCAGTCGGGTTGTTTCCGTCTTGTGTGTCCACACAGTTCGGAAAAGACACGTCTTGTCTGTTGGTCTACTTATTCCCCGAATATGTACTTTAGACAGCTTGTCCACAGTTACAATGAACTGCTAACAAATATGACAGTAGAGGGAATGACCTGGTTCACACTTGAAGAAGCCTTCAGTATTCATACACATCTCTCGAGGACCACACACTTGATTGGCTGCCTCCTGCCACTTTGCCAGGAACTTGCACCAGTCCAATGCTGCAACAACAGGCAAAAAATAGTAAAATATCAGACAAAAATCTACTCTGAGTAGGTACACAAGCACCACAAAATATTCAGTTAAAGACTGCAAATTATGATAGGAGGGATTTGTCGATATTCAGTCAAGATTGTCCAAGACAGTCACTGATTTTCAAGGAGAAAAGGGGTTGTCTTAGGCAGGTGAATGGCTTGGACAGTGTCATTATAATGTACAACCCTCCCCCCCCCTCAAGTGGGAAGTAGGATATGGTCATTTATATATGCAATTGTCTTCGATACTAGGCCATTGGAGAAGGTTCAACTGTATATCCTTTTCTTCTTAAAAGAATTGTCGTTCAGCTATTTTGGTAGCTTCAGTGTTCAGAAGGTCAATACATGCAAGTTCATAAACAGTGTCAAGTAATGATAGTGCGTTCTTTATGAAAGTGGTGTTCACATGGGTGTTTCATTGAGCAAGATACACTTAACTTGGGCCAAAAGAATGATCTCAGTGTAGTCTGCTCAGTATGTCTTGATATTATATACTAACAAAACATAAACACAACATAAACCAAATTTTTATGAAATAACTAGCAGAAGTCCTTTTTTTCCAGTGAATGCAACACAGCAACTGACCAATAGCAAGCCTAGAACTGTGAAGACCACCTGCAGTCTGCTAGCTCTATTCATTTCCATTCTTCAACAATTATCGCATGATCAAAGAGGATAAATATGTTGATGTTTTTCAATGATTTCCCTATTAGCATCAGGTATGATAAACCTATGCACTGCCATAAAACTAACATGGACTAGTACCTTACTTGACATCATAGTTCTAACTTGCTCTGAACATACAGAAGGCTATTTTTTCCTCCGTACCAAGGACCTTACAACAAATGGACCCTCTTCTCTCTCTTCGTGGCACCGTGCGCCACATACCCAGTGGAACATACAAAATGGCGCAAACTATGGTCATCCAGCGCGAACTGCGTTTTTTTCTTTACAAGGATATACGGTAGGCCTGGGCACTGGGCTACGGTATGGGAGGGAATATGTGCAAAAAAAGAGGGGTGAAGATGGTGAGGCGGGCTTGGGAGAGTAAGATGAAGAGAGGAAAAGGAAGAGAGAGAGAGAGAGAGAGAGAAAGAGAGAGAGAGAGAGAGAGAGAGAGGGAGGAGAGAGAGAGAGAGAGAGAGAGAGAGAGAGAGAGAGAGAGAGAGAGAGAGAACGAGAAAAAAGGGGAGATGTGTCTGATAAAGACTGTCTATAAACTTTACGTTTTGATCCCCATGTTGACTAGTTGTGAAACAAAGTAGTTTAAAAATAAAAAAGGCGGTGGGTTGGAGATTTGTGGGAGAAGTAGAGGTGGAGAAAAAAAACAACAGTTGTCTTGCCGAGTAACAGAAAATTATTTATGAAACAGACAGGAGGGTAAATCTTACTGTAAGATCCTGCTGAAAGGTTTCGTTATTAAAACATACCACAAAGTATTGAATTTGACACAGTGATTGCAAGATTGAACAGGTGTGCCATTACTAGCTTTCATGAGTTATGGTTAATGTAAAGGACTACGTTGTCTTAGGCCTAGAAAGCATAGGTAAAAGGCCTTCACTTAGACTTAAGATAGCCAAGGCCTTCACACATGATCATTATAGAGCAAAAGAGAGTCAAAATCAGCTTTAACTGATTGCTTACAATGATGCCTTTGTCTATGAATTATTGAGCACAGTAATTTTGTTTCCTTTTTTTTTAACACGAAGTGTATCCCCCCTCCTCCATGGTTTTAACTATTGAAAAGGTAATGATAATTACAGTATCCTTTGTCTTTTAAAATGGGATACAAATTTACTAACTGTAGACCTACTGATGCGTAATAACAAAGAGTCTACATAACAAGAGGGGCCACTTCTCTCTTTGAGCCAATTAAAAAAGTGTCCTCAAAATTTGGTGGCGCCCTCTTCACAAAAGCGCACCTTTTGCGAACAGAGTCACCCTACTTGAGTTTAAAAAATCAAAGTGAAACTAGCAAGTTTTTGAATAAATTTCGGAAGAACGCTTTTTTAAAATGGTTACGCTGACAAAAAAACCTCTTCCGGAAGAAAGAGTGATTGTTTTCTTCGTTTAATTTGACTTTAGAATGAAAGGCGAGAGGTCATTAAAATAAAAAAAAACTAAAACTCCACACTGAACGAACCCGAACTGCTGATGAACAGCAGTCGATCTGCGCACGCAAGGAGGTGCTATTCCTATTCTTCTTCTGGAAAAATGAAAGAGAGCTTCAAAACAGACTGCAGCGCCATCTGAAGCAAAGAGCATACTTCCTGCGGACACTTTTTTGGCTGAGTGGCCCATCTTGTTATTTACTATCTTTGGTAATAATTAACCTATGTCGTTGGGTTCCTTCGTCTATTATGACAATAATAAAGCGTTATCTCACTCATTGCTCCTCCCCTTTGCCTTCTGTCAAGTATTTATTGCTTTCCTTCATCTCTGACCGAAATCCCCTCTCATATTCAGGTCTTAACTCATCATTGTTTTGTAAACGCACCAATTAAAATTCTAAGAATGAAAGGCTGGCTCAACATTACACAAAGGCGACCGGACAGTCCCAGAGTACAGGCGCAAAGTCTGTCCAGCAAATTCGGATGCACATGTGATAGATGGTCACAAAAACAAAAGCACCGATGAAATCACAGTTCGATTTGATCCCATCTGATTCGGCCTTTTCGGCCCTGCCTACTGAATCACGCCTTGCTGTAGTTCGATGTTCAGAGAAATCAAAGACGTCCAAAAGTTCACACCGGGTGTGATCCTTTCATTGTAAGGCCCTCAGCGCCTGAGGCGAATATTGTAAAACTCGTCAAGAAATTTAGAGCAGAGATGTGATCGTATCATGTATGAGTGTGGATGATCTATGAAGTTTTTTTTGTTCAGTAAAAAAAAAAAATCTAAAGTGTGGGAACTTCAGACTCCAGAGTGGGATCTTATAAGGGATGACTTTTCTGTAACAAAATTTGTTGTTTTTTGGGGGGTAGTTTCTTTTTTTTTTCTTCTTTAAACAACGGAATCTTAAGTGAACCGGGTATCATAAACAATGGGATCTCAGGTGCAAACTACTATGATAGATCAAACTGGGTACAGTAGATTTACTATTAAAGGAGACTCAGACTCTTACCACCCACCCCCCTCCCTTCATCTTTCTTTAACAGAGAAGTTATTCGCCGTTTTTGTTAAGTAGGTACTGGATTTTTTAAAAATGGGTATGGAGCTGCTAGGACATAGACTATATTTTGATATCAGTAATAGTAATGAGATAAAAGGGCTTTAAAACATAAAATAAGTCTACTGACTTTCTGAATCTCAAGGATCTCAGAATAAAACCTTCTTTCCTATCTAGATTTCAGTGCGAGAGTCGGGCAGCGCGCAGCGCAGGTTCTATCAGGCGTACGTTGCCGCCCACATAGCAGCCCCCATGACTGTATAACCTCATTGCTTTGTACACAAACAAACTTGTCATCCAAGTTTTCAGCATTACAAAACTTTCCAATAATTTCACTCCTGTTTAACCTAGTTACATAAAATAAAGATCAAACTGAGTAGAAATGGATCATCCAAGCTAAAACATACAGTTTGGTCTTAAATTACAAGGACCAGCGGGGTTTTTGTTACAGCTGTAATCAATCAAGCCATATACTATATAAGCGTTAATTTTCAGACACCAAAAGGCAGAAGATTTTGGCAGAGTCCACTAACTAAGGCTGTACCAGGTGACTTAGAGCTTTGGTCCTCCTCAGTGAGGTACAAGTAAACAGGTCCGATGAAGGAATATCCAGAATCTCCAAACCTTCCTCCGTTCATGGAATGGGCTTTCAAAGCTTCAGATGCTACTCCCTGGATTATTGAGTCATTTACAGTGGTCCAGAAAAAGAGGCTTGCGTGGAATGAGACATATGACTGATCATTCTCTTCATATGATCTGCAGAGTAAATAAGATCCATGAATTACGAAAACCATAAGTGCAGTTTCGTCTTCAAAAGGAATTTTAGGAAAGATTTGCATATTTTATTTGGACTGGTACTTAAAAACAAATTTTTAATAAAACAAGGACACAATCAAACAGATTCCTAGCTACTGAGGATAATTCTCACAAAGCAAGTTTCTCTCCCCCCATCCCTCCCTCTCTCTCCCACGAGCTACAACAGAGTACACAAGTCACCAATAAAGTGTTAGGTAAAGGCACATCTAGTCAAATGTCCACTATATATGTGATGCTTGAGTAGGCCTTTGCATATTCCCGAGGATGGTACTGGACTGGATCCCCTCGGGCAAAGCTGGGTCTAGGATCAGTATTAGGTAGAAGGTAGGTAAGTTTCTTCCTCAGTTGATCAGTTAATGCTTTTAGAAGCCAGCTTGTATCACGGCCACATCTCATTTGTATTATAGTACCTTAACCACTAGGCAACCTTGTAACAAAAAAGGCAATATTATTTCAACAGAGCGATTTCACACAAAATATAAAACAATGAGAAAATAGTGAACTGCTTGAAATCTTAAACTGCTCCAATTGTGAGGCATCATGGTGAAATCAAGCACCCGTAAAAATAATGAAATCGAAGAAAACGTTATCTTTCTTTCTGTTAGGCAATTTTTATCAAATTTTTATTTTTTGGCTCAACACCTTTATGTCCATCTAAAACACATTGATGTGTAGCTTTTACTGAAAGACGCTGATTTAAGGCACAAAAAATGTAAACCTACAGTTTCCAAGGACTCTCAAGCTTTTAAAGTCACGAAACTTTGGTGGCCACTTTCTCTCTAATTTTACCTCTAAAACCACTTCTTTAAATCCGCATAATCTAGACTTCTATTGCAGACAGACGGATAATATTTTCACCGAAAGCAAGACAAATGAACAAACCTTAACTCATTCGCTACGTATTATTTTCGGCTTGTGGACAAATTTTTTTTCGGGAGGGCGAAAGAGATGATGACTAGTGGGCAGTTAAAAGGTTAAGGTCTTTGGGGCCACAAATTCAAATAAATATCAACATATTACATACCAACATTTTCAGTATGGTTTGTAGAATACATCTGTAATGTTTGTTTATGTATTTTTCAACTTTGGTTCCTGAAAGAGGCGATTATACAACACAATTTTGATTGGATGCAGATAAAATTTGAAAATAAAAAATTAATAATCTTTGGTGAAACTTAAAAAATATGTTTGCACCTAGTCAAATGATACATCAAAATAACCATAAATGAATATAGAAGAGGAAAATATTGAAAAGTTTGCAGTTATCTACATACATTCCATAATATTTGTACATTTGGATCATAACATCCGATATTGAAAAAAAATAAAAATTTATAATCTTGAAAAACGATAACAAACAGAAAAAACCCACTCGTTTCTTATATGGAATTATTCATAATTGCATTTGGAATAAACCTATACATGTCTTGAGTGGCACTTTTTGTGTAATTTCATCAAAAAGTAGTGATTTTGGGGAGAAAAAAATATTTTGACAATTTAGATCTAGACCTAGATCTAGATATAGCACTCAAAAATATTAATTTCTCAATAACAGTGCATTGGCAATGAGTCCAATCGTATCAATATTATACAAAAGAGTCCTACATTTCTTAAGTGGGCAAAATAATGATAGATATGGTTTTGTAAAATTACTAAGACTGGTGTCCGGGCTATAATTTTGGCATCTCGATAAAACAAAGTCGAATAAACTACGAAATCGCCTTTCAAAACTGAATCTAAATTTCCGATTTTCAGTGGAAATGCTTGACCCGGAAGTCAACATTATATTATGAACTTTATTTAAACCTGGATATGTGGATTGGAATAGAATCTGAGGTAAAATAAAGATCGGGTCTTGAGCCGCCGGGGGCAGCTTAGCGAACTGACGACACATTAGCCGCGCCGCCCCCCACGGCTCGGCGTAGCGAATGAGTTAAGATGATGCCAATAACTCCATATGCCTAAAAATTGATGAAAGCCTGTTTCCACTGCATTATAACACATGATTAATTTCTGATAAAACTTGGTATGCTTACCCCATGCCATGGAATTCTGGATAAATAAGACCCAAGTGGGAAAACTTTTGTGTAGCCTGAAAAGTAGAAGTAAAGTCCTCCTTGATTGGTTTGCTCATTAATAAATAATGCAAATGTCTAGGAAATATCAATGTGTCATAGTAAAAGACCAGCCTGGCCATGAAACTATGTGCCGACAATATTTCTCTTATACATAAGGATATAGGACACTCATCCTGACTTAAAAGTTAACATAAAAGGCACTCTTATTGTATGGTAAGAGGCCAAAAAAAACCTTTAAAATTTCATAGTTGAGCATATTCTGCACTAATCTGGCAAATAGGCACATTCGTGTGAGGAGCACATACCTGACATGCTATGCTGATGCCATCATCTAAGGAGAGGGGAAAGCATGTTTTGGGGAACCATTGCCTTTAATCAAAGCATAATTGGACCAGACTTCTTCCAGAATGTGGGTCATGGACAAAGAATTGAGGTCACAGCTCAGTGCTATATTGCACACGTTCTTTAGCCTCTTGTGGCACCCTTTTTCCACAGACATCCGAACAGACAGTGCTGTAAAACTCTTACTAAACTAAATGACATCCAAACTTTTTTTCTCAGCAAGACAATACAAGACCTCTTACTGCCCCTGTAACACAGCAGTTCTTGGAGCAGAACAACACCAATTGTTCGCCTCATCTGGCTCGTTCACCTGACTTAAAGGTGCCACTAAGCATGTTTGGGATGCTATCCAGAGGCAACTCAACCAGCTGCAACCACAGAAACAGACAACTTATCAATTGGCCACAGCCATCGGCCAGGTAGGTGTATAGTTCTAGAGTTAACAAATTAACACTCTTATCTATGGGTTGAACATGCAGGGCAGTTATTGCAGCCAATGGAAGTCACACACAGTACTAACTTCCTGTCCAAAGGTCAAGGTCACAGAATTAACATAGTGGCTCTAAAACTACACTATAACACCCACCTATTGACAGGATACATTTAAGTTTCAAACCTTTGTTGAGTTTAATGTGTTTTGTACATATTTCAAATGCTCGTGTTTCTTTTGCCTCAGAAAATATTACGAGAAGTCATATTTACACTTCTTTGCTTTCCCTGTGAAACATAGTACATTATTTATCCTGCAGCTTTCTTCCTAGTTTTCAGCTTTGACTGAATAAGATAAACTCTCTAGATATGCAGAATATCAATTCAAAGTAGCGGGTCAAAGAAACTGAGATAGAAAAGCAGCCTTTCAAATGTGAAGTTATAATCCATACCGCTCTCCCCATATTTTCAATCAGCTCCCTCGTCCTTCTGTCTTCAAGGTCGGTGTAGAATTTCTCAAACGAGACATTCAGATTCACAGTGACCCACAGACGTCTTGCCTCTCCAACTGTTCCGCAAAATTATCAGATATGTTACAGACATATGATCAGAACAGAGATACTAATAAAACTAATTCCCAGTGACACTGCATATTGGATTCACCAATTTAAATCTGGGCTAGCCATATTTCCTTCATGGATGGGACAAAACCGGCCATTTCACCATAATTCGATCGAATTCCATTAAATTAGATGTGTTCGTTTTACAGGGTTGCAAATCAAATCAGTTGTGCTGTGCTAAAATGGCAACTTTTGCCTCTCCAAGAAAGAAAATCTCACTGGTCCTGACTGAATCAAATGAATTCGATTTCCTATATGCACCAGGTATGAAGGATTTAAAAACAAAGCAATTTCTGTTTATATCAATATGTTAACTTTGCATGATCATTACTTTTTAGTCACTGTCATGTTTTCCTCATAAATTAAGGTGTTCATACCATGAAAAACACAACACCAACATAGAAAATTGACCTTGACATTTAATGGTCAGCAACAGAGATCACTTTCTTCCAACTGCTATATACGTTTTGTATTCTGTTTTGACATTACGATAAAAAATTACAATTCAAAAAGGACAAAAAAGTTAAAATTCAAATAGGAAGACCAAATGAAAGAAGATGATGCCAAAGAGTGGACCCAAAATTATGCAGTGGAATTATATAACAACTAGAAGTTAAGACCATTGAAAGATAGGTGTGTAGGTGGTGCCCCAATGACCTTTTATCTCTCTCTCTCTCTCTCTCTCTCTCTCTCTCTCTCTCTCTCTCTCTCTCTGTCTGTCCAATCATTAATTGGCGGTCGGTCACTTCTTCTCTTTCTGTGTCTGTCCATTTGCTAACTTGTCTCTCTGCCTAGGATTCTGTCTATCTCTTTCCCTGTCTGTCTGTCTATCTCTGTCCTTCTGACACTCCATATTCCCCTTTCACTAATTGTTCTCTTTGATAGGTTGCATTGTTATTACATGACATGATAATCTCTAAATAATCGGTACAAAGGGTATTGTACACATTACCTGAATGACGGATATCAACCGAAATTGTAGGTAAGGAAAACACTGGTTCATAAGCCACCTGAAAGAAAAGGTTTTAATTATAAATGAAAGATATAGAGAAGTTGAAAATGTAGGACAATTTACCAACAATGTCTAATGAATCTCATCTTTTTGCTTTTGTAGGATTTTGTCAGTGCTACTACAAACAGAATGTGTTATTTTAAAAGTAAAGCAATCCACCCCCCTCACCCCCTTCCCAAAACAACACATAAAGCTGGCAAGAACTGCTCTTGGAAGGATAAGGATTAAAGTCAACAAGTCAAATTTTACGTGTCTCAAGAGGGGAGGAGAGTGACAGCAATCTATGTGGAAAAGCCAGAAGAATATCAAACCAGCTGATAACTGTCACGATCAGCAAACAGACCCTTTCATGGATCCTGGAGAGGAGGGAGGAGCAGCTATGGCAATTGTGCTGCCTACAATGATGCCTATTCTACAACCCAGAAAGTTAGCAAGTAAGTAACTTTAAGCACAAGTTTGCAGGGTAAGTTTCAAAACCAACAGTTTCATGGTAGCCAGGTATCTACTTCTATTCTAAACAGAAGGGTGATCATCACCTGGTTTCCAGTATTATAAGTCATTTACTGTTAGTTGTAGGTTATTCCACCTTTGCCCACAACCGATATTGTCATTCAATATTGTAGAACCATAAAATTCCCTTTAAGTCTGCTCCTATTAAACCTATTTGCATAAAATAAACACCAAACAGAGAAGAAATGAATTATTTTCACAATGAACATAAAGTTTTATTGTATTCAAAATGGATATGTTGGGGATTTGCAGATTTTTTTATGACTTTAAACAACAGTCACAGTAAGTATACAAGAATAGAATAGAAAGACTTCAACTTTATACACTAATGAATGAACTCGATTCAGTAGGAAAGGTTTTTCCTTTCCTCCAATACTAATATACAGATCAATCTGTCGTTTGTAATCTGTTGAGATGTACTGTGCTGAAAATTTTTTTTACTTCAGTTTCCTAATCTGAGGTACCTGTTGTATGTATTCAATAAATATTTTGTCAAAAGTCAAAATTTAAATGTTGAAGAAAACATGAAAAAAAAAATAATGTAGAGGTACACTCCTGCCAAATTTTGCTCTGTTTTCAGTACATTTGAATAGCTTGCCGACTGTGTCAGTTGTCAGAGATTCGATGACTATCTGAATTGTCTGTATCAGCAATGAACAAGCTAAACCATGAGTAGCTATGCTCTTAAATTTAAAAATACAGCGACAAAAGTGCCTGTCGCTTTTTCAATTTTGACAAAATCTAAGTTTCCATGGCGAGCTCCTTTGAGAATCAAATGGAAGGCTATCTCCAGTGATAGAATATCAAATGACATAATAGAAGGTAAAGGGTTTGGACCATTATTGCGCTGAAAAATGTACAGCCTTCTCCGTGTTGCGGTGTTTTTCCCAAAATGAGCAAAAATGGAATCAGACCACTGTTAATTTCGATTTAGTTGAGTCCTAGAATTGTTTCCCAATTTGCCCTGAACCAACTTACCATTGATGGATTATAATATGCAAACTTAGGCATGTTTGCTAAAGTTTGCAAAAACACCTCCACTGCATGCTGGCTTCTTCCATCACGTAATACAACTTCTTCCCTGAAATGTGAAAATGAAATGGCAATTAGGGACAGTTCTGTGGGAGTTAACATATTACCTCATAATCAAAACAAATCAAAATATTGATCTTAAGAAACAAATTTTAAGACTAAAGTCAATATAGTCAATGTAGTCAATGTAGGCAACAATTTTTATGGTATTTGAGGATGAACTTGCATTTTCTCAGTAAGGTGAATAAGAATGTTTAAAATCAATATTTAACCTTTTTGCACTGACACAAAGTTCCCTTGTTCCAAACAGAAACATAAGACAAAAAATATTAAAGGCTGGTAAAAATGGAAAGTTTTACCTGTAAAACCAAGAAATATAGAATGTCCAAAATAAAGCAGGTTGGAAAGAGTAATAACAGGCTATACACTGTTCCAATATAAGTAAAGATAATAAAGGTTCTTGTTGATGTTTCACTGACTAAGCAATACAAATTGTGAGTGCCAAAGTCCATGAGCTCTAAGACCTGATCCCTCTCTATCAAGGAGAGATCAACCTTTACAAACATGTCTGGTAACATGCTTAATTGTGTTTTGAAAAAGTGTTAAAAAGTGTCATAAGACATGAGGAACATACGGAAATGCCTTCTCGACATTTAAAGATTGTTTACCTACTGGTGATTTTTTCATAAATCGTTTGGAAAAAAAACAACCTGCAAAAGTATTCACTGGCAGAGTTATATAGAGGAGTAGCAAGTTCATCTCTACAATTAACATATATGCACGAAGCATCCAATAAAATTATCAAAATCTTGAAAATCTCTCATACAGTTTGGTACCTCTGGTACATACTGTAGATATATGCTGTTATTCATGGAATCAAACGATATATTTTTAACACACAAAAATGTTGCATCCACAGGAGAGGCAGGTTCTTTATGGTAAAACATTACATAAAAGACAAAGGCATGACGTTTGAAAATACCACTTTTCATTTTTTTCAATATAGAGCAGTAAACACTTGAAGATATATGTGAGTCATTGCAGTGGAATTGGCTGTTAATCAAATTTTAGGGAATGGAGTTAAATCAATATTTTTTTTTTTACTGTTGGGCGATCTCTACTGAATAATAATTTTTTTTTTGCACTGAAACCTTCTCCATCCATTAAAGAGCATATTTTAAGGTGAATTCTACAGATAAATGTGGTTTACAGGCAAAAATATATTATTTTGTAGACTGCATACAAGTATTCAGTTTTACCAGCCACCAAACTTTAGTGGCCATTTGCTAATTTTACCAGTATCATCAGTTAACCCCTGCTTTCTTAAACCACATATATCTCCAATTCTAGGCAAGATAAATCAACCCTTTTTTCACCAAGTTAAAAAAAACCCCGACAGTCTTTAATTTGACAGCAATAATTCTATATGCCAAAGAATGGACCGTGGGTGGTTGGCAGGTACTCTGGTGAGGTTTGCTTCTTCTTTCCTATCAAACATCTATCATCCTTATCTCCACCTCCTTCTTTTTTATCTTTGTTACTCTCTTGTAACACCTCTTATAATCTTCTGGCGCTCATATGACCTTATGCAGCTGTGAGCGCCGTAAAACCTCCACTAAAACAAACAAAAGAATGGACCAGTGCCTGATTCAAACACACTGCGACATATCTGGGCGACAATGCAGTGGAATCAGGCGTAGTCAATCTTTGGACATACGGGGTTACTGGTATGATCTTAAAGCCTGTTCATTTGCCTTTCATTTGGTGAAAAAAAATATCCTAAAAAAAATAATTATTTTCAAAGTAAGGTTTTACGGCGCTCGGAACTGTATAAGGTCATATGAGCGCTAAAGGGTGGATGTCAACAGAGAAGTCCAAACGGGGAATCAGGCTTACTCTGCTCATCTCTCTAGCCTCAACAGCACATAGTCTGCTTCGACTATTAAGGCACCCCAAAAATAGCAGGTCACAAGAGAGTGACAAACAGGCAAAAGAAGTAGAGGAAAAACAACGATAGTAAGGATGAGGAAAGAAAAAACAGCAGTTCCCCTTATGTTGTTTCGGCACAGTATGAGCATGACATTAATAAGTCAGCCTATTAACAATTCTACTATGCATACTAACATGTAAATATCTCCTCTTTGGGAAAGGCCTAAAGACAAAAAAGACAAAAAATATCCATTTATGTTGAATTAAAGTCGAGATATTTGCAATGGAAGGAGGTCAGGGTTGCCTGGTTTCAGAGGTAAAATTGGCAAGAAAATGGCTGCCAAAATTGGGTAATTTCCATAGCTTGACAGTCCTTGGAAAATGAAAATTTACATGGTTTGTGCCTTCAATCAATGTTTTTCAGTAAAATCCACTCACAAATGTGTTTTTAATTGGATGTAAAAGGTGTTGAGCTAAAAAAAATGTTAAAAATAAAAATTACTCAACAGCCAGAAAAATGCTAATTTCTTTGATTTCATCATTTTGACGAGTGCCTGATTTCACCATGATGACTCACATAACATGTGCTTTTCTGATCCTCAGTATCAGGCAGGTTTCAATAAATTTCACTTACCATACATTGAACAAGTGAATGTTGAGTGGAACAAGTACGCGATCACCAATATCGGAACAGTAGTCATTACCCAGGACAGTTTGGATGTTGTTGCATTCTCCCTCTGGTTGGCATAGACCTCTGTAACAGGGCCACACATTAAAAAAGAAAACTTAATAGGGTATTGGTATAAAATTGCTCATAAATACAAACATATCAACATATCATCAGCCTGCTGTTAAAATGTACGGCACAGAGAAAGCAAAGTTTTTCAGGAGAGAGAAACATTTGACAAAATTGTATCAATATTATGTATTTTTCCTCTTTAAAAAAAATTAATTTGAATTTGAATTTTGCTAAAATAATTCTTGAGCAAATGCAAACTAGATCTAGAATCTATACCACAGATTAAGAAACTACAATAATAAACATTTTCAAAATTCTTTTTGCTTAGTACATAGCAACAACTGACCGATGATACAGATGTTACCTGTACCGTCATTATTAACTGACAAACTAGAGGGACATGAAGTCTACCTAAGTACATAAAGGGGGAGGGGGGGCGGGGGGGTGTCAACCATGGGACCATATTCATGGTCATTGGTCCTGTAGAGAATACACACAGAGTACATCCGTTCATGGACACCGCTGCCTATCCACCATCCTTGTATATATAATATGGAGCTTAATTAATAAAACACCACATAACAGGTTCGCACCAGGCTCGCAGTATGAATGAACATGCAACAGGATGAGGTGTCCTAATAGAAGGATGAAAGCATAAATGTTACAACAACAGTATTGTGAACTCAGTTTGCAGTTGCTTTGGCTGGAATAGTGTAGTTAGAAGAAGAGTAGATCATCTTGACCAAGCTCTAATCGATATTAGACCATCGACAGAGCTGCAAATTTTATTGAATGACAGCTGCATGCACCTAACAAGCCGTAATGTTTATTATTCTCCATGAGCCTGAAAGTAAAAAATATGTGCCTGCCACCAAAATGACGTGTTGTCAAAGTCATTTGAGATATCTATCATTGTGAATAAAATCCTGTAGACAATGACAAAAATAATTAGACTGGAAGCCAGAAAAAAAATAAGATAAGAGAAATATATATAAGACAGACTATTGAAAATTTGAGGCAAAGATTGTTCTAGAAACTTATAGCTCAGATTACAAAAACAATTGGTATAAAAATTGTAATATGTTATAACACACAGCAACCAATACGTTTCATTTTGATGAAGATATAGCTGTTAACACTGAATAAGTGATGCCATTTTTTGCAAAGAAAGTCAAGTTTGGACACACTGAACAGATTTCAAAAAAATTATTTACTGATCTGAAAGCTGAGAAAAATGTTCTATGAGTAAACTGGCAATCTGAGTAAAAAGACTGATTTCATTGAGAGATGAAAAACTCACAGTCTGTACATAATCTGCAAAAAGTTCCAACTCTTGCATGGAGTAGGAGAAAAAGGAAAAAAGGTAAAAAAAAGAGGAAGGAGAGGATGAAGAGGAAACAATTACTTCACATTTTTTTTTTCAATCCATCAGAGGCAACTTTTATCCTTCTCGTAAGTCAGTGTTATACAATTGATGCAACATTATGTCACCTTCATTATGTTCTTAAAAGCTGTATGCAATAGTTACCAAATTGTCTAAGCTCCAAAAGATAGTAGAGTTGAATAGCATGTAAATTAAAGATAACAATATTACCTTGAACCTCCGTTGAGTGTCCTGGTTACGTATTGCATCATCCCGTTGATAACTTCCTCTGGACTCACATCTGGCATCATTTTCAACATGTCGCAAGATGTCAGGGTGAGGTTCACACTTATTGAGATGTCTAGGAATGATGTGTTGTCACTGCGCACTGGAAAACCAAGAAGAACAATTAAGCCACCCTAAGGGTAATCATAATGTCTCAAAGTAAAGAAAGTGTGCACATGTTAGCAGATAACTTTTGACATCCCCCTCCCCTTCTCTTCATCGTTGTTGTGTTGTCCACATCTCCCTACTTCTCCAGTCAAAAGAGGTAATGATGTAACACCGTGAGGTTCAAACTATGCCACCCCAGCTGATTACCTTTTCTCATTTGTCCCTATATATAAACCATATCCCTGTTTTTTAATAGCTAGTACATGGATTTGATAGGATGGTGTGATGTGACACATGGGTTGGAGTGATAAATGTTTACTCGCAGCAAGGGAAAGGTAAGGTTATCATTTTATTCTCCCACAATTGTAACTGTTATTCGTTTCCATGGAATGATGACAGTTCTCTATAGTGTGTTCACATAGAGTGGAATAGATTTTTACCAGATACAGCAGAACCTATTCTAACCTTCACTTGTCCAAGAAAATCACCTGTACAAACAATCACTTACCATTTCCTACCTTGAGGTCTTAAAAAATATATATGTGTCTCGGCGCTGTGGAATCTGGCGCTTGTCAATTTTGGGGAATAAGGAGTTATCGGTATCATCTTAAAGCTTGTTCATTTGCCATGCTTTCGATTAAAAAATATCCATTTTTCTTGAATAGAAGTTGAGATATCTGTGATAGAAGGAGGTGGGGTCGCCTGATTTCAGAAGAAAAATTTTAGAGAAAAAGCCGCCTAAGTTTGGTAACTTCCAAAGCTCAAGAGTCCTAGGAAACTGCAAATTTGCATTTTTCAGGCCTTTAATCATTATTTTTTCACTAAATCCACAAATAAATGAATTTTTGAAAGGACATACAAGGTGTTAAGCCAAAAAAAAATTGAGAAAAATTTCCAAACTGGCTGAAAAAAGGAAGATTTCTTCAAGTACATTATTTTGACGAATGCCTGATTTCACTATGATGCCTTACATATTACAAAGACAAAGTCCAATATGTTCAAATGTTTAAGATAACCACTTTTCTCCCACTTTTCTCCTCAATAATGAGTAGCAAACTATGAAAATTTCAACTGTAATCTTACAATTATGCAAGTGATACTGTGGATAAATCTGATGTCAAATTTCAATTGGATCTTCCACACAACCTGACCAAGTGCTAGTATAACTATGTTTACTGACAACGTTGTCACTGTCAGTGTTCTAATCAACAATTTCTTTCAAGGTTTTTCTGTTACAAATATGGTTTAAAAAAAAATATTCTTTAATGGTATCATGACCAAGTTTTATTTGCATATATGTTGTGCTTTGGGATTGAATATTTACATTACCTATACATAAAAATCCCACACAAAACCTAGCCAGCTGCCTCTTTTTTTTCATCATTTGATCATCCCCATCAATATACTGATGTCTATCAGATGTCTGACAAATCATCTTGCTAAAAATTCTCAAAACTCAACAGTCTGCTAGGAAGAAAGTGATATTGAAATTTGAGAAGCAGAGACAGACAAAGGGACAAAGAACAATGTCCAGCTAAACAGGATGGATTTAGGAAAGGAAAAGAATCCCCATGATATATGATGCAGCTGTTTGGTACTTTGAGAAAATGGAAACAATATAGATAAAGTGAGAGAAATTTGGAGTATAAAAATTACCAGGATCGCTGTTGTCACATGCATATGACAAGTTGGTAGTATATGGGCAGAAATAACACACTTTGTCCGAGCCGTTGTTGTACTGGGGAGCCACGCACTTCTCACAACTCATACTGAGCCAAGAGAAACCTGTCCCTGCCTTGCACTTGACTGAGGGAAACACAGCATACATCAAATCAGATCTGGCAGATTTTTTGGTACAAATGCTCCCATTGCACAAACCCACACCAAAACACGTGTTGAGTTTTTGCTCACACAAATGTACACAAACACACACACATGCAACCAGAATCAATTCTATACTCAGAACACCACACAATGAGTTATTATATAACATGTCAAAAGAAAACCAAAACTAACATGTAAAGAAAGTAACAGCAAAATGAGGTTACAATGAAATATTGTTCAACACAAGGAAACCTAGCTCACCAAGTTTGAGAATCCTCAACTGTAATCAGCATGAAACCCAGATGACTTAAAAATGAATATTTTGTCATTCAATCCAACAAAAACTTTCAGAACCTCAATGGTTCAACAGGCAGAAGACTAAAGCTATGAAGTCAATGCTGCATAAATATATTTTTATTAAGACATTTGTAAATTGTTATCAAGTAGAATTTATATATATTTTTCTTTTTATCCCAGTACCAATGGAGCTATAAATATAAGAAATAATAAGCATACCAATACATTCATCAGCTGAGAGAGCCATCTCTGTGAGGGTGGTGTAGCCTTCAGGGCAAGGTACACACTGACCATCATCAGTGTATTGTTCAATGGGACAAGAGACACACTCACCAATGTCATTGTTTTGTCCAATGGGGCACAAATCTGAGGGAAAAATCCAATTAAAAAAGTGACTTCTGAAATGAAAACTTTTCATGATGCCATACAAACGAGTTAGTGGAGGAGTTAATAAATTTATTTTAATATCATGGTACAATAAAGAAGCAGGTTCAAAATTTTGGAGCAGCAGCTGCACCTCTTGGTTCCCAAGCCACCTTCCCGGTACGTCTCTCATCCACACCCACAAAAAATATATGCTTTTTTCATGGCATTGCCTCACTGCCCAGGGCTATCAACTTCTGCCGATGCAAGAATCCACTGCATGGTCAATAGACAAAAAGGACCAAAAGTCTAAAAGGTAATTTATTACTAGAATTAAACTTTCATGTAATCTTCACGCCAATGTTCTTTGTTTCTCACCCCTCCCCAATAAAAAACAAAACAAAACAAAAACAACCCAAAACAACCACCAAAAAAACAAAACAAAAAACAAAAAACGGGAGAGAAAAGCAAAACACTTTCATTATAGTACAAGAAAGTTCTTTTTACCTCTTGTGAAAAAAACCAAGAATAGTTGAAGAAGAAATTAGCACACAAAGCTAATATCTGAAATGTTTTGCCTCACTTATTCACTAAATCTCCTTTCTTTAACTCACCCCCTAGATCCAACTATCCATATAATCAAAAATCAGCATTTCAGTTATATAATCAGCAGTACCTCCTTTTCATTCCTATATATATACACTGGCTTAATCTGCTTTCATTGTGCTGTCCATCTCAGATATCCTGGCTTTGATCCCCAATGAAAACAAAGCACGGTGCAGCTTATCTGGAGCGACACTTTTTTAAATGACACCTATATAGCTGTCAGTCTTTCACCACCATTTAAAACATGGCTACCTACAAGGGAAAAGCACAAACCTCCACTACAATTCCTGAACACGGTCTTCTCTGTACAGGTGAACTCTTTCCCACAATGGCGTGGCACGCCCACACTCTCCACGACATCACACCAACTGACAGCTGAGAACAAAAGTTTTGTAGCAAGCAATGACACTTCAACAACAATAAACTAATCCACAGTTCCACCTTACACACGAGAATATTTCTATAATTACAGCAAAGAGAATGCACTCTTGAGAAGAAAGAAATCAGTCTCATGGAAGTTATCTCTATTCTCGGTAAGCAAGTTCACTGTCATTCCAGGTAGCATTACTTTTCAAACAAACAAGAGTTCCATTTGTGTTTACAACATTAGTCTGGCTGTATTCACATTAGAAGTTGATTTAAGTAGTAAGCTGCCACAACACTCACCTTGCACTCCATTCCAACGATCCTCTGCTGTCCGGAAAAGGCCAAGTCCGCCTCTGAACTGGAACTCTCCAAACTGGCCATCCCAGGAGATATGAGCCTTAAGCATTCTTACCGCTATGGCTTCTAGCACTGTCTTGTTCACAGAATTCTTAAATACGCCTGTAGAATTCACCATGATGTAGGTCTCCCCACTGTTTTCATCATAATGATCGCTGCAAATAGTCACAAAGTAAAAAGATGCAAAAAAGAAAACAGCAGTTTTGATTACAGTATTTATGCTATGACAGGTGACTCACAAAAATAAGAAATTGCAAACTTGAAAGTACATTGGTCTCCACATAACAGCCCATGGCTAATCACTTATGCTAGGAGCAAAATCTTGGCCAAATTCCACGTCATGGAAACTAAAATGGGGTACTGTATGTACTCAATTCAAAGACGTTGAACCTTTGAGTGCAAAGAACACAGCTTGTTAACCTGACTTATGATTCAAAGACATTACTATTCTGTTGTCTGTTCACCAAAATCAAATGTGTTGTATATACCTGAAATATTCTCCTTAAAGGAACCAAAACTTACCTGATCTGATCTAGTTTTCCATAAAGATAGCCCAAATCTCCAAATTCTTCTGCAGCCTGTAAGAAAGAACAATGCAATTATTTAACAGACCAGTTGTGTTAATTATCTGGGCTTCAAATCACATCACCTCGAAGAAGCTTCGGGTCCCTTGAGACATCCTTCCTCCACACCCACCAATCCGCCCAGGCTTTTTACAATCCCACTGCCCTATTATGCTTTCTCAAAATGAAAATTTAGACTTTGCCCATTCTATTTCCAAACGAAAGTGTCACCTAGCACTTCACTCAATCCTCAGATAACTCATTTTCTCTCCTAAACCACAGGTTAGCACATTCTTATATTTGATCAATCCAAAGTTTCACCTACCAGCTCGCCCATTCTTTCTCCAAGTTTGAAGGCACTGTCACTCCACTGATACCGGATATCACTGAAAGGTTTGTCAAGGACCACGCTGAAGAACACCAGCCGCGCCTCGTAGTCTGTCACCAGAAATCAGGGATACATCATTAGGCACTTCTATACCTCTACATTCAAGACTGTTTTCTTTTAGGAGAACCCACAATTCAACATTGAGATATTTTGTCTTTTTTTAGTCTAAACTCTTAACATCTATTAAGACACACACTAATGTATATCCAGTAACACTGGCTATGTTTACAGGATAACTTGCTAAGGGAAAACATTTTGCACAAAAACTATTTTCATTTTTACTTCAAATTTCCTGGTGTCCACTTCACCTCATGAGCCAAGGGCATACCCCAGGAAAGTTTGCATACAGTGGGTGCTGTTAATCCTCACAGCAAGAACATTCACAAACCTGTACTCTGAACACCATCATTATATTCTACAGGACCAATTCAAGATGACCAACACTCCTGACTACAGTTAAAGGAATTCAACCGTAAAGACAAAGCAATGAACACTTAATTCTAGCAACTCATACTGATTTCATAATTCCCATCATACTGCTGACCACTATAGTAGAAAAGTCAATAGGCAAAATACTTCATGAACTTCTAGAAGCAAAACTTAACATTACTTTTTCTGCCAGCTAGTCCAATGTCAACAGTCATCAAAAACTTACCAACAAATTTCACCTCAGGTTTGATGGGAAATTCAAAATGCACGTCAAATCCGTCCTGTGTATAGGGGGAGAAAATCAGAAACATTACATCCATGAAGATTTTAAAAGGTAAACAACCCTTCCATGTTATACAATACACATCCATACAGTACAATGTAAATAAAGGACCCTTTATATAATATTATCCTTTTTCCATCTTTCCTCTACAAGAAACTAACATATGTATTCTCCATCTGACAGGCCACATTACACCCAATATTTCAAACATCCAATCATGTCTTTAAAGAAACATTCCCCCTAACAATCATAATACTTTTGTCAATGAAAAAGCTACAATCTTTCACACTGACCTTAACATTTCCAATGCTCACAGAAAACTTAGTCATATCCTATAGTTTCTATGTGAGAACACAAATGGCAGATGCACATCTCTGCTATTTTACTTACATATTCTGGACCAGAGTAGGCAATTTTGTAGAGTGGGGTCAGGTCATAAAAGTGTTCCAGAAGGACATCAACACTGCTACGGTTATGTCTTGATGCTGTCAGCAACTGTGCCAGCTCCCTGCCAGAAAAAACCCACACTATTAACTCTCTGCATACTAATTCACAAAAATGTTTGTCCTGTTGCAATACCACTTCCTAACAACAAGGACAGAATTATTGGTAGTCAGCACAATCACCTAATAGTAATAGGAAAATATACTTTCAAAACAAAATCACATCACAGAAAGAGGAAAACCAATTTAAAAAATAACATATACTACCACATATAAACAGAAAAGTTTTGGTTTACAGCAGTCATCTCATAGAAAACAAGAAACTGTCAATTGACACTAAAACCGGCACAAGGTTCACTTCTCACCAGGCATTGTAGACTTGTACACTGACTTTGCTCAGGAAACGGTCACAGGGGGTAGTCCCTCCACAGTCTGGGACACACACTTCCTTCTCATTCAGAGGGCCAGAGAGAATGTTCACACACTCTGGCTCACACAGACCACTGTGGGGAATCACATTGTACAAATGACTTACTTAGTAGGGACGGACACAAAAAAACCCACTTGCAAAGACACATTTTAAAATGCTACTCTTCTACTTCCAATAAACAAGTCTTCTTTGCACCTTGTCCTCTTACTGATTCAAAATTCAAATGTAAGGAATAAAAACGTTCCTAACTGTAGCAAATATTGAAAAGTGTTAATCATATACTGGACTTCTATCACAAAAAGCTGTCAGATTTGGAAACTTCATCTCATTCCAAGAAATTAGGGCTAGTAAGAAAATGCATTAATTCTGTAATCATACCAGCTTTTGTGTGCAATCAGAAACAATACAAGAAAATGTAAGATGTCGCGCACACCTACTTCAAACACACTACACCAACTTGCCAAAAACAGAACAAGACCAGAAAAATTACTTCTCTTAATTAAATAAATCTGGAAACTCACAGGTACACAGTTCTTGACAAATCCTGTGCTGTATAAAATCTTGCAGAGATCAGTCCTCTGGCCATGTCTTTGAGCCCACGAGTGACATTGGCTTTGCTGAAGTCTGTGTTTTCTGCATCACATCTGTTGGTCACAACTGTTACTGTCATGTGGATGTCCATCCTGCGATTCTCAACAGGTAGCGCTGTCAGAGCAAGGAAACCATTCAGCCATCAAGTAGTTCATCCAAAATTTTCATCATCATCATCCCCACATACAACCTAATTAATTGTCAAAAGCAGATTTTAGAATCAAATAAAACCACTCTCCTTCATCAGGCACAAGGTTCAATGCTGATCAGTAATTGTATTGTACTATTGAAGTAAGAGGAAGAAATAAAGCCAGCTATGCACTAGCACTATGGGGAGGAATGCTATCTATGCAATCCCAAAGACAGGAACACAGGTTCTACACAACTGTCATGGCTACTTTGTCTATTTCTCAGTCTCAGGAAACATTCACTGCCTTGGAACTTACTGGAGTTGACAAAGCACACAGGAGGATCAGAGTCTGGGTAGAAACCATCTGGGCAGTCTTGACACTCTAAAGTTTCCAGACTCAACACCTGGCCTGATGAACAGTTGCCTGAAGACACAAGACATGAAAACAATCAGAACTTATCTATGCCTCTTCTTCCTAACAGCACGTATGATTCCATCCAGTCCTGCACAGCAAAAAATAACATGTCTTTCTGGTTTTCTAAGTCAGGAGCAATTTAACATTTGTGATGCATTGTGTTGCAATTAAGCCCTCCTCAAAATAATGAAATCGAAAATACCGGCATTGTTCCGCCTGTTTGGCAATTCATTTGAATTTTTGTTAGTTTTGGCTTAACACCTTTCATGTGTATTTCAAAACACATTTCAGTGTGGGTTTAACCGAAAGACAGTGATTAACTCTTTCCGGACGTATCGCCGATATATCGGAGCGAGTTCACATCCCTTGCGGACATATCGCCGATATATCGGCTGTGATAGGTGCCTCAGTATTGTTTCGTTTTAACATGATCCATCATTCATAATTACTTTTTATTGTTATTGAAAACTTGGAAAGGATTTTGGAAACGAAAACATCTAGTTTCACTTTGTCAAAGTGTGGGTTGGGGGAAAAACGAGTGAATTAGTTCTTGCGGTCTTGCATCAACAAAACGATGTAATCAGACTCAGTATAAATATCATAACTTAAACAAAAATTGGAATATTGCTTTCAAATAAAAAGCTGTGCATACAGAAATGTATGGATTATGCTCTTGGCCTGTATATGATATGATAGCTATGCTGATTTGCTTTCACATGCTAGGTGAACATAATTGTTTCAGTCAAAATTTATTTTTCTCATCACCATCGCTATTTGTAACACTTGTAATGCAAACTTATGTTCAAAATTAACCCTTGTTTCAGGTTGGAATGTATTCCTCATTCAATTTCCTTCAATTTGATATATCATACGTTACGTTTTGAGTGATGGTTTTTACTCATATAAAGTTATTTTGTACATCACCTGTGTAGCCAATCGAGCTATAAGTTATTTACGTCTAGACCCCCCAGAAAACTACGCCCGGAAAGAATTAGAGGCACAAAAATGTAACTTTTCAATTCCAAAGACTCTAAAACTAAGGAAGTCACCAAACTTTGGCGGTCATTTTCTCCTTAATATTACCTCAGAACCCAGATTATCCCCACCTCACTTAATCCAAAGTATCTCGTCTTCTATTAAAGACAAATAGGAAAAACTTTTCCAACAAAAAAGAAGACAAATGAACAAGTTCTAAGATGATACCAATAACTCCATATGACTAAAAATTTAAGAGCGATTGATTCCATCACATCGTGACACATTTGCACTATTTTCCTTTGTTGCAAGGCAAAAACAGAACTGTTAGACAAGAGCACTTAGAAGCATAAGTAGAGGTATATGTATTTAGAAGCTGAGTCTGAATCTAGCAGAACTTTCCACTTCAACAAACAAACCACAAGAGTAGGGCCTACACGGAAAATTACTCACTGACACACATGTGTTGAGATATTGCTTCTGGTACCAGTGTCGTGGTTCCGTTAGGACACATCTCACAGCCTGCGTCCCTCTCACGGAACTCTCCATAGTCACATGGGACTGAGGAAACAGGCATTCAGCAAAGTCATGGCTTTCATCAACAATTATTGCACATCTACACACATTTTCATGTTTTTTTGGGGACCCTCTTTTAACATCGTCACTTTACTTTTAACAATAAAGGAGATTGGGGGATGGGGGGTTGGAAAAGCCATTGTTTTGTAAATAATAGGGTACAAATTGACTTCTTTCATCTAAAAGATTAAGGGACATGAAAACAATTTCTGTTCAATTATTTCTTTATCAAATATCCCAGGTATTATGATAAAAAGATAAAGTGAAATGGAGAATATGAGAAGTACATGTAAAAATTAATAAAAGAAGGAAGAAAGGCATAATTCAAGTAGGGAAGCATAAAATGGACACAGACATACTGAAGGCACTTTTCAGACAGCTACACTTTGTAGAAATATGCTGAGATGAATCCATGTATAAATGCATTAATGAATTAAAGATGAAATGAGTGATCAAGTTTACCCTTTTCTCTTACCTTCACATATGGGAAGAGAGTTAGTTGCCACACACCTGGAACCTTCTGGACATTCAAAACCCATGTAGCAAATACTGTGTAGTTCTGGAATGGAAAGGTAGTTGACAATTACTCTGCACTATATGCATTGTCAACTTTTTCATTTGCTACTCACACAGTTATCTTCAAGGATGAGCCTGGAAATCCCAGACAAATCACAAATTCATCATTGTAATTTCTAAATCCCAAGGATGACTTCTCTTTGTCTTTAACGTGTCAAAACTGTCATGGTTGTCTAATGGACAATACAACTGCCCGTCTAGCACGGAAACATGCCTTGCCTGTCAAAACCACTTGCTCTGTGGGTTGAAGAAACACAGTAGGACAGAATCTCAATTTCAGTCTACCCAAAAGTCTTGTTTTAGTCCATTTTTATAATTTTTGGCTTCAATGTAGTTTTGATTTATACCATAGCTATGTTCTTAACAAGCCCATTTCATTTCAGTCTCATCAGAAAACTATGTCCACAAACTTACTCAATGCTCCCTGGTCCATCACGGCATCGTTTTCATCTTCATACATCTTCAAAGACACAACCGAGTATGCTGTGTCATCCACTGAGATAGAACCTGGCTGCTCCAGAAACAACCTGTAGATGTATCCCTCTAGCAGATACTGCACCCAGTCAGCGTCTGTATCCACCCGAATGATGACTACAGTGCTCCCTGGTCTGTAGGAGGCCAATCACAAACATAGTGTAAGTCAAACTCACAAGTTTCAAAATCAATATTTGGAAAACACGAACAAAACACAAGCAGCCTTTTTTATCTACTCTTATTCATTTTCACAAACGTCAAACAGCAACATATAAACCCAGCACACCTGCACACCTTCACCCATCACCTTGATATTACCTTGCCCAATTTCTTCTTCTGCCCAAGAATTATCAAGAAAAAAAACTAACTATACAGGAAATCATTGTTACAGGAAAGGAACAAACCAGTTTATTTAGCAAAGTTACACAACCTGGATCGATAACAACAACAGCAAAGTTACACAACAAATCAAAGTCCGCTATAGAATCTCAGTGGATGTGCCATGTATCTTATGAGTCTCCCAGTATCCTCTCTTTTCTCAACCAGTCTCTCATCTCCAGCTCCAACCTCCTCCGTGCATTTTTCTTGCTCCCTGTTTTTTCACAGAACCCTCTGACAATCAGGCTTCTCTTTACCAGATTTACATTGAACACACAAAAGTAAGGCACAGTCATCTGGATTAATCTTTTTTCCCAGACTTACAGCACATGGACGACCGCAACGTGGTACTCCGAGTTCAAAGATTCAAGAAGCTCCGAAACGTTGGCTCTCACAGCCACCTCCACAGCCCAGCTGTCACTGGCATCAAAGTCTTTGTCTATCTCAAACCTCAGGAACACTGTGAAACAAAGGTTGAAAACACCAGTCATGTCATGTTATCTACCAGCAACAAGAAACTATGGCGTCAGACTCACACCCTTTGTCATTTTCCTTTTTTTGTCATTAATTGTAATTTAAAATTAACAAAAGAAGAAGATTATTAGCCTTTTTGCATCTCAAAAGATTTTGAACATCTTGAGTAATGCTGTTCACAGAATAAACAAAATGTCGTCACATGAAGATATCCTGATTTTATTTTGTCTTTCAATTATAGCACAGACACACAACAGATAAAAACAAACAAGTTTGCAACATCAGGGCCCAATACTCACCTGAGGTTTTCCAAGCTATGAAAAAGAGAAAAAACAAAACATACTTCATTGAAGTAGATAAGATACATCTTTATTGTCTAGATCCTGGCACATTGGTTTGGTGTTTCACCACGTACACATACACATACATCTAGGCGATCATAAAACAGGCAGCACATGCAGCCCAAGACCTACACACCTTGCTTGTGGGCTGGCACACCGGCCGCTCAAGCTTCGACCCTGGCACACCGGCCACTCAGGCTTCGGCCCACAGCAAGCAGTGACCTTTGTAATGATAATAATGATTACAATGACCACGGCTAGGCGGTCTCTCTCTCTCTCTCTCTCTCTCTCTCTCTCTCTCTCTCTCTCTCTCTCTCTCTCAATGGTTTAGCTTCCTGTGTTTGGGTTCAAACAAACGGAAAAGTAAAAAATTATTCTTGACAGACAAAAACGATGGAAAGACAGAAAGTTGACTGAGTTGAGTTAGAGATTTACGGCACTTTAAAAACAATGAGGTCATTTCAGCGCAAGAAGGAAATTGATTCACAAGAGAATGAAGAAAGGAGTACAAAAGAACGACAGCAGAGTCAGAAAGAATGAGCAAACCATTTAGGAAAATGGATGGAAGGACGGTAGGAACGAGCTTACTTCCACGACGAACCAAAGGCACATGCTGAGGGAAATGGAGGGCACACACTGATATGTTTTTTTATTTTGACACCTTTTCATAGGATAAAATGTTTGGTTAGCTAGCAATCCATGCCCGACATTCTGTTTCATCCGAAGGAAATCCATACAAGGTCACTTTTTCTGCACCTTTCTGACTGTCATAGCCAGTTTTGCATCCACCAATTCAGCATTTTCTTCCCATTGTTGCTCTTATTCCTTCAGTAAATTTTGAAAGTGTCAGTCACAGTCCAACAGAGTCATAACCACACATGATGAAAGCAATAAATAGGCCTAGAAGAGAAGCATGTAAGCGCAGTGAAAGAACAGCAGATATTAATATAATATACAATGCAGGTCGGGAAAAACTCAAAGGAGCTCCCTCATAATTATGATCCGTATACTTTTCCCTAACAAGGGTGGGCCCCTAGACGCTCAGAGACTAGATATAGATTTATATCTACATGGTCCTTTTAGCTTATTTTTTGTGTTACAAACTAATCTAGATCTAAATGTAGATCTAGGGTTAGGATGGAGAGTTAGTTTTTAGTGGTTATTTGCATAGACAGGCTCTAAGTCAGTGAAGAGTGTGCGGATCAGGAGAGGGGCCTCTACTGTGTAGACATGGATTTTAGACAGATCTGAATTTAATTTGCACAGTCAAAACTTCACTGTAGGTTTAATCTAAACACGTACACTGATGGAAGAGATATTTGATATTCACACAATCCAGATGATTTGAAAAAAAAAACTGCACTAGGCCTCAACTAAAAGAATCCAGGCATTCAGTACCATGGCGAAGAAGAACGACTGAAAATGAACAGTAGGCCTGCAGTACAGCCAAACAACACTTCAAATTTGCGATCTCAAAACTGTTGGTCAATCTTAATTAATTAATTAGTCATCACTTCTGTTCCTCAACACACAAAATGATGTAGAAAATATTCACATAATCCAGATGACTTGAAAAGCAAACTGCATTAGGCAGAAATAATCCAATGTCAAAGCATGAGCAAACAGCAATTCAAACTGCCCGCCGCACGCTGCGTAGGCTTATCACTAACTAAGAATCTACTAGGTAGTGGGCCTACTACACGGGTGTGCCAGCCCACAAGGAATCTAGGTCAGTCGCGTGCAGGTGGCCTGTTTTTATGACTGCCTAGACGTACACGCACAAACACACACACACACCCATACACATCCACACACACACATACAAACATGCACACACATGCAGTATGCTTACACTCACAAATTGGCTAACAGTCAATTGCATAACATAAATGAACAGTAATATAAACAATAATAATGTTAAGCTAGTTACATACTCAGTATTCTGATTGTAACTCAATGGTATTCTGATGAATGCTCTAAGGTCAAATAAATACTTATAAAAAGATGATTATGACAGAAGAGGTTTGATGGATGATGGTAAGAATGACTTTCTGTATCTTTCTTTGTTGGAATATTATAGATGAAAGCTCTCTTACCTCTCATGCACAAATAAGATTAATCCTTTAAAAAACGAGCACATGGAGTCAAGATTTGAACATTTTTCACTCTCTCACTCACAGAATCCAACCACCTATATAATGTAATCTGTGTGGATAGAACTGTCAAACATTTACCACCAGTCATACAAAGCCCATAATAGCCTGGTAACCTCTTTATGAACTTAACTTACTCCAGCGTTGTATTTGTACTATGGTACTATTTCCATGTGTCTTCCTAACACAGCCGGCTGGTTGCTTCTACCAATTTGTATTTTCTCCAATCTTTGTGCATCCTACATGGTCTTTTCGTTTTATTCCCAACTCTTCTCACATAGAGGCTACTAGTAAGTACAAACATTACTATATACCAAAACAAAAACATGACGTTTAACTCTTTACCTACAAAGAGGGTATAAACCCACTATGCCAGAGCCCTTTTTTGGTACTAAATCTAAAAATGACAAAAACGTCACTACACTGGTTATTAAATCAAAACAACTGAACCTTTTTTGATAGTTCTTCATCTAATGAATGAAATCTTGATTAAAAAAACCTGTTTTTGGAAACTGACGAAAAGTAATTTGATGTCGAAGTTGGCACAAAGGAAGGTGCCTGAGAGTTATAAAGTGAAAACTGTTTTTGCCTCTCCTGAAAAATTTGCTTCGCTACCTGCGCAGGACCATTCGTCGTTTTCCCTTACGGCGGCAGCGCTGTCAGTGGCTCACCGGCTCAGCTGTTCTGATCACGAGCGCTGAGAGTGGCTTGCCAGAGATAAAGAGTTAAGGAACATTGCTTCAATGGAAATAATTATTATAATCAGAAGTATCTGCTTTCCATCCTTACATACCCTGGCTGAGTCTACGTTCATTGCACTGCCAATGTTACACGTCCTGGCTTTGATCTCCAATGAAAACAAAACATGGTACAGGTAAGCTGGAGGGACATTTTTCTAAATGACACTTTTTGCTGTCAGTCTTTCACCACCATTTACAACATGGCTACCTACGAGGGAAAAGTACAAACCTCCACTACAATTCCTGAACACGGTCTTCTCTGTACAGGTGAACTCTTTCCCACAATGACGTGGCACACCCACACTTTCCACGACATCACACCAACTGACCGCTGAGAACAAAAACATTGTCACAAGCATTGTCACTTCATCAAAATTGAGCTGTTCTACCTCATACACAAGAATATTTTAATAGTTACATCTAGAGAGACTGGACTCTAGAGAAAAAAGAAATCAGTTACATGGAATTTATCCCTTTTCTTGGTAAGCTGGTTTACTGTCATTCAAGGTAACATTACTCTTCAAACAAACAAGTGCGCCATTAATGTCTACAACAACAGCCTGGCTGCGTTCACATAAGAGGTTGATTTGAGTAGTAAGCTGCAACAAAACTCACCTTGTACTCCATTCCAGCGATCCTCTGCTGTCTGGAAAAGGCCAAGTCTGCCTCTGAACTGGAACTCTCCAAATTGGCCATTCCAGGAGATATGAGCCTTAAGCATTCTTACCGCTATGGCTTCTAGCACTGTCTTGTTCACAGAATTCTTAAATACGCCTGTAGAATTCACCATGATGTAGGTCCCCGTACTGTTTTCATCATAATGATAGCTGCAAATAGTCACAAAGTAAAAAGTTGGAAACAAGAACGCCTCAGTTTCAATTACAGAACTTATGATATGACACACGACTCACAAATACAAGAAAAAGTAAATTTGAAAGTACAGTGGTCTCCAAATAACAGCCCACTGCTGAACACTATGCTAGAAGCAACATCGTAGCTAAATTCCACATCATGAAAACTCAAATAGCGTATGGCTTGTACTCAATTCTAAGTAGTTGAATGTTTGAGTTTTAAAAACACAGCCTTATAACTTTTCTTATGATTCAAAAGCATCGCTACTGTGCTGCCTGTTCAACCAAAATCAAGGGTATTGTACACCATGGAAACAATCTCTACAAGAGAATCAAAACTTACCTGATCTGATCTAGTTTTCCATAAAGATAGCCCAAATCTCCAAATACTTCTGCAGCCTGTAACAAAGAACAATGTAATTATTTAACAGACCAGTTGCGTTTTTTTCTGGGATTCAAATCACATCACCTTGAAGAAGCTTTGTCCCCTAAGACCACACATCCTTCTTCCACACCCACCAGTCCGCCCACGCTTTTTACAATCCCACTGCCCTGACACGCTTTCTCAAAATGAAAACTTAAACCTTGCTCATTCTATTTCCTCACCTAACACTTCACTCAATCCTTCTTGGATCACTCATTTTTTTCTCCACTACTACAGATTAGCACATTCTTTGATCAATCCAAAGTTTCACCTACCAGCTCGCCCATTCTTTCTCCCAGTTTGATGGCACTGTCACTCCACTGATACCGGATATCACTGAAAGGTTTGTCAAGGACCACGCTGAAGAACACCAGCCGCGCCTCGTAGTCTGTTACCAGAAGTCAGGGATACATCATTAGGCACTTCTATACCTCTATATATTCAAGACTAATTTCTTTTTAAATGTTCACACAATTCAACAATGAGATATTTCATCTTTTTTTAGTCTAAACTCTTAACATCTATTAAGACACGCACTAAATTATATCCAGCAACACTGGCTACGTTTACAGGACAACTTGCTAAGAGAAAACATTTTCCACCAAAACTATTCTCATTTCTACTTCAAATTTCCTGATGTCCCTCCAGCTAATGAGCACAAGGGATACCCCTTGAAAGGTTGCAAACAGTGGGTGCTGTTTATCCTCACTGCAAGAACATGCACAAATTATATGTATTCTGAACACCATCAATATTTTCTAAAGGACCAATTTAAGATCACCAACACTCCTGACTACTGTAAAAGGAATTCAGCCTGAAAGACAAAACAATACACACTTTCTTTCTACTCATAATGATTCTATCATTCCCATAATACTGCAGACCACTTTTAGCAAAAAAGTCAACGAGTCAAACACTTCATCAACCACAAGAAGAAAAGCTTAACATTTCTTTCTTCTGCCAGCTAGTCCAATGTCAACAGTCATCAAAAACTTACCAACAAATGTCACCTCAGGTTTGATGGGAAATTCAAAATGAATGTCAAATCCGTCCTGTGTACAGGGAGAGAAAAACAGAAACATTATATCCATGAAGATTTTAAAAGGTAAACAACCCTTCCATGTTATACAATACACATCCATACAGTGCAATGTATAAATAACAGATCTTTCATATAATATTATCCTTTTTCCTCATTTTCCTAACAAGAAACTCACACTAGTTTTCCATTCGACAGGCCACATTACACCTAATATTTTAAAAATGTATCCATGTCTTAAAAGAAACATTCGCCCAACAATCACAATACTTTTGTCAATGAAAAAGCTACAGTTCTCATAATGCCAAACTATGTCCATCTGGCATCAATTTCACACTGACCTTAACTCATTCGCTACATATTATTTTCGGCTTGTGGACGATTTTTTTCCAGGAGGAGAAATGAGATGATGACTAGTGCGCTGTTCAAATGTCTTTGGGGCCACAAATTCAAATAAATATTAACATATTATGCACCGAAATTTTCTGTATGATTTGTAGAATACATCTGTAATGTTTATTTGTGTATTTTTCAACTTTGGTTCCTGTAGGAGGTGATAATGCAACACAATTTTTTTCAATGCGGATAAAATTTGAAAAAAAAAAATTAATCGTCTTCAGTGAATCTAAAAAAAATGTTTGCACATAGTCAAATGATACATCAAAATAACCATAAATGAATATATAGAACTGGAAAATATTGAAAAATTTGCAGTTATTTATATACATTCCATAACATTTGCACATTTGGATCATATGACATCCGATATTGAAAAAAAAAAAAATAAATTATAATCTTGAAAAATTGACAAGATGCATTCACAAACAGAAAAAACCACTCGTATTGTGTACAGAATTATTCAGAATTGTATTTTAAATAAACCTACACATGTCTTGAGGGGCACTTTTGTGTAATTTCACAAAAAATAGTGATTTTTTAGAGAAAAAAATAATTTAACAATTTAGATCTAGATATTCACTGAAAAGTATTGATTTCTCAATAACAGAGCAATGGTAATTTGAGCCCATGTATCAATATTCTAAAGAAGAGTCCTACATTTCTTTAGCATGCAAAATAATGATATATTTTGTTAATGTAACAGTAGTAAGACTGGTGTCTAAGCTATAATTTGAGCATTGCGATAAAACAAAGTCGCATAAACTTCGAGATCGCGTTTCAAAACTGAATCAAAACTTCCAATTTTCAGTAGAAACGCTTGACCCGGAAGTCAACATTATATTACGATCTTTATTTTAACATGGATAGGTGGATTGGAATAGAATCTAAACTAAAATTGAAGATCGGTTCTCGAGCCGCCGGGGGCGGCTTAGCATACTGACGGCACTTTAGCCGCGCCGTCCCCAACGGCTCGGCATAGCGAATGAGTTAACATTTCCAATGCTCACAGAAAACTTAAAGTCATATCCTATAGTTTGTATGTGAGAACACAAACGGCAGATGCACATCTCTGCTATTTTACTTACATATTCTGGACCAGAGTAGGCAATTTTGTAGAGTGGAGTCAGGTCATAAAAGTGTTCCAGAAGGACATCAATGCTGCTACGGTTATGTCTTGATGCTGTCAGCGACTGTGCCAGCTCCCTGACGGAAAAAAAACACACAATTTACTCTGTGCATACTAATTCACAAAAATATCAGTCCCGTTGTAATACCACTTACTAACAAGAAGGACAGAATTATCGGTAGACAGCAAAACTACCTCAAAGTAATATGACATATACTTTCAATTCAGAATCAAATCATAAGAAGAGGACAATTTTTTTCCAAAACAAAACCACAATACGGAAACAGAAAGGGTCTTTGTTTCCAGCATTCAACTCATAGAAAACAAGAAAATGTTAGTTGACGCTAAAAAACTCTCATATAAACAATAAAATTTCAATTAACTAAAAAAACCCACCTCATAATAGCAAGAAAATGTCAATGGACACTCAAGTGCCACTTAAAGAACAAGAAAATGTCAGTTGATACTAAAACTGATATATAGTACAAAGACAAGGTCTTTTTCTACCCAGTCACTTGAGAGCTGCAAGACCAAAGGTTCACTTCTCACCAGGCATTGTAGACTTGTACACTGACTTTGCTCAGGAAACGGTCACAGGGGGTAGTCCCTCCACAGTCTGGGACACACACTTCCTTCTCATTCAGAGGGCCAGAGAGAATGTTCACACACTCTGGCTCACACAGACCACTGTGGGGAATCATATTGTACAAATGACTTACTTAGTAAGGACACCAAAAAAGAAAACCGCTTGAAAAGACACTTCTTACCTTGTTACTCTTCTTCCTCCAATAACCAAATTTTCTTTGCACCTTGTCCTCTTAAGATTTCAAATTCAAATGTGAGGAATACAAATGTTCCCAGCTGTAGCAAAAACTACTAAGTGTCATTTACACTGATATTTTCAAAATGTCTTTGAAAGAACGAATAATACCATTCTTGTGGAAAATTCTGTGAAATAATTCCTGTCCCAAAGAACAATTAATACAAAACTTAATTGACCTAAAACCTGTGACTTTAACATCAGTCCTTATGAAATGTTCAGAAAAACTGGTTTTGAAAGAACTGAGGAAATCATCAGAAGACATACAAGATAACATGCAATTTGCCTATCGTGCCAAGAGGGGCGTAGAGGATGCCATTCTCGTGTTCTTAGATAACATCTACAAACTCATAAACACACCAAGAAATTACTGCTCCATCTAACTTCTGAAAGGCCTAACATATATTTAGATCCATTTCCTGCTCTATATGATCTAATTTGCCGTCTGGTACATTTTTCTCACATTCCAGGTGGCTATGTTAAGCTGTCTATTTTTGCAGCCAGTAGCTGGATGACGACTCTTGTGCATAAAAAAGTAGATCAAAGAATATTCCTTTTAAGGAAATTAAGAAGTTTTCGTTTCAATAAAAAGATTATATGTCCCTTTTATGCCATTCTATGATTGAAAGCGTGCTATTATTTTGTATTTGCTGCACGCCTGGGAATTGCAGGGTGAAAGATAAAGAAAAGTTCAACAGAACTATTAAGAAAGCCAGCAAGATTTCTGGATATGATTTTACTAGATACGATGAAATGTATAACACCAGAAGTATAAAAAAGATAAAGCATTATAAACGAGCCATCACATTCCCTTTCCATGCAAATTGCAAAATCACGCAGCAGCAGATATGTACCTCTAAAAACAAAGAAAGAAAAATATAAAAGAAGCTTTTTTACCATAAGGCTATTGTCAGAAAAAGCATCAATGTGTATTGCTCTTCCGAGTATGTATTGATGTTCTGCGCAATTTACCCATCAGCTTAAGATTGCGCTGCATATTTTCTCTCTCTTGCCCTTTTTTAAAACTCCCAGTGGAGCACAGGCCATCAACAACATTACTCCAGCGAAGCCTGTCCTGAGCATCCTTTTCTATCTGTTTCCATGATGTCCCCGCTTTTTCAATTTCCGCTTGTACCGCTCGCCTCCATGTCATCTTTGGTCTTCCCTTCTTACGCTTTCCTTGTGGGTTCCACGTTAAAGCCTGCCTGATGATGCTTGTCGGGGGTCTCCTCAGGGTGTGTCCAATCCATTTCCATTTTTTCACATGAATATCTTCCTTTACTGGCCTTTGGCTTGCTCTCTCCCACAGTTGAGCATTCGTGGTGAGCCTCCATGTCTCTGAACCATACAGTAGGACAGTCTTCACGTTTGTTTTGAAGATCCTCAGTTTGGTGTTCAATCCCAGTTCCTTAGACATCCATATATTCCTGAGAATGATGAATGCTGCTCTTGCCTTTTGGATTCTGACCTTGATGTCTTCGTCTGCTCCCCCTGCCTTGTTGATGACACTTCCCAGGTAGGTGAAGGATTCAACATCCGCCAATGGTGCCCCTTGCAGTGTGATAGGAACGTCGGCTGCATTCATTCGTAGAACTTTCGTTTTATCTGTATGAATATGGAGTCCAACACTATGGGAGAAGGTCCTGAGGCGATCTGTTTTCTGTTGCATCTGGGCTCGACTGTAGGTCCACTGTATGCCACCGCATTGTCCCGATGTTGTCTGTCTCATTATCCAATCCACTGCTAATAGAAAGAGAAAAGGTGATAGCAGGCATCCCTGTCTCACTCCTGTATTCACTTCAAACGAGTCTGTTCGCTGCCCTCCAAGTAAGACACTGCAACTCATTCCCTCATACATCTTCTTGATCAATCTCACGAACTTGTCAGGTATTCTGTAGTGGTGCATAAGCTTCCATATTGAGTCCCTATCTAGGCTATCAAAAGCTTTCTCATAGTCAACAAAGTTAACGTACAGGGAAGAGTTCCACTCGGTGGACTGTTCCACTATTATCCTCAAAGTTGCAATCTGATCTGTACATGATCTCTTTTTACGAAATCCTGCCTGCTCCTCTCTTAGTTTTGCATCCACAGCTTCTTTCAGTCTTTCCAGTATGGTACGACTTAAAATTTTCTCAGGAATGGACAGGAGCATGATTCCTCTGTAGTTTTTACACTCATGCAGGTCTCCTTTCTTGGGTAGTTTCACGAGCAATCCCTCTCTCCAATCCTGTGGAAATTTTTCGCTGTCCCATATCTTGCCAATAATTCCATGAAGAAACCCTGTCGCAGTGCCGATATCCACCTTGAGAACTTCTGGGGGAATTCCATCTGGGCCGGCTGCCTTGCCTGCTTTCTGGTGTCTTATCGCCTCTTTGATCTCCTCTAAACTAGGCTTTTCTTCACTTACCCCCAGATCAATCTCTGCTGGTGGAATGTCAAAACTGTTTTTCTGGCATGCTCCTTCCAGCGTTCTTTCTGTTCGTTTGGATTTGTGAGAAGCTTTCCCTCTTTATCCTTCACTGGCACATCTGCATTCTTGTATCTGCCCACAAGTTTCTTGGTGGTTTCATACAGTCCTCTCATGTTTCTTGCCCCTGCAGCTTCCTCTGCCTCGTGCGCTAGGTCATCTACATAGTTTCTTTTGTCTTTCCGTAGGCGGACTTTTACCTCCTTCATTGCTCTGGTGTATTCTTCTTGGGCCTTTGCTTTGGCTGCTCTTGTCTTGCTCCTGTTTACCTGACTCTTTTTCTTTTTCCTGTCTTCTATCTTCCTCAGAGTGGTGGCCGATATCCAAGGCTTGTGCTCACGTTTCCGTTTCCCCAGTACGTCTTGACACACAGTGGTCCAGCCTTCTTTTATTGCCTCCCATGTTTCTTCCACGCTGCTATCCTCACCTAGTGTTTCAAACACTTGGAACCTGTTCTTAACTGCTACATTAAACTCCTCTCTTGATGATGGCTCTCTCAGAAATTCCATGTTGTACCGGTACCTATGATTATTGACAATTCCCTGTCTTCGCTTGAGTTTTAGTCGGATGGTTGAAATGAGCAAATGATAGTCCGAATCTACGTCTGCACCCCTGTAAACTCTAACATCCCTCATTGATCTCCTGAATTTCTTGTTGATACATATGTGGTCAATCTGGTTTTCAGTTTGTTGGTCTGGCGACACCCATGTTGATTTGTGTATCTGTTTATGTGGGAAAACAGTCCCTCCTATCATGAGCCCATTCGTTGCACATATTTCTGCAAATAGTTCTCCATTCTCGTTTCTGACTCCAAGTCCATGTTTCCCCATGATTTCTTCAAAGCCTACATTGTCACTGCTTACCTTAGCGTTGAAGTCTCCCATTAAAATCAAGATGTCCTTCAGCGTTGAAGTCTCCCATTAAAATCAAGATGTCCTTCCTTCTAACCTGATCAATAGTATTTTGTAGCATTTTATAGAAAGTCTCTTTCACATCCAGGTCCTTATCATTGGTGGGGGCATATCCCTGGATAACATGAAGGTTGATGTCTTTCTTCTGTGAACGGAATTCGGCTGATATTAGTCGCGGGCCCTCTGCTTTCCATCCTATCAAAGCCCGCTTGGCGTGTGTTGATAACAGAATACCCACTCCTTCTGTATGCTGCGAGTTTTCCTCCAGATGTCCAGAGTAGAGAAGTGTTTCCCCTGAAACAAGTTGGCACTCCCCTGCATTCGTCCATCTCGTCTCACAGAGACCCAATATGTCCAGTTGGTAGCCCTCCATCTCTCTTGCAACCTGCAGTGCCTTCCCTGCCTCGTACATTGTACAAACATTCCAGGTGCCAAGTCTGGTGGTTTTTCTGGTCGACAGGAGGTTTCTCGGCTTGGTGGCTTCCTTCCGGCTTTCACCACCCTGCATCATTCTACACTCCATATTCTCTCCTCTCCTCGGTGACGAAGGTCCTCCATCTTCCAGAACTGGCGGTCGTGTTGTTTTTGCTGTTGATGTTTTTGTAGCTGCTTTTTGTTTTATGGGTGGGAAAGGGCTGCTAACCCTTTGCCCAACCGACCTTAGTCGCCTTCTACGACATGCGCGGTACGGATACAGTGGTCCTATTCTTTGCTCCCCTGTCTCTTGAACAGGGCCCCGAGAACCACATGGGTGGGCTGCATATTTTAACAATCGTATAATTGTCTCATTCTTGTGAGCTCTTCAGTATCATATCTTAATTTTAAATTTTCATATTTTTACACTTTTGAAAATATATGTGAATGATCTTTGATGTAGGTAAAAGAATAAAGATGGAAGTGAATAAACAAAATTATTTTTAAAATATAAGACAAATTAAATGTACTTTGTGAACTTTTAGTTTGATACGGCATTGTAACATTCTGGGGGCTCTTGTTTCACACCTTGATTTTAATTTTAATTTTCATATTTTTACACTTTTTAAAATATATGAATGTTCCTTGATGTGAATAAAAGAATAAAGATGAAAGTGAATTTTGTATAAAATAATTTTTAAAATATTAAATAAATTAAATTTGTGAACTTAAATTACTTTGTGAACTTTTAGTTTGAGTTTGATACCTGGTGTTGTATCATTCTTGTGAGCTTTTCGAATATATAAAATACTAATGCAATCTTCAGATTTCAGCGCAACTGTACGATCGTTAAAACGTGCTGTAAAATCTTAAGACTGCAGCGCAATTGTACGATTGTTAAAACGCGCAGCTTACGATTGCGCCGATCGCTAAATTGTGCAGAACATTTATATAATTCTAAAGGTCTTGTAAGTAAATTTCTGCAGGTGGTTGAATGATGCACCTGATGTGATATGTACATTTTGTCAGCGTTATTTCTCTTTTCATATTGAATTTTAATGAGAGTGATAAATAATTATAATTTTCATGTATACCTGCACATGTTTTTATGGTCCTTTACAACCAAGAAAAATTTCCCTCTGGGATAATAAAGTATTATCTCATCTTATCTTATCTTATCTTACTAGACTTCAACCACAGAAGACTTTCAGACCAGGAAGCTTCAACTCATACCAAGAAATTTATTTAGATTTGAAGAAGAGAACAAGGTACAGTAGGAAACTATATTAATTCTGTAATCATAACAGCTTTTATCAGCAATCAATCACAAAAACAATACAAAGAAATAAGATGTCCTGCACACTTATTTCTAACACACCACACCAAACTTGCCAAAAACAGAACAAGACTAGAAAAATTACTTCTCTTAATTAAATAAATCTGGAAACTCACAGGTACACAGTTCTTGACAAATCCTGTGCTGTGTAAAATCTTGCAGAGATCAGTCCTCTGGCCATGTCCTTGAGCCCACGAGTGACATTGGCTTTGCTGAAGTTTGTGTTTTCTTCATCACATCTGTTGGTCACAAGTGTTACTGTCAGGTGGATGTCCATCCTGCGATTCTCCACAGGTAGCGCTGTCAGAGCAAAGAAAGCATTCAGCCATCAAGTCAGTTCATCCAAAATTTTCATTATCATCATTCGCACATCCAAACTAAAACATTGTCAAAAGCAGATTTTACAAAAAACAACAACCCCACTTTCCTACATTAGGCAAAAGGTTCAATGTTGATTAGGAATTGTATTGTACTATTGAAGAGGAAGAAATAAAGCCAGCTATGCACTAGCACTATGGGGAGGAATGCTATCCATGCAATCCCAAAGACAGGAACACAGGTTCTACACAACTGTCATGGCTACTTTGTCTATTCCCCTAGTCTCAGAAAACATTAACTGCCTTGGAACTTACTGGAGTTGACATAGCACACAGGAGGATCAGAGTCTGGGTAGAAACCATCCGGGCAATCTTGACACTCTAAAGTTTCCAGACTCAACACCTGGGCCGATGAACAGTTGCCTGAGGACACATGACATGAAAACAATCAGGCTTATTCGCGCCTCTTCTTCCAAACAGCACATATCATTCCATCCAGTCTTGCACAGCAAACCCCCCCCCCCCCAATTTTCTTCCGGCTTACTATGTCAGGAGCAACTTAGCATTTGAGGCATCATGTTGCAATCAGGCACTCCAAAAAAATAACGAAATTGAAGATACTGGCATTTTTACACTAGTTTGGCAATTCTTTTGAATTTTTGTTCGTTTTGGCTCAAAACCTTTCATGTCCATTTCAAAACACACTTCTGTGTGGGTTTTACTGAAAGACATTCATTAAAGGCACAAAAGTTATAAATTTTCAGTTTCCAAGGACTCTAAATCTAAGAAAGTCACAAAATTTTGGCTGGTAACATTTTTCATGAAAAAAAAGACAAATGGACAAGTTCTAAGATGATACCAATAACTACATATGTCCCAAAATTGAAGAGCATTTGATTCCACCACATCCTGACACATTAATTAGCACTATTTTCCTATATTGCCAGGCAAAAGCCAAACCGTGAGAGGGGAGCACAAAGAAGCATAAATAAATGTACACGTATCTGGCAGCTGAGTCTGAATCCAGCAGAACTTTCCACTTCAACAACAAAACCACAAGTGTACACGGACAATTACTCACGGACACACATGTGTTGGGATATTGCTTCTGGGACCAGTGTCGTGGTTCCGTTAGGACACATCTCACAGCCTGCATCCCTCTCACGGAACTCTCCATAGTCACATGGGACTGAGGAAACAGGCATTCAGCAAAGTCATGGCTTTCATCAACAATTATTGCACATCTACAAACATTTCACTTTTCAAGGTTCTTTTGGGACCCTTTTTTAACATTGTCAGTTAAATTTTTACAATTAAGGAGATTGGGGGACTAGGGGTTGAAAAAGTCTATGCTTTGTAAATAATGGGGTACAAATTGACTTCTTTCCTCTAAAAGATTAAGGGAGATGAAAACATTTCTGTTCTATCATTTCTTCACCAAATATCCCAGGTATTATGATGAAAAGATAAAGTAAAATGGAGAATACGAGAAGTACATGTAAAAATTAACAAAAAATGGAAAGAAAGGCATTATTTAAATAGGGAAGCATAAAATGGACACTGACGGCACTTTTCAGACAGCTACACTTGGTAGAAATATGCTGAGATGAATCCATGTACAAATGCATTAATGAATTAAAGATGAAATAAGTGATCAAGTTTACCCTTTTCTCTTACCTTCACATATGGGAATAGAGTTAGTAGCCACACACCTGGAACCTTCTGGACATTCAAAACCCATGTAGCAAATACTGTGTAGTTCTGGAACAGAAAGGCAGTTGACAATTACTCTGTGTTACATGTACTGTCAACTTTTTTATTAGCTACTCGCACAGTTATCTTCAAGGATGAGCCTGAAAATCCCAGAAAAGTCACAAATTCATCATTGTAATTTCGAAATCCCCAAGATGACTTCTCTTTGTCTTTTACCAGTGAAAACTGTCATGGTTGTCTAATGGGCAATACAATTGCCTGGAAAATGCCTTCCATGTCAAAACCACTTGCTCTGTGGGTTGAGGAAACTCAGTAGGACAGAATCTCAACTTCAGTCTACCCAAAAGTGTTATCTTAGTCCATTTTTATAATTTTTTGGCTTCAATATGTAACTTTGATTCATACCATAGCTATGTTCTTAACAAGCCCATTTCATTTCAGTCTCATCAGAAAACTATGTCCACAAACTTACCCAATGCTCCCTGGTCCATCACAGCATCGTTTTCATTTTCATACATCTTCACAGACACAACCGAGTACGCTGTGTCATCCACTGAGATAGAACCTGGCTGCTTCAGGAACGACTCATAGATATATCTCTCTAGCAGATACTGCACCCAGTCAGCGTCTGTATCCACCCGAATGATGACCACAGTGCTCCCTGGTCTGTAGGAGGCCAATCACAAACATAGTGCGTGTCATGCTCACAATAACTTTCAAGATCAATATTTGGTAAACACGAACAAAACGCAAGCGCCTTTTTATTATCAACTCTCAATCATTTTCACAAATGTCAAACAGTAAAATATAAACCCAGCACACTTTTACATCTACACCCAGCATCTTAACTCATTCACTACGTATTATTAACGGTTTGTGGACGAATTTTTTTCGGGAGGGCGAAATGAGATGATGACTACTGCGCAGTTCAAAGGTCTTTTGGGCCACAAATTCAAATAAATAACATATTATATACCAAAATGTTCACTATGGTTTGTCAAACACATCTGTAATGTTAATTTGTGTATTCTTCAACTTTGGTTCCTGTAAGAGGCGATTATGCAACACAATTTTGATTGGATGCGGATAAAATTTGAATATAGAAAATGAGTAATCTTTGGTGAAACTCAAAAAATATGTTTTCACCTAGTCAAAGGATACATCAAATTAACCATAAATGAATATAGAACTGGAAAGTATTGAAAAATTTGCAGTTATTTACATACATTCCATAATATTTGTACATTTGGATCATAACATCCGATATTGAAAATTTTTTTTTTTTTTATAATCTTGATAAAAGGATCACAAACAGAAAAAAACACTCGTATCTTATGGAATTATTCAGAATTGCATTTGGAATAAACCTATACATGTCTTGAGAGGCACTTTTTTGTGGAATTTCACCAAAAAGTAGTGATTTTGGGAAGAAAAAAATATTTTGACAATTTAGATCTAGACCTAGATCTAGCACTCAAAAATAATAACAGTGCATTAGCAGTTTGAGTGTAGTAGTATCAATATTATAAAGAAGAGTCCTACATTTCTTTATTGAGCAAAATAATGATACATTTTGTAGTGCAAAAGTACTATGACTGGTGTCTGGGCTATAATTTCAGCATCGAAAAAACAAAGTCGAATAAACTACGAAATCGCGTTTCAAAACTGAATCTAAACTTCCGATTTAGGGAGGAAACGCTTGACCTACGAGTCAATGTCATATTATAACCTTTATTTTAACATGGATACGAGGATTGGAATAAAATCTAAGCTGGAATTACAGGTCGGTGCTTGAGCCGTCGGGGGCGGCTTGGCGTACGGAAGACATTTTCGCCGTGCCGCTGCCCACGGCTCGGCGTAGCGAATGAGTGTATATATATTACCTGGTCCACTTTCATCTTATCAAACATCTGCCCAAAAATTATCAAGAGAGAAGTGAGACTCTCTCAAGCTAACTATACTGGAGATCATTGCTACAAGAAAGGAACAAACCAGTTCATTTAGTAAAGAAATACAGCAAATCAAAGTCCGCTATAGAATCTCAGTGGATGTGCCATGTATCTTATGAGTCTCCCAGTATCCTCTCTTTTCTCAACCAGTCTCTCATCTCCTGCTCCAACCTCCTCCTTGAATTTTTCTTGCTCTCTGTTTTTCCACAGAACCCTCTGACAATCAGACTTCTCTTTACCAGGCTCACATTAAACACACAAAAATAAGGCACAGTCATCTGGATTAATCTTTTTTCCCAGACTTACAGCACATGGATAACCGCAACGTGGTACTCTGAGTTCAAAGATTCAAGAAGCTCCGAAACGTTGGCTCTCACAGCCACCTCTACAGCCCAGCTGTCACTGGCATCAAAGTCTTTGTCTATCTCAAACCTCAGGAACACTGTGAATCAAAGTTGGAAAACTCCAGTCATGTCGCAACATCCACCAGCAACAATATTCTATAATGTTGGATTCATACACTTTTTAAATTATCTCGCCTTGTTATCAATAGCAATATAACATAAACAAGATAGACGTTAGAATTTGTGTATCTCAATTGATTTGAACATCTTGTGTAATGCTGTAACTGAATATATACTAAACATCATCACATGAACACATCTTGCTTTTTTTTTTCAATTATAGCACAGACACACCACAAATGAAGACAAACATGTTTGCAATGTCAGCTGCCAAATACTCACTTGAGGTTTTCCAAGCTATGAGAAAGAGAAAAAACAAAATATATATCATTAAAGTAGATGAAAGTTCTCTTAACTCTTATGCACAAACGATTCATGAAAGAAAAAAATGAGAACATGGAGTCAATATTTAAACATTTTCACTCTCTCACTCACAGGATCAATCACCCATATCATCTGATCTGTGTGGATGGCACTGACAAACATTTACAACCAGTCATACACAGGACATAATTGCCTGGTGACATCTTTATGAAAATTACTTACTCCAGCATTGTATTTGTACTGATGGCGCTATTTCCCTTTTATGTTGTTGGGAAAGCTGGACAGTTGCCACTTCCAATATGTATTTTCTCTACTCTTCTAATCTTTGTGTATCCTACATGATCTTTTTTGTTTCACTCCCAGCACTTCTCACATAGAGATTACAAGCAAGATCAAATGATACTCTACACCAAAACAAAAACATAAGGTTTAGAGAACATTACTTGAGTGGAAATAATCAGAGTATCGCCTTTCCAGCTTCAAATACTCAGGTTTTGTCTGGTTTCTTTGTACTGGCCATTTCTGATATCCTGGCTTTGATCCCCAATGAAAACAAAGCATGGTGAAGGTAAGCTGAAGTGACACTTTTCTAAATGACACTTATTGCTGTCAGTCTTTCACCACCATTTAAAACATGGCTACCTACAAGGGAAAAGCACAAACCTCCGCTACAATTCTTGAACACGGTCTTCTCTGTACAGGTGAACTCTTTCCCACAATGACCTGGCACACTCACAGTCTCCACGACATCACACCAACTGACCGCTGAGAAATAAAAGTTTTGTTCCAGGCATTGCAAATTCATCAACATTGAAATCCTCCACAGTTCTACTTTACACACAAAAAAGTTTTCATAATTACACTTAGAACGCACTTTTGAGGTATAAGAAAACAAGCATATCTGTCAAAATGTGGTGGAATCAAAAGCTCATCAGTTTTGAGGCATATGGAGTTGTTGATACCATCTTCAAGCTCGTTCATTTGTCTTGTTTTTAATTGTATCTTGAGTAAAAATAGAGATATTATATGCCATTGAAAGAGGTGAGTTCGCCCAGGCCTGCCGATCTAAAAAATATAAAAATCAGGATCTCAGGAGGAAAAAATCGGGATCTGGTGAAAAAAAATCAGGATCAAGGACAAATTATCAGGGTGACTTCCACACTGACTTCAAAATGTTCCAGGGGTGGCCATAAATATATACATGTGTGTGTGTGTGTGTGTGTGTGTGTGTGTGTGTGTGTGTGTGTGTGTCTGAGTGTGTGTGTGTATGTATGTGTGTGTG